GACTAACTTATTAGGTATATAAATATTAGCTCTTAATTATTATTAAAAAGCTTTTATTATTAAAAGATATACCTTTTATAAATATATATAAAAACTAATATTTATAAAAAATAAAAATATATAATCTTTTATAATTTTAAATATAAAAACTTTATTTTATATTAAAATTTTATTTTTATATACTTAATATAATTACTTTATAATTAATATTTATAAAACTTAAAAAGAATTTAAAGTTAAAATTTTATAATTATAAATAAAATAATATATCTAACTTTACTATAAACCTATTAATATTTTTATATTATAAAAATCTATAATTAATATATACTTATAGATTTTATAAAAGAATATAATTATATATTACTTTTAACTTTATTAATTTTAAATTATTATAAAGAATTTTTAAAAATATTAATATTTAAATAAATATAAAATATTAAATTATATTTATTTTAATTAATAAATATTATTATTATTAAATAACTTTTTTAAATCTATTTTTAAATATAATAAAATTAAAGCTTTTAAAAATTATAATTATAACCTTATAATATAAGTTAAAAATTTTATTTTATAACTTTATAAAAATAAAGTAAAGTTAATAAAACTTTATACTTTTTATATTTCTTCCTTTAAGAATATAATAAATTAATAACTTTTAATATTTTTAATAAAACTATAACTTAACTTTTATATTAAAACTTTATTTAAAGTTTAAAACCCTTCTATTTAATTATTAAATTATTTATAATAATATATTTTAATATTTATAATAATATATATTTAATTAATTACTTTAAATAAATTATAATAATATATATTTTTAATTATTTAATAAAAATATATTTTAAAATATTACTATTTATAACTATTATAATAAAATAGTATAAAGAAAAACTATCCCTTTTAATTAATATAATATATTATATTAAAAATATTATTTTATAATTTATTAATATATAGCCCTACTTATAACTCTTTATTTTTCTTAAAAGAAAGATTAATATATAAAAGGTACTCTTTTTTTTATAAGTATATAATATATAAATTAATCCTTACTTTATAAAAATATTTTTATATTAATAAACTAATCTTTCTATTTAATACTTTATATAATAATCTTTTAATTACTTATTACTTTATAATAATTATATTAATATAAAATTTAATAATTTTTTTATTTAATTTATTTATATTTATATATTAATCTTTTATCTTTATATATTTTATATATAATTATAAACTTTATAAACTAATAATTACCTTATTAATACTTTTAATAATCTATTTTATTTAAATTTTAACTTTTTTAAAATACTTTTATTATAAACTTAAAGTTAAGAGAGTATTTAATAATATTATACTCTTAAATAATATAAATATACTTATTATTTTAAAAGAATATAATTTATTATAATATTATAATAAATACTTAATTTAAAACTTATAAATAATAAAATTAATTTTATTTAATTTAATAAAAAATATTATTAATTATATAAAACCTTTATTTAACTTTCCTTAAATTAAATACCTATTAATTAAATAGACTATTTTAATATACTTATTATACCTTTTAAAAAACCTACTAATAAAAATATTTATATTAAAACTAATTAACTATAAAAGGACTTTTTATTATTACTTATTTATATATTAAGTTATATATTTATATATTTAATAAAAAGGTTTAATAAACTCTTACTTACTAATTAAAATAATAATATAACTAATTATAAAATCTTTAATAAACTCTTATAAATATTAATTTATAAAAGAAGCTAATATTTAAAGTTATAAAATATTAATTAACCTTAAGGGCTTATTTTAATATAATAATATATATTATATATATATTTTCTAATAAGAAGGATATTCTAATAAGGAAAATATTAAATAAATAGGTATAACTAATAAAAAAGAGAGTTAAAAAGATTAAAATTAATCTTTAAATTAAAATAATATTTTAAATTATTAAAACTATATATAATCTAACACCTAATACATTTAATAAATATATAAATATATAAATATATAACTATTATATAATTACTCTATTATAATATAAATTATACTTATATAAAACCTTTAATTAAATAAAATCCTCTTACTAAACGATAAATAATTAAGGAAATTATTATTATTTATTAAGTTAAAGTTATTTACTCTAATTTAATTAAATAGGCTTTAGCTATATAGACGTTAAGAAGATATATACTTAAAACTATACCTTAGGGATTTAGAAGATACTATATTCTTTAGGGTAATAGAACGAGTCCGGCCTTATTTGGATGTCGGAATGATTTTGAACGCGAGTATCTCGGATAGTCTTGCCATCGAGCTGTTCTATGAGTATCATTCGGACTGACCTATTATAAGGTTTACCGTCGCTCTTGATTGGAAGACGAAATGTCCAAGACCCATAGTATGATGGTGCAGATAAGCCCGTCTCCCCGGCTTGAAGGAGCCGCTCATAGGCTGCAGCTTCAATGCTGTAGTCCTCGTCCGCCAAATGCACGATATCTCGCGGTCCGCCGCCGAGTTTGGACTCGAAACTATAGTAAAGAGGATCATAGATCTTGGCAACGGCTTGGAATGGCTGTGCATCTCCGTTGCCCATCCTGGGCACTGATGGGTGGACGATGCAACTGACGATTTGGGATCCACGGGCAGCCCCAACAGCAATGGGAGCAGTGATTTCCAAGCGTGCCGTCTCTGGACTACCCGGTGGCTCGGTCTCAAGCGGGGGCTTGTCCACAACCACTTTGCTCTGAGGAACGCTGCGAAGGTAGTCCACGGGAAGCCATGGCTCTGCATGGTTCTTGTCCATGAAGTGTTGCGTAAAATTCGGTGACGGTGGTACATGACGGTCGATTTCGAGGACGAGACCAGGTATACTATATGGGAGTCTTGGTTTGTCTGGATCCTCTGGGGGATACCAGAACTTGAACGGAGGTGGGACAGTCAAAACCCACGCGTCGCCGGGACGGTCGTTTGCTCCTTCACCCCTCTGGTTGACATTCTCAAGCCTGCTCGATGATTCAGCGGACATGACTAGTTCTCGCTGAGAGAAAAGGATAGCCGGAAAAGAACTGGCACTGATGTGAGACTTGATTTCCAAGGTTCAAGTCGACTGTCACTTGATGCGTTCAAGTTGCTGATGACATCTGGATCTGAATTCGAAGGGAAGCGTGATGAACGAGGCGCGGCACTTGGGATGAGGCGCACGCTCAAATATTGTTCAAGGAAGGAGAAGAAATTGAATGACTGCTGTTTGTTTTGAGGTTGTGCAAGAATTACTGTGAACCTAGCACTGAATAGAAGAGAGAACAGAGAAGGATTGATTGTGTGCACAGGAGCATCACCACAGACCATATATGTGGCCCATGCATTATGTAGTCATTTTTCCACCAGCCGCCTGGTCGCCAAGGTCGTTGCCTTGCTGTGGGGTCATTGGCCCCGCCTCTTCCTTCGTGTTTAAGCCCAATTCGGTCCAATATCTCAGGGCTTTCGAGGAAGCAGATTTTTCCTCTACACTATATAACTATCTTTCTATTTAATGACTTATTTCTTCCCCAACCCATGACTTATCTGGCTTCGCTTCTATTCCGTATGCGTCCGAGGACATACATGTGTGTGACCAAAGTCCCCCTGCCACAGGGTTCCACTTGATGAAATCGCTGACACTGATCTTGTATAGCCCGGCAATGGTGGCATAGGTACTTAAGTATGGTTATTCTGCACAAACTGGTTACCATCCCGTTTTAGATTGGCGCTGGGGTCTGCATTGAGTTTGGAGGTGCAGCCCTGGGCTGTGAGTGACTGTGACCGATGATAGAAACGCAGCCATCTGGGTCTGCGCAGAGACTGTTGCAGATGCTTCCGGTCTTACGGATTCCACGCCAAAGTTGGGGGAAGGTGATGCTGTTTGCGTCGCCAATGGCGCGACAGTCAGCGTTTTTGGGGACAAAGTAGAAGGCGTCACGGTTTTTGACCATCCCGGGTGGTGTACTGCAGACTTAGGAGCCCTGGAGTCTAGATGTCATTGCCAGCAGCTGTGGCAGTTGAATGCGCAGGGGACGTTGTCATCAATACGGTCGGCGAGGGGAGCTGATTCACCCAAGACCTCGACACAGTAGCTTCGACTTATCATGGAGCTGTCGCAGTTCGGGGCCAGTGATGGGTTTTACATTGCACGCGTCAGGTAAGATACTGAGCTCACTAATGAAATACGAATCCGCGAAGCAGTGTAGGAGCAACTCTTATAGTACTAGGCCATTGTAGAAGCTTAGCCTTTCAGATGCCCCATTTTGCGGGCAATTGTAGAATCGGACTGTGCCTGAGGACATGTGGAAACCCCCAGAGTAATAAAGGCCTAGAGCGCTTTTACAAGGCTTCATGGCGGCTGATTGGATTGCGCTAGACGACGCGAATCAAGTCGGGGCATTGTTAAAACCAAGATGTGTCTTCTGTCCTTGTAGTGTGCATTTCTACAGATTATTCTCGGTGCTATCTCCGGATTGTGTACCCCGCCCATGGTCCGACCTCGAAACCAGCAGCCAAGAGGTCAGTATTGCCGATATAGATCCCACGAGAAATGCGAGACAAACCCCATACGAGACATGATAAGTGGGGCCAAAAACGGTATTATACACATGTGGCCCTACAATACCACTACACTGTGCCATTGCGTTTGTGAACCCGATGCCGACGCCTGATGCCACGGTGCCCTCCAGCGCCCTGATCCTCTCCGGCCAAATGATAGGATACGCGGAACCTGCACAAGCCACTGCCACTATCAGGAAGATGTATTTGACCACAGGGTTTGCAACCGTGAAAAGGACAATGTAAGAGACCACGATGGCACCCTCGGCTGGAGTGAAATTTGGTCAGCAAAATGGAGGCCGCGATGCGAGTCCCTCATGAAGCTAGCTTACTGGCGACAGCTGTAGTCCAAGGACGTATCTTTCGTTTGTGGAGAAAATAGCCGACCGTGTTTAAATAGAAGAAAGCCGAGACGTAAAGGGGCTTGTGAATATGTCAGCATTTACAAAAGGTAATGTGTCCGATTCCAGGAGATTCACAATATTCATCAGCTGCGACTTGGCTGTAGTGGTGAATCCGAGCTCATAGACCACAGTGGCTAGAGCATACCCTATACCGAACCCGCCAATACCGTGACAAATCCAGAATAGGCTGAACGTGTAGAGAGTCGGATCTCGAACCAAACGTTTCAGTGAACTCCAATCCCAGTTTCCTTTCTTCCCAGTCGGTGCTGTCCTGTCCAATCTTGTTCTTGCATATTCTCTCTCCGCCTCGGTCAGCAACTTGGAAGTCTCGGGGTAGTCAGGTAGTCCGAACAATGCCACGAAAGCCAAGATGATGGCAGGTAAACCCTCAATGATAAAGAGCCATCGCCAGCCCGGAAGACCACCAAGACCGTCCATGAAGCTGATGGCATAGGCCAGCAAGCCGCTTAGCGCGCTAGATAGCTGGCCGACAGAATAGAAGATGGCAATCCTTTGAGGTAGTTCGCTCGGCTTGTACCAGAACGCCATATGATATAACACAGCTGGAAAGAAGCCAGCTTCAGCGGCGCCGATGGCGAAGCGCACGCACATCATCCCAGCAAAGTCCTGTGCGGCCGCCGACGAGCACGCCGAGATGCCCCATAGCAGGATCAGGACGAACATCCAGACCGAAGGCTTGAATGTCTTGAGCAGGATAGTGTTACTCGGCTCGAAGATCATGTAGCTGTATGAGAAAATTGACAGCGTCCAGCTCCACTGGGAGGGTGTAAGCCCGAGCTGCTTCTTGATGCCGGTGCCATTTTCCAGGTTTATTATTGCCGCGTTGGAGTAGTTGGCAGAGTCTATCACGCGAAAGATATAAACCAGTGAGTAGAAACCTACGAGCCAGGCGTCAACCTTTCGCAGGTATGGTTTCTCTAGCGCAGTGTCGACTTGGCCCTCTGGGTCGTCATGGTCGGTTGGCGTGCCCGCTTCGCTTTCATGAGAACGTTTTGTCAGGGCGGCTCCGGTGTGTGCCATCGGAACGCCCATGTTGAGCTATCAAGTGAAAACTTTTCAAAGACAATAGGCTGACTATATTTCGTGAACTGTCGCAGGACTGGTTGGATTCAGAACAGTTTCGCTTACATCATTCGTGCTACATGAACAACTATGCCCCCTTTCTCTTTATAGGTTTCATGGTCGCCGTCACCCAGGTCACTTTTTGCCGGAAATACTGCCATGAGAATTGCAGCATGGGTCGGACGCATACGGAATAGAAGCGAAACCAGCCAGATAGGTCGGTGCCAAGAATATTCGTGGAGAAGCGACGTCCCCTCAGCATCATCACGACATGATAGAAGAAATGGCGATGGCCTGTTACGTGGCGGCTGCCTGCGACCTACCGTCTTGATTTGGGGACTTTGGGGTTCTCTCTGTAAGAGGAGGAGGGGAGAGAATGGCGACAGCCGGGGATGTGGGGGTACATTCCTGCAACATGATGATAGTCAAAACCACCATCCCAATCACATCAGTGTATAGCCAGCCCGCGTTTCATAGCGTGGATGAGAAGATTGGACACTCAAGTTTCACAGGAGAAGAATATGATCAACATCAAGCTGCAACATCGGGGCACCAACATACCGCGCGAGATATGTGTCATGCCGGTTAGCCGGGAAAGTTATCAAGCACAAGATAATACAGATAGAGTGCTTGGAGCTCCTGTTCTACCCCTATTTGAGTAACCTCTTCTGTGTCCTACGAAAGTCAGAGCAAGTACGTTTCGTGCAGGTTCACCCCCATCTACCTATAAACATGGCTCCAATTGCACTCGACGTCCCTTCTTCTCATGATTCCAACGACAAGATAACGCTTATCAAACCATGGAGCCGCCCGAAGCAGACGAGCGAGCATCTCGACTGGGCAGAGTTACCAAAGCTTGACCTATCGCGCTTCGACGAGCCGGGAGGGAAGCAAGAGCTGGCACACCAGCTTCACGATGCCATCACAAGGCTTGGATTCTGGTCTGTCGTCAACACCGGCCTCGACGATGAACGAGTCTTGCGTCAGTTCAGCATCGGTAACACATTCTTCAAGGAGCCGATCGAGGAGAAGCGGACACACCCATGCAACTTTGCCGAGGGCGAATACTTTGGCTATCGTGAGAATTCCCGTTGGGTTGGCGACACCGGGGTCAAGGAGAACATCGAAATGGTAGCTGTCCCAGACTAATTTCCCCCCAACCATGTTCTTGTAATTCTGTTATTTGCTAACACCCCGCGAGCTAAACATTCCCAAGGCCATCCCAGCCTGGGACCACATCGGTCGGCACAAGATTGTGCAGGAGAACTGGGAGGAGATCGCGCAGTTCCACAAAGATGTGTGGGACAAGGTCGTCCGCAAGCTCTTCGTGTTGATATCCATCATCTTGGAACTGCCGGAGAACTATCTCGCAGACGCACACGATTACAATGATCGGTCCGACGACCACCTCCGATACATGATTTACAACGTTCGGACCAACGATGAGTGGGACAAAGCACAGGCATATTCCAAAGGTGGTCACACGGACTTTGGAAGCCTCACGCTCCTGTGGTCTCAACATGTTGCAGGTCTCCAGATTCGGACTCCGGAGGGCGAGTGGAAATATGTGCGCCCGGTCGAGGGTGGGATCACCTGCAACACAGCAGACACGCTGACATTCCTCACCAACGGTAAGAATTACATTTATTCTTCAATGAAAAGGGAGACTGTCTAATATGTACCGAAACAAGGCTATATCAAGTCCACTGTTCACCGGGTCGTGAAACCGCCACGCGATCAGATTGATATTGCTCGACTGGGACTGCTCTATTTCAGCCGACCCGGAGACAAGACTAGTATGAGAACGGTGCCTTCTCCTCTGCTCAAGAGACTAGGCCTCTTCGAAGAAGCAGACCTCGAGGACAACAAGCCAGTGCCCACGGGTACTGATTACGTGCGCGCAAGGGTAAAAGACGTGCATTACAAGACCGTAGTCGAGAAGCGAGATGGGACATCGTTTGAGTTCAAGGGATTGAAGGTTCAAAACCATTATAACTAGGAGATCGGATATTCACGCCCGCCAAAACGGAGGGTACACCCATGCCAGGGAACTCGAAGATTGAACTACTTACCTAGGTAGTTTAGCACCATAACACGAGTAATTATCTCATAGTTTTATCCCATAGGATGTTTTCCTATAGGAGGTTGCTCTATGAAGGTTAGGCTTGGGTATACCCTCCGTTTTGGTGAGTGCGAAGATCCGATCTCATAACTAGCATGCGTGCTATGAGTTACACACTGGGAATTAGCCCATGATGACTTTGAAGTTGTCAAGTGCTGTTTCTGTTCGAGTGGTATTCTAAAGTTTTCTATAATTTGAATCGTGTCACAATATACAGGGGACCAGACAGCATATTGCCCTCCGTGAGATTTCTGTTGTGAGACCTAGGTGGCAACAGTCACATGACCCCGTGAAGTGGCCCAGGGACTTCTACAGGACCTAACGTCCACTTTCCAAGCCTTTAAATCAGGGTACTCACCTATTTCTTTTTTTAAAAAAAAGAAAAAGAAAAAGGATACTTACCTAATACAAGGTTTTAAGTATAGACCTAGGTATAGAACCTATGTAAAACTATATAACTACTTAACTAGGATTCTTTAAATTTTAGATAATTAAAGTATAAGCCCCTTCTAGATCTTTTAGTACCCCTTCAGGACTGATGGAGCTCGCATTCTATTTTTATGCAACTATTGTGGAGTTCGCGCTCTGTATCGTAGAGCACATACTAACATGTGTTTGAATAGGTACCTAGGTACCATCACTACTTGAAAGAGGTATTCTTCCTTTTCCAGCAACCGTGTGGCGGGTTCGAAACGCTTTAAGCCTAATTGACTTGTCTTGTATTTTACTATATGCAATGTGACTAGGACAGTGACATCTGCGGTGCGGATAGAGGCAGAATGTGGCCATGTCAGCTCGATCGGCACCTGAGCATCTAACTTTCCAAACACAATATAAGTATCTGACCTCTCCCAAATAATATACACAGTTCACAGCAGATCACTACCGCAGTCTTGTCAATTCCAACGCTGAGCCGACTCACAGATCGCATAATGTAAATGCAAGAGTCGAATTATGCCTGTCGTGCATGTGGGATTTACTTGGCTGACAAGGCTATCCAATGAGCAGGGGAACTCCATGAGACTTGCATCACAAACAGAATTGCAACTGCAGCCATGTTCGGGAGGTGTCATATGCCTTGTTCTCTCTTGAGCCTAGGCAGAAGCAAGGGTGCAGAATGACCTCATGGCACAGATAGCTTGCTGACCGAGGTGCACACTTATTGATTCAGCCTTAACGTCGGGCAGCGGGGAATTGCGTTGGATTCGGTTTGCGCTGCTCCGGGAACTTCGAGACGAGGGCGTAAGAGCTCATCACCACTGGAGTCCCTAGAGCCCTTCCAGAAATGTCACAAGAACCTATTCGCATGGCCATTGGGCGGCGGGCTCGCAGGGGCAGCTCTGGCAAACGCGCTGGTCCACCTTCCACACCTTGAGATTCAAGTATTCGAGAGTTCCCCGGACTTGTTCGAGCGCGGAGCTGCCATTGGCCTCGCAGGAAATGTATAGCGCGCTCTTCAACAATTTATTCCATCGGCAATGGACCTGTTGAATAGGGCTGGTGCCGTGCCGATACAATCAGCGCGGGTCATGATGGTAAGCAAGAGCTGAACACTCTGTGGTGCGAGAGGTATGCTCGTGCTCAGCACTACAATAGGGCGCCGGAGGGGATACCGGTGCATTCGTTTGCGACCTTGGGGAGGGAGATGAGCCAGACCCGAACCCCCCGCTCATCGTCAGCCGTGCCTCTCTTCTTAGAGAGCTCTTGAGACCGCTACCTCGGGAGGCGCTGCATGCGGATAGACAAGTTGAGTCTATCCAGGAAACGTCTGATGGTGTCGAGGTCACCTTCCGTGACGGCCAAACAGTCAGCTTCGACAGTCTGATAGGGGCAGACGGCATATTCAGTACTGTCCGCCAATATGTTGTGGGAAAAGACGAATGCACTGCGGCGTCGACCGGGTTCTGGGACTGCAGGAACGTGATTCCATTCGACCAGGCGGTCACCGCCTTCGGCGATGAGTACTTCAAAGTCGACAGGGAGTACGGCTGGGTGGGCGATGGTACCTTCTTCTTGCACAATGTGATCGAGAACAAGACCATGGTACAATGCCTCATGTCCGGTGTCGAAAAGGAGCCACCTTCAAGTCGCGTCCAAGTGTTGACACGGGAAATCTTGGAAGAGAAAGTCCAAGGCTCCTTGGACAGCCCAATGACGAAGAAGATAATAAATGTAAATCTGGCCAGCCCTTCGTCTAGACCTCGCTTACCCTATAGCAGATTCTGCTCGACCAACCACGTACCGAGGCATACTCTTCCTACGAGCACAAGAGAACATCCACGTATGCCAAAGGACGCATCTGCATCACTAGCGATGCAGCACATGCAATGTCGCCCTGGCAGGGGGCCGGCGGCGGGCAAGCTATCGAGGACGCCATGATCCTTGGCAGTCTCTTGAGTGAGATCTCTTCCAGTGCCGAGATCAGCGCTGCCTTCAGAGCTTTAGACGCAGTCAGGAGACCTAGAGCTGAGCGAATCATAGATTCAAGTCGCGAGACTGGACAGATCATGTGCGGCCAGAACATCGACGTGGGATTAAATAAAGATAAGATTAAGGAAGCTTTGGCGTTCAAGTAGTCGTTCATTCTTGGCCTGGATATGGCACGGCACAGGCAAGATGCAGTCCGGCAGATGCGGCAGGATAAAATTGGTAGATAAAGAAGTTGTCAGCCGGTCCTGATCATGGCTGCAATGTGACTACCACCTTCCAGATTACTGCTCTAGGTGCTATCTATAGATAGATGGGCTACGAGCGGATAGCAGCAACGTCCTCGATGCAGCCTGTCAGCGTTTATACTCGCTCGCATACATCGAATGTCGACGTGTATGTCAGTCACTGTTCATCCATGATGGGGGAAGATAGTTTGTATTGGTGGGATGCTCGTTACTGTCCCGCCCAAATTAGAACTAACCAAAGTGATAGAAACAACATGTCCACTAGTTTCGCTTCTATTCCGCATACATAGGGTGGCCGTACACTACACTATATATACTAGGCTCTCTAATATAATATAGTAGGTAGTAGGCTTAAGAATAACTTTAATATAAGTATAGTATAGTATAAAAAGCTTTAATATAAATATATATAATATAATAAATATAATATAATTAAAAAAGAGATAAAAAAATAAATAATTAAATAATTAAATAATTAAATAATTAAATAATTAAATAATTAAATAATTAAATAATTAAATAATTAAATAAATATATAAATATATAAATATAATTATATTATAATAAATTTATAAATTTATAAATTATTTTAATTTTTTTTCTTTTTTTTATAAGATAGAAGGAGGGTGGAGGAGGGTGGAGGAGGGTGGAGGAGGGTGGAGGAGGGAGGAGGAGGAGGGAGGAGGGAGGAGGAGGGAGGAGGAGGAGGGAGGGGGGAGGAGGAGCGAGGAGGAGAGAGGAGAGAGGAGAGGGAGGGAGCAGGGGAGATAACCCTTATTTTTACACTTAAACCTACTATATTATACCTATTAAGCTTTATAGTATAATATAATAGAATTTAAAGTAACTTTAATATAATATATATAAAAAAATATTTATATATATAATATATAATATAGTATAGTGAGTATAGTATATAGCTACCCTGTGTATATGCCTGAGGATATACCTGGTGTATATAGAATAGAAGCGAAACTAGATACATGGCGCCTTGATACGGTGGCTATCACTTTTAGTTGTGATTCACCAACATTGCTGCAGATGCAGTATGGATGCCGCCTAATTGTTTTGTTCTCATCGTGATCATTGTAGAGAGATGAGCCTTTCAACCCCTCGTGAACAGTAAAAACCATCCTTCAAACATTTCCCGGAGAAGTGGCCCATACTTCCATCTCTACCTGCCGCAGTATCTTCAAAAATCGTCAGTATATTCAACTATCGGTGTTTCTTGGCATCCCGCCCCGGTGTCATGCTCTCAAGGCTTGGCTCGGTGGGCTCCCACCGACTGATCTTGATTCGCTGCTCGTGCGGGTCCTTCATCGAGTCCGCGAGAGTGCGTGAACTTGCACAGCGCTTGCGGAGAGCCTGCTTGGCCCTGGATGCGGGAAAATTCAGGGAGTGCTGAGCCGTTGGAGTGTCTGCTCCGATATAGATTAATATCCGTCGCACAGTACTGCCTTGGTTTCAGCAGAGCCGCTGCACCCCTTATCCGATCATTGAGGAGGATATATGGCAGCCTTGCTGCTGACTGCTTAAGTCCCCTCGGCCCGGAACCGGGTTGGCAGAACCACACTCCAAGGACCCAATTGCGAGATACTACCCGCCCCAATAGGATCACATTTCCGCCCCCAACGAAATGATATCCACTCTGTGAAGAACTTCTTCCACGATTCCCCCCGCTCTCCCATCGGTGTTATTCGAATTCGAACACGAGCCACGCACGAGCAGCTCTATGAACACAATCAGCAGCCAACTGAAGGGACTTCAGGAGTCGTTGAGGCGTTCGCGAGCGAAGCTATCCCACCTTGGCAGTAAGTAAACAAGAGTGATCGAGGCAACGTTCGCTGGTAAACCATTCGCCATGTCATCTCCATCCGCCTTGGAAGACCGACCTGACTCGAGGCTTTTGATGAGCGCCCGCAAGGCCTCCGCCCAGTGCTTCGCGGTGATTTACGCAAAATCCAGTCCCGACATTCGCAAAGGCTTGGCCTGCAGAGCAAGTGCCATCCGCCGTCTTGGCGGGTGAGCAGGTGAGCGCGATAAGGCCCTAGCCCACGCCATCTGGTCCCGGCGAACAAAAGCCAAGCACGGGGCAAGGTCGACAATTGGAAAGTCTGTCCCCTGTCCGACTTCCGAAGTCCCTGATGAGCTTAGTACGATTAAGCATATTTCAGAAGTGCCGGGGCTGCTCCACAATGGCGCAGACGCCCTCGCGAACGTCTCTTGCAGTTGAGTCCAGGGAATAAGTGGATTGTGTCTGCGTACACAGTCCGCAGTGGTGGAAGTCGAGAAGAAACTAAATATCCGCCAATAAAATCTCGAGGGAGCAATACGAACAGACCTTGCACGCCGGCGATGTCCAATGTTGACGGTGGAGTCAGAGAAGAACTCGGTCCGATTTTCACATAATAAATAGCAGCTGTATTTGCTCAAACAAAAGCAGAATGGTTTGCGAACTCAGTGCTCCCAGTGTTCCATTGGTGACTGCGTGACCCAAGCTCTACCAGCAGCCTCGCCACAAACAGCTTCAGCATGCTTTTCTTCCCAACTCAACTCCTAGCCCTGGCGTCAGCCTTGCCCGTTGCCCTGGCATGCCTGGGCTACGAGGGCGGCGTCCCAGCGGCTACCACTACGCACTCGAACTCGGCTCCCATCAGGGTGAAGGCTGGAACGGTCTACGACTGCGGTTGGGCCAGGTATGATCGAGGCTCCGGCGCCTGTGGTGAGGGTGAAGGCGGTGATGCCGACGCCGTCTTCCTGGTTGAGGCTGGTGGAACGCTCCGAAACTGCATCATTGGCAAGAACCAACAAGAAGGAGTTCACTGCCTGGGGGCTTGCAACCTCGAATTCATCTGTAAGCTCATTCTCCAATTCATCGTCAACATTCCTTTGTGCCGCCGGACACTGGGTAGCTGTTGGGTGGCAGATTCAACCGGAGTACTAACTCTCTGTAGGGTTTGAGGATGTCTGTGAGGATGCCATCACAATCGTAAGATTCCCTCAATTCATCCCTTCCACGACACCGTGACAAATTGGGTCCCTGACCAACTATACAGAAAGGAGACAAAGCTGGCCAAGAGTCATGGATCGTGGGGGGTGGCGCATACCACGCTTCGGACAAGGTGGTTCAACACAACGGCTGCGGTACCGTGAACGTAAGTGCAAAATATGCCCTCGGCGTGGCTTGATTCTAACATTCAAATAGATCATCAACTTCTATGCTTCAGAGTAGGTCCACAAAGAGCCATTTCAGGTCCTCTTGCAGGCGACTAACCTAAAGCAGCTACGGCAAGGTCTACCGGTCGTGTGGAAACGTAAGAAGCCCATCGTGACCCCAACCGCAACTATAGCGGCGTCCCTTTACATTCACTAACCTTATGCAAATAGTGCTCTAGCCAATGCAAGCGCAACGTCTACATCGTAAGGACCATCACTATTCCTTAATACTCCCTACTCCTTGTGTTCTGGGATGTCCCAGAGGAAAAGGCAGATCAGACTCCATGGCGGATGACTAACAGGAAGCAGGAGGGCGTTACTGCCAGGAAGGGCGGCGGCAAGGCCGGCGACGTCTGCGGAATCAACGCCAACTACGGCGACACCTGCACGCTCAAGAACGTCTGCACTGTAAGCAAGATCTTGTCTCTCCCACGCCCTCAGTGACTCACACGCCTCCAGGACGCCTCCAGCCCTTGTGTGCTATACAATGGCTGCAACAACAGCTGCGAGCCGGCAAAGGTTGGAACTTGCTCGGGCTGAGCTTTATAGATTCGCCGGCACGGTTGTCATCGTGGTGGCGGGGATGGCACGGGGTATTCTTTTCCCGACGGCAAGATGTTTTGAGTAACAGCCGCAACCATACTGGAGACTTGGAGAATTGTGAACTGCTTTGGTAGAGCGGCTGTCTGAATATGATTTCGCTTGCACCATTTGACTTTGTGCCGTGCTGTGCCATTAATGAGTATCACATGGTAGAAGCCTGTGGCCGTACCAATAAGGCGGCTCGGGATATTCCACTGAGCTGAATGCTCGCGTGGGTGTCTTGGAGTCGACTTTCGAACGCTTAGTTTGAGATGCGTTGCTGAAGCCTTGGAGTTCTGGCGTGTCGGCTTTCTCCAATTGCTGTCCTGTCTCGTCCTGGCAATACCCCCCCCCCTATGGTTATGCGTATTACTACATTTCATCGTATTATTTTAGCTCACTAATAATGTGCAATGCATGAACTATGCATCCTGCAGCAAGCTGCAGTCACCTGAAAACCGGTGCGACAAGGGAACATGCGACGTAGATCAGAACTTGCCAGCACAAATCGGGACACTGCCGAATACCAAGTTTGAACACACAATGTTACAAACTCGCCCTTCAATAATTATCTCCCCATAAGGCTGGCCCAAAATCGTAGGACCCGATTATTCTAAGCGGAAACACAGATAATGCTCTTCGTATGGACTGTGTGTATTGGTTGAGTTCCTCTACTTAGCTGGAGCCATAATGACTGTACCCGAGCCATCAGTACAACAAGATAGTACTACTGGTACATCTTTCTAGACGAACACAGTATGTTTCACCATGCAATGCTTTAAAGTTCTGTGTTTAGTTGTATTTGTATCCTATAGGCTCGGCCACAAACAGATTTTCGAGAATCTGTGCTCCACCGAGACACCCGGTGTTTTACCACCATTTCTCGTCTTGCGGGTCAATGTATCGCCTTCTGCATATCGCATCGCGACCTTGAGTTGCTACTCTCTGCGGGTCAAAGAGTTGCTTCATGCTATGGTAGAGCGAGTTGCCTTTGTTATCCTGCGTAAATCTCCTCGTTCATTTTAGCATTCGACAATGAAGAAATGGCGAAAGACCGCCCGGGGGGGCTTGACATCACACATCGTTCACATTACCATATTGATCCGCCCCCGCGGCATGAGAGCAGCTTGGATTTTAACTGGCATACACAATTCCTGCAATATCTTTCTCAAACCATCACATCCAAGGCTTGTAAGCTATTGGTTCTCCAGGGATTGCGGGCTCTGTCAGTTGTTGACGAGTCGGAAAGCGCGACAAGTCACAAGTATGAGACCTATTGGAGGCAAGCCGATCAAGACTCCGGAATAGTTGTGTCACGATCGGGAATTTTTCTTCATCTTCGCTTTATAGACATCAGAAAGTCATCAATGCTGGTCTGTCTCATCATGCGTAGTTATCGAAGTAATTCTAACCCGAAGCATCATCATGGCGTTCAGAAGTGAAGCGGTATACTACTTTGCATATGGACGTCACTCACCGCTTGCATTAAGTCGTGCAGAATATACTTACAAGCGCCAAACCCGATTCTACCTGTTTTATGTCCGGCTTTCTCAATATGAAGCCATCACCCAGGTACTTGACCAAAGTAATGCACACGCACCTGTGCCATCACAGTCTGGTAGGACGCTGCAGATTTCAATGCTAAGAGCCCGGCTACAGTTACCTGTGAGCGTGTCCAGGCAAGATCAGATCAGGGGCACAGGGCGATGGACCGGTAGATACTGAGCAGCATTCCGGTACCATGCCCCTGGATGCCGGGCCTTGATCGCAGATAGCGTTTTCCCAATGATCCTTCTGTGCTCAAAGTCTCTGGGACTTCAGACACCCGAGCCGGTCAGCCAGATGGACGGGTGACGCCTTCTGTTTCAACCCTCCCATGCAATTCTAGCCTCACCAAGTAGGGCAGAGTTCAAGATTTTTCGGAACTCAGCCGATAATCTAGTTTGGGGTTCGCCCCTATTGACTGGACACCGTGTGTGTTTCTTTGGCCCGGGTCTGCGGCGACTCCGTAACCTTGGAGGCGCGTACGGCAAGTCTGGACGATCCTGTGGCAGAGATAAGGTTCAGCGGTCTGAACGTGAGGAACTTCAAACACGATCTCAAGTGCTGCATAGTTGCTGTTGGATTTGTATGCATATTGTGCCTGAAGAAGACGTGCTGCAGCGGGAAGTATCGTTCATAAGGGTTCGGCAAGGTCTCCGCGAGAAACGAGGCTTAAATTATGCTCGTGGCAACATTGAACGAGCACGTACAATAATAGCCTCTCATGAGCAAGTGCATGAGATGCTGCAAAAGCTGCAGCATCGCCATCGTCACCTGCATCGTCACGCTGCGTCTCCCCCGGGCCGAGGCCTCTACTTCAACCACTTCAAGTTCTGGAGCCGGGCATCGGCATTTCAAAACGTCCATGGCGATCCGCAATGCGACGAGTAGACTGTTTAACGTATCACCAGCGGATCTCGTCTGAAGAAAAGCGCCCAGATTACGCCTGGACATAGTATCTGCCCACTTTTGAGGCACGTATACTACCCCGCTCGTCCTCATTTCTGAGACGTTTACAGTAGCCGTGTTCGGATGGTGCTCGAACAGACGCTGGTGGCTATGCTCCATAAGGCCATAAGGGAGTCACCTGACCAGAATTATGCCCTGCTGACCGACACTGTTGTCATCGGCTGCCAGTGTCAGTGCCCACCGACGCCGCAGATCATCCCGGGGCCCCACACTCATCATGTGGAGAGGGAGGCTCTAATGTAATCAGCGTACAGGATTTGTTTGGGCCAGCTCCACCTCTGATGCATATCTTTGATGCGAGGTAGGCGACAAGATAATCTTCTACGCCCTCGGTATTAAATGTTCCAGAACCTAACTTGCACCCACACCCAGCGTAGCCTGCTGACACCATCAATAGCTCAAAAGGATGCAGCCATCTAAGCCATGACAGATAAAACGTCCGATCTCTCTCTTCCCCAAGAAAAAAAGCTTTGACTCCTGCGAATCATTCCCATGGCTTCGGAGTGTTAGAGGTCCTGCAGCGCTCGGCGGGGAGACCCAGGCCAGCCAGGCCAAGCTTAAAGGTTATCCGCGCGGGTGCGGCTGTTGTGAGACAGGCTACAGAACCTTGGCCGCTAACAGCGACGGCGCACGCGTGTTGCGGCGGCTTGCCCGTGCTGCCATGGTGTTTCAGGGCCCCGACAGTCAGTTCTCAACGGGGTGAGGAGACTGCAGTAGCGCGGCCCGTTGAGTGAAATATCCCGGCCGAAGCTCATGAGAAGCCAATGCCTCGACGTCAGTCCCACGCTAATTTAATGCGCGCTGCGAGCCTAGGCAAGCGTGGGGATGCAGGTGTGTTGGTATGCCACTTACCGACTGGGCCGGCGTTTTCTTCTAAGCCCCAGGGGTTCATCGGTCGGAGGGCAAGGACCTTTTGAACCGTACAGTTGAGATATAAGATGTGATGATATACGTACGAGACTCGCAGCCGTAGGTACTATAACCGGGATAGCTGCTGATATAATCGACCGACGAACCAGCTAGCTGCGTGGCATACTGCACAACTTGCACACGGGGATCGGAAATAGATCGGCCGAGAGCCACCTTGACATGGATGACCCACGGTCGAGATGCGCTCTTCCTGCGGTTGCTGTGGTATTTTCCCACTCAGGCTGCTGTGCAGATTTGTTGTTTTCCGCGCTCAGGACCGAGGGTCCTGCCCGACCTTGCCGACCTGCCAACAAGCCACGATCGCCATTTCCTTGGACATGTCTTCGCTAAGCGAGGCTCGCTTAGAGAGTGCTCCGCTGCCGGGAGCCCAGCCCCGTGTTCAGGGGGACGTGAGGGTCGACAGGGGGGCAAGCATTGGACGATGTCTGGCAGAGTCTAGCAGAGGAGATGTAGAGATCAGATAACTTTGTGCCAAGTCCTGCGGATTGTGGCGTCAAATGGTGCGAAGCTTCTCCGCATAAAACCCGTGCCTTCACGGAAAAAGCCGTGGGTAGTCGTGATAAGTCGCACGTGAAGGAATCCGTCCAAAACCTCAACTGTCTTGGAAGAATACATCACCGCAGAGGACGCAAGTGAACTCGTACCACAAATCAATTCATATCACCTTTCACAGCCTTCATTGGCTCGGTACTTGATTCCATGTCCATCGGACGAACCGGATAGCAGGGGTTCAATATCACTGCCGACTTCTGGACCCCTTTATTGCAAGAAGGGTCCTTGTTGTAGGTGCGCTTTGAAGGTGGCACGGCTGGCCGACTGGAAGAGGGTCTCGAGCCGTCGGCGGCTTGCGCATAACCGTTGCGCATACGCATTCCCACCATAGTATGGATGGAGGGACAGAAGGGGGAATAACTGGGCAACGGGGATTACGCTTTGATTAAAAAGCTCTGGCCCCCTACGGGCCCGGATTGTAAAACACTGATCCCCGATAGGCGGACAGGTCCAGGGACCCTCGCTAGGCCGGGCATTATCGCATAAAAGAGCCGCCTGCGTGCTGCAAATGTCATCTAAAGCAGTGGTACGATGGCTGCCGGAATGGGTGCCCCGGATTTCCTACCAGGTCTAAAATGTCCAATGGTTCCCGCAGTGGGGACTCGTCACGGGATTGATGCTACCACGAGCCGGCCAGCCACTCTGCCACCGCTGCCATGCCATCTCAATGTGGAGGCCGACAAGGTTTTCGTACTGCCGGCGTCCGTCCGGGTTCTGGGATTGGTCTGCGAGTCTGCCCTCCCGCGGAGGGAGGGCCCCTCCAGGCCCTCCCTCCAGCTCCCTCTGACAAGCCTCTCGCCAGAGAGGAAATAAGCGTTGGACATCTCGGCCCGCCTGTTGGTGTGCCACTGTTGCCTTCGGTGCCCCAAGCGCAAGACCGTGCGGCATCTCAAGTTCCTGCAAGGAGTAACGATGAACGCGTTAGTGTGGGCGATCAAATCGATCAGGTTTGGCCGGCTGGACGAGCATGCTTTAGCGGTATTTGCTACCCTGCGGCAACACAGGACCGTACAGCCTACATACTTGCGTGTGTGGACGTAGCAGGGGCTAAGAAGATTCGGCCAGCTTGTTCTTCTATTAGGAAGAAGCCGCCTGTCGTTCGTCCAGCCTGGCGTGGCCGTTCCGGTCTCCTGGCATCTCGACTTTTTGGTACTCGACAACAAGGGCATTGTCTGACCTGAACGACTGGTTCTTTTTGTTCACTAGCCCCAACAACATTACCAGAATCCCACGACGGTTCCGACGGCGTGATGGCGGCGCCTCAGTGGACCTTCAACTTGGTCGTGGGGACGTCAGTCGCGTTCTCGCTGATTGCGTGCACGGCTGTGGGTTTAAGGTTATACGCCCGAGTCCGTATAATCAAGCTGGCAAAGCACGACGATGCTGTGCTTATTCTTGCATTGGTGGGTCCTATATTCAAGTCGTTGCTATTTTCTCAGGGCTAATAATGATAATACGTGATAGATGGGAATGCTAGCATACAACATTTTCGTCTGCGCCCGTAAGCCCGAATCCCCCTCAACTCGAACCCAACATGAAAGTTTAAGACTGACCGACCACTCTTAGAATTACCACACGGACTAGGTCGCCATATACAGGAGGTTCCACTCCAAGACCTGTCCAAACTCCTCATGGTGAGTACAACTCCGCAGTCCAGGCAACAACCGCGCAGAGACCACAAAACTGACCACCACGCAATGTCTCTCAGTACTTATGGGCAAGCATTATTTGTTACGCCGTCGCGCTCGCCGCCATCAAGACCTCGATCCTACTCCAGTTCCTCCGATTTCTCGTCGGCACCAAGGTCACAGCAATCTGCTGGGTCATGGTTGTCGTGTGCGTATGCTACGGCATAGCCGGAGTCTTCGCCACAATCTTCTTTTGCATCCCGATCTCGGGATTCTGGAACCCCTCGCCCACAGACAAGTGCATCAGCAGAGAGGGCCTCTGGCTGGCCCATTCGGGCATCAACATCGTGACTGATGTTATCATCTTTCTCATCCCGGTCCCGACAGTCCTCAAACTGAGTAAGCTCTCGAGCCCACGCCCTACAGCCCGTACAAGGGTTGGACGCCTCAGATCGTTCACTAACGGGCACCAGATATGAACTCGAGACAAAAGATCGCGGTCATTGGTGTTTTCTGCGTCGGCATCATGTCAGTACCCATAAATCCCAAGATTAAGCCGGAGAAGCCTACTACCAGAGCACAGAATACTAACACCCGATACAGAGTCTGCCTGATTACCATGCTACGCCTCAACTCAATAATAACCATAGCCAGGACCTCAGACGCAACATGTAAGCAAGCACTCGCCCCCCCCCCCCCCAGACCGGCTTTATCCCACCACCGGCTGACATGCCCCCCCCAGTCGACAACGTCGCGGTGGCAGTGTGGAGCAACGCCGAGATGACGACGGCCATCTTCTGCGCGACGCTGAGCGGCATCAAGCCCTTTGTGCAGTGGGTCTCGACGCGCAGGTCGCCCTTCTCGCGCAAGTCGTACAGCTTCCAGATCCCGGGGACGCCCTTCAACTCGGGGAACCACCACCTCCGCCGGGGCTCCAAGATGATGACCCCGGGGGGCACGCTGGGGTCCGAGCCGAGCACCCTCAAGCTCAACACCACCACCAAGGACGAGGCGGAGGAGGAGGAGCGGCCCCGGGGGGCCGCGTCGTCGGACATTGAGCTGGGCTCGAATGTCGTATGAGCCAGGCGGGGCTGGGCTGGGCTGGACGGGCACGGGCACGGGCACGGGACGGGACGAGACTGGAACATGCATGATTGATTGATAGCTGATGAATATTGATGACAGCGGCTGTGATATTGGCGTTTATGGGTTGCATTTTTCTTTTGTCCCCCTTGTATGGCAGTCGCAAGCGACGGTACCAGCCTTTTCAAATTGTATTCTAGATAATGTTTAGACAGTCGTCTTCTCTCGTGTTGGGGCCGCGCCCAGGGCACCGGTCAAGTCAAGACTAATCTTCCAAGGTTTGATTAAGATCATGCCTCAAGGCTAAAATATGCCAACAACTTGAAATGGTCCTGGCACCTCAGCTCCTGTCTGAAGCAGACTTCCCGGCGACGTGATCAAAGTGGATTTGTTTCTGATTCTGGAATTATCCGAGGCCGTATGCGGTGCCCTTCACACGAGTGGTAAAAAGTGCGGTACGAGGCTGAGGGCACGTGCCCAGAGAGTTTTGTTACACTTTTATTATTGTCGTGTTTCTCATCATTCAAAAAAACTGGGTCTGCAAGCGCTTACGCCTCGGCACGTGTATGGAATACATACGGAACTAGGTAAGAACAGAACCACCACCTGCCAGCCGGCAACTGCAGCGTCTCCCCGTCCGACAAGCAGCGGCGGCGGCGGGGAGGACGGGGGAGAAGAGCCATGCATTCAGGTGGAGCTGAGTGGCCCTCGGACACGACAAGATTGGACCGGTCGAAACCCGGAGAGCAAGCAGGCAGGCAGGCCATGATGTGCGCATGCGCAAAGCACTGCCGGCTTTTTGCCTGCCTGGGTAGTTATAAGCCCCGGCAGATCTGCCAGAGTCGAGCGCGAGAAGGCGAGGACCAAGATCTACCTTGCCGAGACAAAGCGTGCTCGTCATCACAAGCGAGCTGTCAAGGCCGTGCATGGTAGATATTTCGCCTGCGCACGAGGACGGACGGCACATCCTTAAGCTAGTTCTGATGATGTGGAACGGGGCCTCGACGTATACGAACATGTCAATGCGTAACAGAGGCCAGTTATTTCTGAACACCGGGCTAGCAGGCCGCAATGTAAGCGTGCTCCTGACCGCTCCTCGTGACGCACATCCGACAGGGGTCAAGGTCAAGCTCTTAATTCAAAGGGTATATACGGCCAGGGCCCCGGCCAACAGCAAGCGACGCCAACGTCCAACACCGAGCTCTCACAAGCCTGTTCGTCCACCCGCCCGGGGGGCCCGCTCACGCAAGCGCGGCCGCAGCACCCCAGAGCTCCTCGTCATCAGGCCCGTACTCGGCGTCGTCCCCGGCGCCGGCGAGACCATGACCATGACCACCACCCCCAGGGGCAAGGGCAGGGGCGGGCACGGGCACCTCGATGCTCCCGAGCCCCTCGAGCACGCGCCTCGCCTTGTCGGTGACGGCGTTGACGGCGGCGGTCTCGGCGCGGACCTGGTCGAGGCGGGTCTGCATGGTCTGGATGAGGCTCTCGCGGGCCTGGTGGGGCCGGTACTCGTTGATGCCGTGGTGCATGTTGAGCAGGATGGTCTGGATGTCGGCGGCCTTGTCGAGGATGGCGTCCGGGTTGATGCTGGCGGCGCCGATGAGCTCGAGGAAGTTGAGCAGGACCGATTTCGCGAGGCGCTTGAGGTTCAGGGCGCGCTCGCGGTTGTTGGCGTCTGAGGAGTGGCGGATGGGCTGGGGCTGGGACTGGGACTGGGACTGGGTGGTGCTGGGGGCTAGGCGGGGCACGCCCATCTCCTCGAGGGTGGGTAGTTCATCTTTGAGCTAGGGAGGTGGTGGTCAGTATTTGTGAGATTATATGGGAATCAGGGAATAGCTGGCTGTGCCGAGGAAAGACTCACCGTGAAGCGGTCGCCGTAGAGCTTCCAGGCGCCGTCGGCGGGCTCGGGTGGCGGCTGCAGGTGTCTGAGGTCCTCTGGGAGGTCGGGAATGAGGACTATGGCCTGTTCGGCGGCAGCTCCTGGGTGCTCGTCCCGCCATTTCTTGGTCAGGTCATCGTAGCGAGATATGTTGTCGGGCGTGAAGTCGCGCCAGAGGAAGTCGGGCGGGTTGGGATAGGTCGATGAGATGTTTGGCGGCTGGTGCTGTGCCGGGTCTGCCATGGTGTCGCCGGCCTGGCTGGCTTGGAAGCAAGGGTGCTGAGGGTGCTGAGGGTGGTGGCTGGTGGAGACGAGGCTGAGATGGGGGCCGAGGTCGAGTTTGGGTTGCGACGGAGGAGGAGAGACTGCGTTTTGTGTCACCGTTCCCACGAGGGAGGTCGAGGTTCCTGCAGTTGGCGATCCATGCGACCGTCAGACAGGCAATGGGATGTGTTCTGTTCAATTCTCTGCCATCGACCGTCAAGACCTGGCCATTGTTGGGGATGAGATCAACAGGTGGAAAGGGAAAGCTGTGAGTGAGTGAGCGAATGAGTGAGTGAGTGAGAGAGTGACGTTCTAAAACGGCAGCCGTGCGGCAAAACTGCCTGCCGAGACCGTTTTGCGGTCCGGCGGGAGGCTAGGCCCTCCGTAAAATGGCCCAAGCTACCTAGGTACCCTTGTGCGGACTCCACTTTTGGTCTGCTGCCCTGCCGAGCTCCCAAGACTGGCTGGACATGGAAGGGCCCAGGACAAAAAGAAGTCGAGACACTATCAATAACTGCCAGAGGGGCATCTCAGCATCGCAAGTCACCAGCCACAGGCCCAGGCAACCAACTGCCAATGGACATCAATCCTGACCGACTGACTCCTTGCAATTGAATTCGTTACTGGACCAACGTGGGGGGTTAAGAGAAGAGAGCCAGTGACGTGACGACTCCATCAATCACTGCGTGCGACTCGACTCGAACTCAATCACCCTCCACCTACATACCTCCCCTCGACCTGCGAGCCTGCGACCGTCCACGCCCAACGATCCATCCTCCCACACACGAGCCTCGAGCCTCAAAAATGTCCGACACCCGCTCCCTCCTGCGCCAGCAGCGCACCGCCCGCCGCATAACCCACCCCCACGCATCCTACGCCGACTCGGGCAAGCTGACATGCACCGTCTGCCGCGAGACCCTCAGGACCGACGCCCTCTGGGACGCCCACGCCCGCAGCGCCCCCCACCGCCAGCGCCTCCTGGCCCAGCAGCAAAAGGCCAGGCAACAACAAGGAGGTGGTGGTGGTGGTGGTGGTGGTGGTGGCAGGCACGCCAATGACGGTGCGAGCGGGCCCGAAAAGTCTAAATCCGGCAGCACGGACACCCCGAGCGACGAGGCCCTCCTGGCACAGATCATTGGCGGCGGGGTAGGGGCAGGCGCAGGCGCAGAGGGCGGGCAAAAGCGTAAACACGCCGATGTCGTCGACTCCGACGTGGACATGGAGGACGCCGCAGGCGACGAGGACGAGGCAGAAGACAGCATACGCAAGAAAAGAAGCAGGCAGGACATGGCCTCGCCCGCAGCGCCCACCGCAACAACAACCAGCAATGGCAAGAAGACCCCGCCCGCCTCGTCCTCCACGTCCTCCTCCGCCGCCACGCCCCCGGGCCTCTCGCGCCGCACCTCAGGGACCCCGTCGCACGGCGTCGAGCTGCAGATCCCCTCGCGGCCCGCGACCCCCAACGCCGCGAACGGGACGACGACGACGACGTCGTCTTCGGGGGCAGGAGGTGGAGGAGGGTCGACACCGAGGACACCGGCGGGGGCGGCGGGCCCGACCCGGCGGAGCCCGCTCATACCGCAGCAGGAGGGGGGCTCCATGCCGCCGTCGGTCACGTCCGCGCCGAGGATGGCCTCGTTCGTGACGCCAGCAGCAACACAACAACCCGAACCCGCGGGGACGACAGCAACAGCGGCTACCACCACGACGACAACTGCCGCAGAGGAAGAAGACGAGGACTGGGCCGCCTTCGAGGCCGAGGTCGTCAACGCCCCTCCCCCAACCACATCAACAACAAAACCCAACACCACAGCAGCAGCAGCAGCAGCAGCAGCAGCAGCATACTCCCACGACGCGGTGATAGCCGCCGCGCCCCTGACGGCCGCCCAGGTGGCCGCCAGGACGCGCGAGGCCGAGGCCGAGTCGCGCCGCGCGCGCGCCGACGCCGAGGAGGCCCGCGTCAAGGACGACAAGGAGGAGGCCGCGCGCGCGCTGGAGGACGAGTTCGAGGAGATGGAGGAGCTCGAGGCCCGCGTGCGGCGGCTCAAGGAGAAGAGGGAGGCTATCCGGCGGGGGAGCGTGCCTGCTGCTGCTGCTGCTGCTGCTGCTGGCGTACAGGCGGTGGGCACTGGTGGTGGTGAGGGCGCGGGTATGCCTGCGGGCACATCTGGGGTTGGGGCCGGACGGGCGGGGGATGAGGAGGACGAGGACGAGGAGGACGAGGACGAGGATGGCGAAGAGGACGATGACTGGGCGGGATTCAGGTTCAAAGCGTGAGGGGTGGGTTTGGCGTGGCCATTGTCTGTTTGTTCGTAAGGGGGGAAAAGCATTGCATGCATATGGTCTGGCGACGGCAGGGAGGCTCAAGAGGATAGCATATCCATTTCATTTAGGTCGAGGAAAAGGGCCGTCCGTCGTCAACCAACATCGGCGCTGGAGGGTCAAAGGAACATACTGCTGTTTGAACGTGTTTCTTCGAATCATACACACACACATGCTACTGTACTGTACAACAGACAAACATATCCTATGCGCCGGCCCCATATGCTGCGTAGTTGGCCTGACTTGGCCTGACTTGACCTGCCATTTCATTGCTCGCCAACCCCGTGGGACGAGGCGAGCCAGGCCTGGGAAGCCTCGAAACAAAACACCGCGGCTTCCCTGCCCCCTTTCCCAGATCAGTTCTGGTTGGACAAAGGTAATGACACCCGGCCGGCCGGCTGATGCTTCGCACTATTCCATCATCGCATGCAACTGACACTGACATGAGCCAAAAACACCGTCCAGCAGTAGTAGTTCTGTCTACCCGTGTGATTGAAAGCCTGTCGCTCGCCCAAGGCACGCGTATGATGCCAACAGAAAACAGGAGAGAAGAGAAGAAACGCCACCCATGCCAGAGCGCCATGTTGAAACCAGCTCATCCATCATCATGTCATATCATATCATCTCACCTTATCTCATCACGGATCATCCCCACCCAGCCCATACTTACTCCACACTTGACTGACTTACTTGCCCTCGTCCTCCTCCCTCGCCTTACCGCCGTCAAATAGGCAGCACAACGGGCTTCTCAGCCGGCCTCGACCTCGCCCCGTCCCACCCGCTCCCAGAACCGCCGCAGCCGCCACACGCGGCCGACGCCGCTCCGCTCCTGCCACCGCCGCCGGTCCTCGGCCTTCTCGCGCCACCGCCGCTCCCACACCCCGCCGACCCACCGCCGCATGCCGTCGCGCACCTGCTCGCGCTCGACGGCCCGCCGCTTGGCCACCAGCGCCGGCGCCACGGCTGAGGACCCGCCGAAGGGCACGCACTCCGGCGGCAGCACCGCCCGCGCGACCAGCGCCTCGGGCGCCGGGCGCGCCGCCAGCCGCCGCGACAGCCGGATCGCCGTCAGCGAGCGCGCGAGCCGCCGCGACACCACCGTCGTGTTGGTCAGGAAGATGGAGCGCCGGATCAGCTCCGTCAGCGTCGGGCGCGACGGGCTCGTCAGCAGTGGCGGGAGCGCCGTGCGCGCCTGCCGGAGGCGGAGGCGGTGGACGATCGGGGCCAGGGCCAGCGAGCGGAACTGGTGGGATGTCTGGGCCGAGGCGGTGGTCAGCTGAGGCGTGGGACAAGCAGTGGATAGGTGCTGTGCTGTGATGGGTGGGGCGAAAGCAGTAGCACAGACAAAGAGTTTGGGTGCGTTTCCACGGGGACACTCTCCCCCGGAACAAGCGCATGAACACACGGGTTTGCAGTGATCTAGCAAGCACAAGCAGACGGTGAAGGGATCCGAAGCAATACGGGTACCCTCCGGGGAACGCAAGCAAGCACTGTCACGTCCAGGTTAGAATTGACATGCACTCACCCTCGAGGTGGCCAGCAGATCAGAAACATCCAGGAAGCTCAAGACGTGTAGCAGGACCTCGTTCGGAAGATCGGCCAGCGTCACCACCCTGGCGTCACGCCCAGGAGGACACAGGAGGGGACCGCCCTGGTATTTCGAGCCGGGGATCAGGGTACAGCCCGCCTCCCAGGGCGCATCACCATCGGCGAGCGCGGGCGGGTGCCAGTCCATAGCCTGTGGGTACGCAGCATCACCACCACCTCCTCCTCCTCCTTCTTCTCCTCCTCGTCCTCTAACGTCCGGTTCTTGACCGTCACCCCTCTCGCCCGAGTGCCCGCAAGGGGGTCGTGGTGGTGATATCAGTGGAGCCGGTTGGGCAGCGGCGGCCGTGGCAGGGGTAGATGCTGTCGAGGAGGGAGGAGTGCTGGTGGCAGGCAGAGGAGGCACGGGTGGTCCGATGGGCGCGGAAGGTTGCCGCGGGCGCTGTGGCGGCGGGGAAGTGTGGTCGCTGGCAGCACAGCAGGCGGAGCAGGCCCTCGTGCGTTTGGGGGCGGGATCTGGGGGCTCGGCAGGCGTGGTGGTGACCGGTGAGAGGGCGTCGGGCTGGGTCGTGGGCCATGGCAGGTGTGTGGATAGGGTGAGGTGGCTTGCCTGGCGGGCCAGCTGTGTGGACTGTGTATCGTCGTGTGGCAGCACCGTTCCTGCAGTAGCAAGGGTTGGCGAGGCGGAAGCCGGTTGGGAGCAGAGGGGAGTCTGCTGCGAGTCCATGTCCCTCACCGTTGGGTACCGAGGCTTGCGCTGTGTGATGGGGCACACTATGGCTGTCGGCTGCAGCGCGGTTTCGTCAGGTGCCGAGAGGGATGGATACTCGGGAAGACTTCAGTCGATCGGTCAGTCAGTCAGTCAGGCAGGCAGGCAGGCAGGCGGGCAGGCAGGCAGGCAGCAGGCAGGCAGGCAGCTCAGCTCGTCCTGTTCCGCATGTGGGCGCGCCTCGGGCATGGGCGTCACGAACGCAGGTACGGTACGGTACGGCGGATGTGTGTCGAGAATGCTGCGGGTCGCAGGGCAGGGAAAGGCAGGGCCACAGGGCCACAGGGCCAATAGAGTGGACAGCCGGCGTGGGCCGGCGTATGGGACGGATGCGACGCGTGGGACGGAAGAGGTAAGTCAAGTCGATGGTTGAATATCAAGATTGAGGACGGCTGGGCGGCTAAAAGGTGACAGGTCACGGCCGAGTCGGCCACGGGTGGATTGCGGGCTTTTGCCGATATTTCGATCAAGGATCACACAGCCGAAGACGGACGGGACTGAGAAAAATCCTCGAATGGAGAGAGAGAGGCCTGCGGGTTCGTTGTTAGCCTGGACCACAGCTGTTGGCACTGACCAGACGGGCCGAGGCCACGAGGAGAGAGAGGAACATCAGGACGAGCGGCAACGATGGGACACGAGGCGCGATGGCACACGAACCTAGCGCCCAAGTCACCCGGCCGGAAACAGGTACGCGCGTGCAGATGGGCTCTGAGCTAATAGCTCCTAAGGTAGTCGGTAGGGACGACGGGGGCGATGCCCTTCTGAGGTGGGACAAGTCGAGCCTTGGAGGGGTGGGTGGGGTGTTATTGGACTGGGTATCTGTCTAGGTATCGTGGTATTGTTGCTGTCTATAGTCTGGGTGCCCAAAGGTGGAACGAGGCAGATAGAGAGAGAGAGAGGAGAGAGAGACAGAGAGAGAAGAAATGCAGGTTGAGGGAACCGAGATGATTGATCGTTAACACATGTCAGAAGCTAAGTCATGAGGATGAGGAGGAGCCCTTGTGTGTCGTAGGAGTTGTTCATCGGTCATTTCAGGTCATCCAGGTGGGTCATAGGACGGGTCAGGTGATAGCTGTGAGGTGTTGTGTCTGGTGTGGTGTGGTGTTTTGTGTGCGAGAGTGTCTGGTTTGCGTGTGCTCGCGGTTAGGCAACTCTCGTCGGCAGGAGCTGCTTGCCGTTTCCTGTTCGTCACGGTGGCAGGTGGTGAGTGAGTGAAGTGAGGACGTTGGGACGGGACGGCTGAGACGAGACACTGCCCGTTGCGTTGCGTCACGTCTCCAGGGGACAGGGGCCAGGTCCGTTTCGATCTCGCCAATCGTTACATCGGTACGTACCTGGGTTGGCTGGTCGCAGTGGTCTGGCGCGCAATGTACTTTGTACCTCCCTCTCCCCAAACCCCCCACACACACCCGGTGAGCCACATGGAGAGAGGACGGGCGGGGTTCAGGTGAGAGAGGGAGAGAGAGAAAGAGAGAAAGAGCACGACTGTTTCGGTCACTTTTCATCGAGACTAGACTCCAATATGCACATCTGCATGACAACTCATCATCTCGCCGCCTTGCATCGAGGGTTTCTGTCGGGGACTGTGTAGCCTGGCCCAAGCTGCTAGGTTCCATTCTCAGGCCGTCCCGTCCGCATTTGTGCCACGTACCGCCGTATTTGGAAGGCCAAGGGGTCTCTTCCCTGTCCCTCCCTGTTCTGGCACCTTCCCCAGTCCGGGTCGCTTTGGTGACAGCCCGCAGGGGACTTTTGGGGACTTTCGGGTGAGGGGGGGCCACTCGATGTGGGCACGGACGAAATTAAGAGGTGGGGCAGGCCATGCCCATATGACGCTGCGGGGTAATGTGTAGGCACTGACTGTACGTACTGTGTTGGGGTGGACTCGACTGACTGCACTGCACTCCACAATACATCCCCAAGTCGGGCATCACACAACGCTCATTCAAGGTTTGTAAGGCATTGACACCATGTGCATTGAGGCAGTCAGTCAGGTCAGTCAATCTACATATGTACCTAAGTATAGTGCCGTCTTGATAGTCTTTACTGTATGTATCTAAAGTATGTATCTATGTATGTCTGCAAGGTGTGTGAGAGTGTGATTGATATGTGATATGGAATGACAATACATCTCTCCCTACTGGGCAGTGTGCCTGTCCTCTGTTCGGCCGATACACAACAATCTGCACCTCCTTCTTATTAGTCTAGTTCATCGTACATCGTGGCTTAGTCTACTTCTCCCGTGCCGTCCCCCGCCGTCCGACGTCTCATCTCATCTTACCCGTCGCCCACAACACCCACGCCAGCCACCAGATGTGCTGCCCACCCTCCTTCCAGTTACACAACATCTACATCGGACCGTTGAACAATGTATGGTCTCCCGCCTCGTCCCGCAGGTGTCAGTAAGTCAGCTTATCAGTCAAGTGATTTGGCCCCCTTTCTTTCTAGTTGTTTTCTCAACTTGATGAGTGAGCACTTTATGTAATTTGTCCTCGGTGGTTCGCCGTGAAGCCACATGCATATGCACATATGTATACGCCCAGATCGGCATTTTGTTATCACTGTCGTGATCAAGGACGAGAACGGCACTTTCGAACTCTGTAGGTAGCCCACCCTAGCTAGACCTGGTACTGATATGCATCTTTCAGCATTCCCATACACAGGCCAACCACCTGCACGACCAGCCTACCGTCCCCACAAGTGCATGTCTTCGACAGGGTGACAAATCACCTTTATCCGTCTGCAAGACATGTTTTCCCTGCCCCATGCCCTGCCAGGCCCGGGTCTCCCATGTCTAGGGTTGCTGCCAGTCTGCCTGGCTGCCTTACTCCAGGGCTGCGCAGCCCCGCCGGTCTGCCTTGTTTCTCCCATGTCACACGAGGCTCCATGGCTGGCTGGCTGGCCACTTACTCACGCCATCTGATATCAACTTGCACTTTCTCCCGCACACCATCGACTAAAAAATACATGTACTCACTCTCTGCCACCCATCCATCCAGTTCTGTCACTTCTCACCTTTCCCCTTTCCCTTCCCTCCCAAGCCTCAGCCGCGAATGGAGCCGAGCTTTACTTGCTCACCCAAGATTGTCCATTGGCATGCCGCCCTGCCTGACAGCCTCTTCACCGACGTCGTATCGCGTGCCCGACCGTCGTTTCACACTCACTCACTCACTCCTTCGGCCATGCCCGTCACAAACATGTCTTCCTTTTTGGCTGACACAATGATTGCTGCCATGTGCTGTGTGTACACACACGCCTGCCCACCCACTCGGGGATGCAATTCGTGCGACTCAAGCTATCCCTGACCAGTTGAGTGAGTGAGTGGGCTCCGGCCCCGGGCCAATGACAACTGACCCTTGGTTGGAAACCCGGCTCGGTCTGCGACGAGCCCCTTCGAGCACCGCAACCAGAAACGACCCGTATCTCAAGTCGGCCTTCTCATTCTAGAAACCAAAAAAACAAAAAATATGGTTCGCCACCAACCAAATAAACGGCCCGCGGGTACACTTCCCGGCGCGGGACGTTAGATGACGTGCGTCTCTGCTGCCCGCCCGTGTTTATTCGCGCCTGGTTTTCTGGCTCTCCCGTGTGAGAGTTTGTGAGTATTATGCACATGTGCATGCATGTACGTGTGTATGTACGCATGTATGTATGTAGGTGCGCAGATGGGGATCCCGTTCTGCACGTCCTGCCATGCCAGGCCGCCACGCCGCCTGCCCGGTGGTGGTGGGTCAGGCGTCATGTACCCTGTCTTCGCCCTCCCTGACAGCCTGAGCAGACGCCCGCCCCGGCCGCGACGCCCGGGAAAAATGGGGCCACGCGTTGACCGGGCAGGCCATCCTCTTTTTTTCGGCTTGTAATTCCGACAAGGAGAGACATTTCCCAGATCGTGATCTGTGCTGCTTCAGATCCTGCGAGACGGTGATTCCTTGGCTGCCCCATCCCTGTTCCCGCACCCTCTGTATAGACGTGCTTGACATGGATAACACCACCATCACCACCACCACCACTGTAGCACAGCCACTCCATATTGTGAATATTATTCAGCCTACGTGACGAGCTGTGTACTGCGCTGTAGTCTCGGAGCGGCAGCCCTCCTCGTTGCAGCAGGGGTGGGGCTGCTGTGCGAGCATGGTCGCCTTTTCAGGCCACATTCCACCCACACGCCGGTGGGTTTACCAGTGCCCAGCCAATCAGGCTCCCTGCGAGCCGCCCAAGAGGCTGAACATGAGACGCGTCTTTGCGGCCGAATTCATAAAACCAAAGGGGAAATCAACAGAAGCCTAAATTTAGCACGAGGGTTGACAGCCCCGTCCAATATCCGGCCGGCTAGCTGTCACGGGTTCATCCGTATTTTTCAAGGTGCAGTGAGTGAGTGTAAAGGCGTTTAACTTCACACCCGCTTGAGCCGGTCTTCTTGTGTAACAGCAAGTCGGTCTTGGCATCGGTATTATACAACACGTATGTGCAACGGCCATGCAGCGGGAGTAACAGCAAAAGCAGGGGCACAGTTGTTGAAAGCCGAACAGAGTTGGTTGAGGACAACGGATGACACCCCTTCTGCAGGCTCTGAAAGTGGCTGGCTGGCAGGCAGGCTGGACGGATGGATGGGCTGTCTGTCTTGTCTGTCACTGTCGGGCTCCAGCGAGCGCGGATGGGTTCAAGTGCCTGTGACAGTGACAGTGCACTAGAGTTCCCGCCGGGCAGGGCCAGAACAGGGCCCCACCGGTAATCGTCGTGTTATGCCATTGGCCCCTTCGTCTTCCTCCAGGCGGGCATCCAAGGATCCTCGGCATACACTTGCCCCTTCCGGCAGTTCGCATGCCTAGATCCTCACATGATTCGTGGGCCGGGCGCTGCTGGTGGCCCCTGGTCTCAATCGACTCCCGGCTCCCACACCCACACACAAAACACACACACCCATGAACAACCCGCGCGAGGCTGGCTGTCTGGGGCGAGATGCCTTCTGGTGCCCCGGGCGGGCGGCGGGTGCGATAGAGAAAAGCCTACCGCAGCGCAGATGCCCTGTATTTCAGCTGGGAAATTAAGGTTTTCCTCGCTTGTGCGCTGTGGGCCCAATTCGTTGACGCTCGAGGTTCCTCTGCTCTTGTGACGGCCGAATCAGAAGCCGCAGACATGGTTTCATGAGCTCACACACGGAACGGGCCGTCACCGAGACGACCGGCCATACGTCGCGACCCGCAACAACCAAGCACGCGCAATCTAACCTCGAGGCCATTCCCACACTGTCCACCGTTCATTGCGGATGGACAATTACAACGGCCAGGCCTGGTCATCCAGGGTTTCCACTTTGCGGAGCGCCATTCCCTTGGACCGAGGAAAATTTGCTAAGCCGAGGGGGGTGGTGGGCAAACGGGTCGCCGTCTTTTTTTCTTCCCGGGAGGGACCGAGTACTCTCCACCGGCATGTCCATCCTTCTTCTCTTGAAACAATCTTGCTGTGGGTTCAGGTCTGAGGTTTCCATCCTGGGTGATGCTTGCGGAAGAGTCCCTTGGCCATCGGACGGGAGTTGCGACATTGAGCTTCGTGATGTGGCCAAGGCTCAAGTTCATACCTGCCCAGATTGCTGCCAATTAGGCGACTTGGCCTGGAAGGATGTTTTCAGCGGCCGCAGCGGCAGAGCAACCTCCCGACTAAGCAGCACAATTTCATCACCTTTCCGCCTCTTGACAGGCGCCCCAGTCTTTTGGCCTCAATTCTGGCCGCAATGCGTCAAAGATTTGGGTGGAATGTGATTGCCACCCGGATATCCAGCGCTCCGAAGTACCAGGCATGACAAGTGGTCGTGCACAAGCTCCATGATAATGTCCTTCGAGAGAGTTCTCTGGCTTTCGGGCCATGCTGGTCTCGTCCTCCTTGGTGCGTCATGGCAGATCCTCATTCAAGTTTGAGATGAATATAGGTCGTCATCATCCATATTGAGGCCGTGGACGATCGCCACGGGTTGCTACTCCACGCACCACCCCGAATCCCCGAGGTGGCTCATATAGATGCGGCATTAATACTTGGGGCCATACTCGAAAGTCAATCGGTGAAAGTGAGTGACGTTGTCTGGGGATTGATTGCCTTACGGCACCAGCCAGCCCCGGCTGCGCATAGTAGACCTATGTCACTGCCACGGGCGGTCACATCAGTCTCAATCCGCCGGCCGGCCTGTGGGGGTGGCCTATGTCACTTATCCAGCTCGCACTCGCTTGACACATCCCTCTGAGTCTCCGTATGCTCCTCTTTTCCTCGTGATGTAGCGCGTGCTATTCAATGCCCCACGATATGGGCTGCTGCTCTTGTTCGCGATGTCGCTCGGTCGAACAATGACTCGTCGGCCCCTGACAGGTTACCTCACGAGGCGGCCAGAAAAGGCGGCCACCAAGTCCTGCGGCACACCACCAGCAACACCATTATACCCACCCCTGGCGCGGACGGCCGCCGATCTGGCCACCGCGGCCATGTTTTCACGTCGAGGTCGCGTCTGGGGCGCTTTGCGCGGCGGAATTCTTGGAAGCGTGGGAAATCAGAAAAAGAAAAAGCAGGAAGCCGCGGTCAGCGTCAGGCGGCGTTCGAGAAGACCATCGCCATCGAGAAATTCTTCTTTGCCTTGGCCGAAATCCAATCGCCGCGCCCATGTTCCCCTTGGCTGCGTTGGGTCCCTGTGCCGATAGCTTCTGCTCGGGCGACACCTGGGCATGCGCTTGAGAGTGCCTTGCATGGTTGATCTGGCCTCTGGGCAAGTCAGTCACGGCCACGTCGGCGGCCTGTTCCGCCTGAGCTGCCCTCCTTTTCCCGTTGAGGAAGGCCTCCCCCATAGCTGATCGGGGGTCAGCACTCTAAGAACGCCGTCTCCCTGTTACATGTCGTCCGATATTACACAAAAGAACGTGTACACAGTGGTAAGACAGCGACAGCCGGATGCCTATCCGCTCGCTTCTGGCGCTGCCCACATCGGCTAGTGGGCGCGCATGCCAGAGCTGCCAGCACTGCGCAACTGACCCCTAAGCAGTCAGCACAATAGAGCGATGACGGCCCCATGTGGCAACGGCGGGCCCAGCCTCTTCAGGCAAGTCCAAAGCCTACCTTGGGTAAAGTCGAAACCTAATGCGTCCTACAGTGTCACTGTTTCCGCTGCCGCTCGCCTCGTCTCCTGCCCCGATCCTCACTCGTCGATGACGCCCCGGGGTATGGCAGAGGGTCGTAGCTCCGCATCATGGAGGTGGGCCAGCTCGCTGGATCATCTGGTACTGTGACTCTTGTGAAATGCAAGATGTGTTGTCTTACGGCTGTCTCCCCCATTCGCCCGTGGTTCCTAGCCTGGCTGGCCAGGTAGACGGCTAACATGACCAAATACCGAGTCGCCCTTCGGATGGAAAGGCTCCCGCTTCTGCCACCGGCCTGCCACTGCTAAGCCAATACCGTACCGTGACCACAGGATGGAGTAGCGGGCGGGATGGCCTGCTCGGGGAGCTCCCAATTTCGCTTCAGTGACTTGTTGATTCACCCATGCTGATTCGCTCAGCCAGGTGCCATGACTCTTGATCCGGGGCGCAGATGATAGATCTCCTTGACGTCCGTAGACCAAGCTCCCGACTGTCATGTGAGCGATCGTCCGCCTGCTGGCCGGAGAAACAAAGCCAGCCCTTCCATTCGAGCCGGGCAAGACCATCGTCAGCTCAGCCTTACGAGGAGTGTGTGAGACGTCCGCGAAAAAGTTCAAGGGTGGTCCATGTTCTCGTGTGCCAGATTCTCCATAGGGCTAAGACTTTTGCGTATGTGTCACTGACCGTATCAACATGCATACTTCACTGCCAGGCCCTTACCCCGGGTGGGCGGGGCGGGCCTAGCCTGAAAGCATCCGACCTGCCCAGTCGTGCCATGTGGTACGAACTGCTCGGTTTGGTGGCGGCTGCATAGGAGATACAACGAGCAGATCGTCATCCCCTTGGCAGTTCATGTGGCGGCGGGATGGAACCGTGAGACCAGAAGGATGCAAATGCTGGCAAGGGTCGTGAAAATGCACTTCGGTGGGCCATGCCCCTACCCAGGCCGCATTGCTCAACAGGGTGGGGTGCTGACACGGTGATCTGCACGAGGTAGTGAGCGAGGAATTCCTCAGGATTAGGGTGCTGACGACCGGGAGAGGTAGTGTGGATGTCACGGCCAGCGACATGGCCATGTTCATGCCCATGCCTCATCCGGGCCTATCCGACTTGACGAGCATTCCGTGGACGAACAGGCATTGTTGTTGCACAACACGCAACGGCTTGACATGCATGCCTCCTCGCCAGGGTAAGAAAGAGAGGGAGACAGATGGTAGTGGGTTTTGAACGGCGGGGCGATATAGCCTCCAACACGCCAAAGAGGAAAGTAATGCACCGGCCATGGGACACAGAAGTCGGTGGCGGAAATGTTTTAGACAGAAGACATGTAATATGATGATACATAAAACAACGTGGCTCCACCAGACCAAGCCCAGTGCCCAGGACCGACGTTTGGGAAGCATGCGTCTGGGTGAAATGAAAGACGAAGGGATACATGTCAGGGGTCTAGGACCCGGTACCGGGCAGCTTTTCCGAGGCAGAGAAAGGCCCGTTTGGGGTCGTGGAGAAGTACCTACTCAGGAGGGACTGGACATTGCCTAGTACTGGTTGGGCAATTCTGTCCATTGACTGTGGGTTTTTGACCGGCTGCATATTGGGGCTTGCAGACAAGTTGCTGTGTCTCCTCAGGAGCAAGCCTCGTCAACAGATATGCTGCAGACAGTGGTGCGTTGGCAATGGTTCCGGTCCACCTTCCCAGACCAGCCAAACAGGGTCGGTCATGGCGGTATAAGTATGGTGCCTGCTCGACGTGTTTCTCTGCTCGGCCGCATCATGGATTGTGCCTGCTTCAAAGTTGTCAAGCCCCATGTCAAACCAATTGGAACCAATTGTTCCATAGGAAGTCTTGAAACATCCCAAAGTCAGCACGCTTGCGGCCAGGGCCCCGTTATCACGTCACCCCCGAAGATATTTGACTCCGTCACGCACTTGGTGGGTCAGCCCTGTGTCGGTAGGTCCCGTGTACTGTCAAAGGCAGAGAGGAGTGCAGCTCTGCCGGTAATTAGCCTAGGGGCACAAGTGGGCTAACGAGTCTCATCAGTGCTGGCTAACGCGCCTCGCCAATAAATAAAGAAGCCGCTGTTCTCCCACCCCTGCCGGAACATGTGTTATTTCGAGCAAACGCGTTGGCAATGCGGCTTCTGGAAATGGGGCAACTTCAGACAGCAGTGCAACAAGGAGTACCGAACCGGCGAGACATGTGGTCTGAAGTTGGTCTACGAGACAAATTACTTGGCCGGAACCTGCAAGCTGTGCGATCAGTCAGAAAAGAAACAGCGCCGCTACAACAAGATGGCTCAAGACGTTGAGCGCTGGAGGAGAGAGGGCAACCGAAGGGCGACCATCGAAAAGACAGAGGATGACATGGAGGAAGTCCGATTAGCGATAGAGAAATTATGGGTTGAACATGAGACTAGGTTAAGAACCGTTACATAAGGTTGTCCACTAGGGGTGGGGGGTTTTGGAGGGGAGAGACGACAGCGATGCGTCGTCCACACAGGGACAACAAGCTTTGCGCAAATGAAGATCGGCTTGGAAAGTTTCCGGTTAAAGAGACCAATACAGGAAAACCAGGGCATGGAAGGGGATTGGGAATGGGAATGGGAAATGTAAAGGGTCCTCCAGATCAGTGTAGATTATCAAATGGGTTGGGAATGACTTGCGAGTTACTGAACGCGCCTTTAAGCATGTGCTGGAATCGGAACAATGGACTGGACTGGACTGGGTCAGGGTTGGGAACTGTAAAGATGCTCATCACCGATGGCGAACGAAATTCGATCTCCCAGAGGCTTACCTGAGCCGTGTTGCAACCGGAGAGCCAGCAAATCGACTCAGTGACCAGTGGGCGATCCAGGTGGGGCCTGAGAAGAGACTGTAGCTGCAGGACTCTGCCCGCCGGGGCGCATGCCACAGATCCCTCTTAAGCAAGCAGCACATGCGGCCTCAGACGTGCCGGGTCATGCGTGGGAATGATGATGCATGTGAGCCGAGTCGCCGGGGTCCCATTCCCCACGTTGACTTGCATCATAGTGGCCCGCACAAGGTTCTGACAGGCTCGCCGGGACAGGAGGCGTCCCTATGAGCACGTAAGCGGTTGGAACTTGAGTCTCGGACCGACGAATAGGGTGAGGGAGCGGCGTGAGGGGTGACAGAATGGCTCGATGGAGGAGTACATCTTCGGTATAACCAACAAGGTAGGCCGAGGCCGTGCCGGCTCCCGCCCGTACGGCCGCCCATGCCCAGGACTGACAATAGCGACGAGGGCCCAAGATGGAAGGGCGGCATGATTGGTAGTCAGGCCAAACACGGGTCAGGACGGCGCCGGCGAATGCCGCCCGGGACCCCCGGGTGGTGTCCCAGGGAATTGATCGTAAGGAGCCGTTAGGAGTAATTAGTTATGGCGACATTGAAGCTCCGAGCATGCTGGCCCATCGCCCTGCTCCACGTTGGAGAGGCCCTGCGCGACTTATGCGACCACGCCGCGTCCTGCAGAGCTAGTAGCGGGCGTTGAGCCTAGGCTGGACGCGCGGAGGGTTATATTTGGGGATAGTCGTCTGGGCTAGCCACGGGTCACCGTCCACATGCCGACCTGGTAAGCAAGCATGAGTCCCTAGATCAATGGTTCGTGGGTGCCTCTCAGCCAGGGACGGCGGCGGCGGCGGCGCCGTCATGAGAGTTCCTGAACCCCACGGTGCGCTTGTTCTTGTCTGGTAGAGCCTCCGGAGACAGGACTGCGGCTTGGTGTTCGGGGACGGCCCCAATCGGCTGGGATACAGGTTTTTGCTCCCGCATTAGCCTGATCTCCGCCGGAACCCAAAACAGGCCCTGGATCTCCAGCGTCGCAACGGCCTCCTCCAGACTTGTGCCGGGCGAAACATGCACCGAAGCCGGAGGAAGCACAGCAAGAAAATTCTGACGAAATGCAGCCGACTTGAAGCTAATCGTGCGACGGCCGATGCTAGTCCCCACCTCGAAGCAACATCAGGGAGAGTTCGTACGTGGCTGCTGCTCAATGGGTCTGGCCCAGGCGCGGCCCTTGGAAATTTCTCCATGGGGGTGTCGGTGATTGGTGGCCGGCCCTGAAAAGAGGAGATCCAAGCTCAGTATGCTTCGCAGCCGTCGAGGAAGGAAAAGATCGGTGTGGGGGGCGGACAGGAGGGGAGCAAAAAAAAAAATTAGAGCTTGTTGGTATGGACTGAGTAAGAATACAGATGCGTGTGCCGTCGCCCACTACGAAGTGCGGCTCCCCGAGTTGGTACTGTGGCACGGCACCCTGTTCGACGTGGTGGGTCGCCCGTTGCCTCGGGTCGTGTGTGCCATCACAGGAGGTGTGATAACATGGGCAGCACGAGGCGACGCATCGGTGGCCGACCTGTTGCCCAGCTGCATGCGGCAGCCACATGACATCGGGCGTATGCTCGTCACGAGCCATGAAGTTGAAATAAGGAAAGGCTAGAAGATTGTGATGTGATGTGTCGTCCAAATCCCGGTCTGCGTGAAGCCCCTGTCCCTGCTCAATGCATCATGCCATCGCCGCTGCAGCTTCTCGAAAGTTGCCGACCAGGGCGTCGCTGGGCTCCGTCTTGATCTGTGGAACTCCCTTGTGCATTGCTGTGGCGTCTGCGTCCTCGTCCTCCTCCTCGTCCTCCCCGGCGGACCACTCGACCCTGGCCCCGGCAGCCGAGTCCTCCTCGTCGGCGCTGAGCTTGGACAGCAGAGACTGGTACCGCATGTGACGTGCCTCCTGACCCACAAGGCCGTATGGGGTGGGCGGTGCCCTGTATTGTGCGTCCTTGGGGGGTGCGATCTCAAAAATATCCACCATGTTGCTGCATCGCCACGGGTCAGTCGCTGCCTGTCAGGGGGGAGGCGCATGCTGTGCTGTCTTGTCCGGGGTGCCAACGTACTCGGAGGTCCTGGCGACGACCCGCTGGAGAGCCTCAATCTCTCGCTGGGCCTCCATAGGATCGCTCTGACTGGTCATCTGCTGTTCACCAAAGCTTCCGTAGTGGATCCCATTTGGATCATCGAAGAGGAGGCGCGATTCCTCGTCCTGGCCACCGACCCCAGCAGCGTTAGCAGGAAGAAGACAGGGAATGGGGCGGCGGGCAACAAGAGAATAAACCGGTCTCACCTCCGCTACCGAGTCCCTGCGGCGCTGGCCAAGGCAAGATGCGCAGTTACCCATGGTGGGCGCGACAAAAGAGAGGCAGCAGAGGCTGGGCTGTCGGGAGATGGAGGCGTGCGCGTGGGTCTCTGTGCGGGTGGCTGGGCTGGGCTGGGCTGGGCTGGTTGGTTCCCTTTACAGGGAACAGGCTGAAAGTTGCATAAAGAGCGAGTGCGTGGGAGAAGAAAAGATCATGATAGAGTTTAGAGTTGCGTCCATCCAGGCGATGTCGCGTTGCTGGTGTCGCCGTCGCAGTCCGAGTCGCAGCCGCGTTGTTGTTTGGGAGATGATGCTATGCCTTTGGTCTGATGAATGCGAAATTGCACTTTCCCATGCCATCATCTCAATCTTGCCGCGCGCGGCAGGCAGCACCCCCCAGCCCGGCCAGGTACGGAGTAGATACACAGGTACATAGTACAAGCCCCGTCCCTGCTGACTAACCTGGTCCATGTACCCAAGTACCTATGTACCCAAGTACCTTGGTAACCTACGTGCTAAGCCTTACAACATTGAACACAACAACCACCCCTGAGTCGGGCATGCTTTTGCATCTATCCGCCCCATCCCTTGAAGAAGCCGACAGCAGCATCCGATCTCGCCGTCGAACCAGCAGCGGCCGAAACCCGTCCTCATACCGTATGTAGGGAGAGCGTTGATGGTTTAACTCTCACAAACAACAGACAGACCGTGCCGGACGTGCGCTGCTCCTCCCTCGAGGGGCCCGAATCAACACTGCCCGTCAATAACCCGGTTTTACTCTTTGGTTCACTATCCCAACTCTGCAAAGGCAGTATCTCCACCTCCCTTCCCAACGGCCCAGTGCTTCATTGACTCTCATCGTCGGCCGCATGCGGTTGGTTTATAGTGCTTTGCTCAGTTTCCTGTATCAATAGTAGCAGGCTATCCAACCTCCCTTCCCTTCGGTCCCCAACTTTGGGTGCGGTCTGGAGCATCATGTTGAGACGGGCGCGGCTCGATCTTGTGTCGTGATACACAACGAGACCGCTGTCGATAGTCGCAATCTATTCATCTCCCTTCATCATAGACGCGGCCAAACCTTGGAAGTGAAGCTGTCGTTGAGTGAACTCGATGCGCACGATGTGATTGATATATAAGAGTCGGGTTCTCAGCTGACAAGGTCTAGACAGCGATCAATGTTTCCATCGCCAGCAAGCACTTCATTCTTCTCACCCAAACAGGTTCGAACACCTCTCTCAAGTCTCAAAATGGCCCACGCAAAGACGACATCGCTTTTGGCACTCGCCGTCTTCTTGGCTTCCTCCCAGGCCCAGGCTTATGGCCGCTTCCAACGGGCCGAACACCATAAAAACCAGGGCCGCCAGGATGTTTCCGGAACAGCACAGAGCTGCCCGCCTCCCGTGACCATCACAGAACCTCCAGTGACGGTCACAGAGACCTCTATCCCTCCCACAACGGCGTTCCCATCCAGCCCTCCAGGAGGGGGCAGCAACACCATCGTGACCGTCACCGAGACGGTAACCATCCCTGGGACAACCTTCACCGTTCCAGGTATCACAGTGACCGTCCCAGGGACTACCGTCACCGTCCCGGGGACCACAGTCTTCGTGACAGAGACACTGCCCCCAGTTACCCTGAGCCAAGTGCCCACCCCGGAGCCGTCCTTCCCCTCATATGGCCTGTCCGAGCCGCCGCCCCCGGCCACCGCCTCTCCCTCGCCCCCATCACCACCCGAGGAAACCACCATCACAGTCGAGGTGCCGCCGCCCACAGGAACACCAGCCACGCCAGGGACGCCACCCAGCGGCGAGACAACCATCACCGTCGAGGTCCCGCCGCCGCCCACGGGCACGCCCACGCCGGGGATCCCCACGCCAGTCGCCCCAGGCGGCCACCACGGCAACGACACCAGGACCACCAACACGCCCACGCCCACGCCCACGCCAGGCTCGCCCTACGGCAACGACACCACCACCACGGTCGTCGTCCCCGAGACCCCCACCCCCCCGGGCACCGGCAGCGATACCCTCACCGTCACCGTCGAGGTCCCCCCGCCCACAACAACACCCACCGCCCCCGACACCACAGCCACGCCCGGCCTCCCTGGCACCACCCCGACGGTCTGCGCCGTCAGGACTGAGACAGTCGTCGACACGGTGACCCTCACCATCGGCACGGACAGCAGCACCCCAGGAGGAGCGGGGGCCACGACCGTCCTGCCGCTGCCGCCGCCGCCCACCCTGACGACCGTCACCGTCCGCACCACGGCCGTGGTGAGCGTTACTAGCAGCCGCCCCGGGTACGGCGGGGATGAGACTCAGTAAAGGGATATTGACTAGTTTGTTGGTTGGTTGGTTTGTTGGTTGGTCGGTTGGTTGAGTAAGTAAGTGGGCGATCCCGACAGCAACCGCAACGAGAGGCGATGCTGGGATTATATCGTTTTTGTTGGTGGATGGGCGAAAAGCGCTGTCTGCGTTCAATTTCTTCCTCTTTCCGTCCTCTTCTTGTTGTGTCTGGGCTTTGTTCTTGGGTGTTAACGGTCGGAGTAAGGTGGGAAACGGGTACCTGGGTAGGTAACATTGGAGTACCGGTGTTGGTTGTTTTTGTCCCTTTCTTGTTATTCGCCAGGGAGAGGCGAGAGGCGCTGGGGTTTCTTCGCCTGGCTCCCTGGTTCTGTCTCTGTGCAGGCAGTGACTTATTATCCCAGTTGGTTCTAGAACCTCTTTTAATATCATGTTCGATTTATGGCATCGTACTATTACCAAATCTTCACAAGTCTGAATGAATTGTGGTGGAGTACTTGTGGCTAAACTACCGTTGACGTGATCACCTTCTGCAAGTTCCCCCATAGAACGTTGCTCCCAGCTACATCCGTGTACCAAATTTATTTACAGTTTCAAAGGTTTGCAGCAAGTGACTCCCGTTTCTCAACAATACCTTAGCAAAAAACAGCCCGGGATATGATCTCTTTACTGTAAACTTAGAATCTGCAACGATGCTCCCTCACGCCATGGTACGGGCCCTCTTCCCGTCTGTTTTTGACCGATCGCCGTAGGTACGAGCAGTACTCGCTGCCCGCGAAGCATGTGACTGGCTTGCCTGCCAGGTCCCTTGCGGTGATTCTTCCTCCGTGCTCCATACCCTTGCAAGTCTTTTGTCCTCCGCCAGGGGTGACGGAGACGCCTCGGAGTCAGTGCTGAGGAAGGCCGGGTTTGCAGACGTAGATTTCGGGATTCGCTGGCTCCGAACTGGTGTCTGCAGACGCTGCGTCGGGGGAAGGTCCTCTGGAACCTCTTCGATCATCGCCTATAACTCCAGGTCAGGGTGTGTTCCTCCCAGAAACACAGGTCAAGCTACACTTCAAGCTAGACAGACAGCACTCACAAGACGAGGCCGTTTCTTCGGATTGGACAAACTTGATGGCCTGGTGGGTGACGCGGCTAAGTTCAGATATGGCGAATCTGACCCCAAGGTGGGCGAGGTTCCTAGCCATTGCTCCGGCAGATCCTGGTCGGTGTTTTGGTCGGCCTCTTCGGAAACAACCTCGCGACTAGGTACATCGTCAGTTGGGCAAAGTCTTCGGGGCTTCTTTACTAACATGAAGCTCCCAATTCGAAGTCGGCTGGCTCCCTGTTTGTGTTCCAGGTCTGAGAGCGCCTCCCTGACGCCATGGCCATACCCAGCCCAATCACCTTGGAGTTTGGTCTGTTTATTGACAGCGGAGACAAAGAGGCGGGTGTAGAAGCGGTCGGGAAGCTGGGGGCAGGTAAGAACCACCTGTTTCAAATCCTCGAAGAAGGCCTCTGAATCGAATAGTTTGCGTGAACGGCTGCCCTTGAACGGCGAGTCACCTTTGCCAGCCCAGTGGGCGTAGGCAAACAGGTCCCCCTGCTTATTGTAGCTGAATTGGAGAGTGAAGCACTCAATCAGGCTGTCTCTGGACCATTCCTTGGTGTCATTGAAGCAGATATAGACCTTGCCGAGAAGTCGATCCGCAATTGCAGCAAAGATCTGGTCCTGGGGTTGTTAGTTGGTGCTTTTGAGTGTTCTTGTCCAATATGCTTCGGACAAACCAGATCTGCGAGCAGGTTGAGTAAACGCGGATTGTCGCACTCTTTCAAGTACACCAGCGTGTCTCTATTGGGACAGAGTGTCTGAAGAGGGTCTTCCCGGTTGGAGAGACGTCGTCCTGATTCGAGGAGGCGGTTGTGTGTGGCCGATGGATGGAGAATGTCCTGTACTGACAATTCCCGGAAACAGTTCTCAGGAAAGGCTTGTCTGGGGGTCACAGCGGGATTAGTCCAAAGAAAGGCACAAGATGATAGTGTGACAATGGAACCCACCTTCCGTAAAGGATGACGCTGAGCTGTGGGTAGGTCGAGATGTCAGCTTTAACACGTTGCCATGGCAAGAAAGTCGGGTATCGCGAGTACCATGGTGGTGACGAGCATCTTGTCAAGCTCGACATCTTTGCCAGCAGCATCGCTTGCGGTCGCAACCATGGCCTCTTGGGGGCCTTGGGATCAAGGACTGGAGAAGAGAACGTATCGGTGAACAAGGCACAGGGGACTGCGAGGCCCTAAGGGTGGTGCTGTGTCTTGCTCAAGGCCAAGAACAACCTGGCTTCACGACAATGGGATGGGGACTTGGAGTTGGGCATGAGGCAGTTTGACAAGGTTGTGCAGCAAAGGGAAACGCTGCACCCGCAGCTGGCCTCCAGCGCAATTGATGCATTGCTGCCACCAAAGAGGAAGGAAGGACAGTGGTGGCTGCCGTCTGACCAAGCAGGACCGGAGTGACTTCCATGTTGCACTCTTCTTCTACCCTCGACTAATCACAAGATGGCAAGGACCTCATGAAATCGAAAGTAGCATAAGAATGGAACAAGTTGCGGTTGATATCACAGTCTGCTTTGACATTTGGTATGGCAATCCTGATGCACAAGCGTGGGTGTGGAGAATCACTAGCAGGACAACATACAGTATCTCACCCAACCTGCGATGGGATACTCCGTGGGGACAGATACTTTAGGACAACCTTCTACAAAGCTTCTACAGGAGTTGGACGACCTTCTGGATTGCCTTTTATTATGGGTGAAGCTTCTACGATTAGCAACCATAAGAATACGAAGTATTTCAGCCACAGGGGCTCTGCCATGACGTATGCTTGTGTGGAAGGTGTGACGGCGGCACGGTATTAGTATCTGTGCCAATCCGCATAGCAGCTCGGAGCTTGGGCTTCAAGTACTAATGGACGAGGAGTGTGCTCAGGGCTCTGCCAGCATTGTCTATGCCTGTATGCCTGCCCACCTTGACTGCCTGGATTCCTCGGTAGCAGTGTCGGGCACGGCATGGCATAGCATAGCTATAGTACACAGCAGCAACGAGAGTGGCTCGCTTCATAATGAGCGAGGGCCAGGGCCCGAGCGCCGGGCTTGGCAGGACGAGACGGACGAGACGGGCTCGGCGTGTCGGGCGAGGGACGGCACGGAGGCAGGTGCTGCTAGTGTACGGGGTAGTCGGTATTAAGCGACGCCGAAATGCGTGCGAGCATGTCAGTTCAGTTCTGTTCTGTTGTGGCTGGTGTTCGGTCGGTCCGGTCTTGTTGCCACCTCGGCTGGGACGTGGTTGGTCGGTTTCCTCGGTCTGGGCAGAGGCTGAGGCAGAGGCAGAAGCAGAAGCAGAAGCAGGATTCCATGTCAGCGGCGGATGCGGGTGGGGTGGGATTATGTCAGTCAGCAGCAGCCTGGAAGACGAGTAAGTACATAGTAACGGGTGGTGAAGAATCAATTAACGGTATCCACTCCAGGTGGTGATCAGGGGTAGTCTGTCCTCTGCCCAAAGTGGATGCTTCGTTACAGGACAAGGGCGGCGGCGGGTGTGGCGTCAGCTTGCCGTGCGCAGGTCCCTTTTGTGATGAAAGAAGACTTTTGAGTCTGATCAGTCTGGCATATCTAATCGGGTGCGGGTACGGAGGGTGGGGGGGAAATCAAAATCGGGGGCAAGACTGGCGCTTAGAGTGCCCGAGTGCCTGAGTGCCTGTGGGCTGCTGTGGGTTGGGCACTTGGCCTCGGCTCGGCTACCTATTACCTTGGGGTGTGTGGGCGTGTTGGCCCTTCCAACACGGTTGTTGGTAGGACCGTTTAAACCGTGACAGAAACCCGGGAGGGGATTTGAAATTTGAAGACGGGACGGGTGCTGTGGTGCTGGGCTGCAACGGCTCGTCACACCGTCCGTCCGTCACGTCTAGTGTACGTTTTGGCCGGTTTAGCCCGGGTACCCGGGTACCTAGGTACGGATGACTGTTGCCTTGTAAGGGGGCAATAACCGACGGTCACCACCGCCGTTTATCACGCACTGAGTGGAAAGTGAGTGAAAGTGAACAACAGACTGGACTGAACCATCGCCTGCAGCTGCATTTGTTTACAGAAATATAGTTCCAGCCCAGTCTGACCACACGGGCAGGAAACAAACATCTCAAATTCTTGTCTCTTTATTATTCCCTTGTCTGCCGAGTTCAGCCCAGTCCAGGCTGTCTGTTAGCCTGCAGCGGCTGTCCAGAATTAGCAGTCAACCCCAGCCCAGCACCTCAGCACTGGACAGGCCGAAGCCTTCTAGCCCAAGCCTTCTAGCCGCAGCAGGCACCCCCTCTGGCCCCCTTTCACCGTGCTCCGTTCCGTGCCTAGGTAATAACGGAGGTACCACTCCCCCCCAAACCCGCCCCTAGCTAAGGTTTTTGGCGTTGTTGACCAACGCGGCAACGCCTCCTCCTTCGCCCTCGCCGCCCGTCCCCCGTCTCGTCCCCCGTCCCCTCCTATTTGCCTGCACCTGAGAGTGCCCGCCTTTTTTTGCCTGCCCCGTGCGCCCACCACCACACAGCACCACCCGCCTCGCAGTCTCCACTCTCCAGTCTGCCAGTTCGTCTGTGGTCTGTGGTCTGTGGTCTGTGTGCGCTGTGCCAGTGCCTCGTGTGGTGCCTCGTGCCTCGTGCCTCGTCTTACTCCATCTTACCTCCCATTTCTGACAAAACTTCGACCACCACTCCCATCATCCCCTTGACCCGCCATCCAGCGCCCCGTCTGCTGATCCTCAATAACCCCCCGAGTTGTCCAGTCCATCCATCAACCGCAGCCCACGAGGACATGTTGGCCAGCGCTTGAAACCCCGCCGTTTCGACTCGGACTTTCAGTCTTTCCCTCCTTCCATCTCTTGTGTGTGTGAGAAAGTGTGTTATGTGTGGTGGTGTCACAACTCCGTCACCCCACGTCCACCACCCACAACACTCCTTCCACCGCCGACAGGAAACGCGTTCCAGCCTGCTACACCCCAGCCTATGAACAACACCACTCCTCCGACGCGTCCTTGCACCCACACCAAGCCTTCGAGTCGAGTTGAGTGAGGCCTTGGCTGCCTGTCCCGGGTACGACTGCCGCCTCCCACCGGCTGTCACCGTCCATCTGCGTCTATCTGCAGCCAGCAGCACCTCGACACCCCGGCTCACCCACCCACGCACCGACACCTGCCGCCATCGACCGTCTGCATCTCTATCCCATCGAACTGTTCCTCCACCGCCCGCCCATCATGTCTGTCGTGCCTCCTCCAAAAGGCACGCCCGCCCAGAAGACTACAGAGATCCGCCGGCCCAGGGCCAACCAGAGGCTGACCGTCAGCTTCGACGACAGCGAGAGCGATACTTCCGGCCGTGCTGCTGCAAAACTCCAATATGAGCTGGGCTGCGTCGAGACCAAGACCATCACAACTACAACCACCACAAAGAGGTCGTATCCTCCTCTCTTCATCCGACAGCCGAGGCCCCTCGAGTCTCTCGATGTCAAGGAGTACCCCCTTGCACAGGGCCCTACTCCTCCAGACCTGAGGAAGTTCACCCTCGACCTGTCCGAAAATGACGACGAGTTCGCGTGGTCCTTCAGCGAACCCTCCTTCACATCAGGAGATATCCAGGTCAGCCCACCCTTGAGAGAAATCCGTGTTTTGGCTGCTGTGTGTCGATGTAAGTGCTTGTGTGTGTGTCCCTTTGCTGACTGGTCATTTGTTCAGCCCAAACCCCTCGAGATCGAGGACAGCGTCAAGTCCAGTTCCGAACGCGGAACGCCGGCTCCTGAAACCCAACGGCAAGTCCCAAAGTCCTCGGCCGAACCCCAAACTCGCAAATCCCGCCGCCAAGCATCCGGAAACCAGACCGCAACCGCGCCCAACAGGTCCTCTCAGAGGTCCTCCCGCAGCCATGCAGGCTCGTCAGTCTCCGACAGGCTCAGGAGGGCCGTCTCCCACGGTGCCAGGGAGAGAACCACTCGTCAGTCGTCTTCGTTGTATCTGGCCACCCCGGATAGATCCGAGGTCACGGCCGCGAGCGAGGTGCCCCAGCGGCTGAGGCCCCTGAACGCCGACCCGACCTCAGGCCCCGGCCAGAGCCTGGCCGCTTATGAGGCGGCGAGCCCGGCCGGCAGTGAATCCCACACCGTCTTCAGCAGCAATGTTGCTACCCCTCCCATCACAGATGCCGACGTCGAACCCTTTGCCGAGTCGCTCGACGACCTCTCACAGCCTCGCCCTTCCATCACAGTTGCGGACCCAGATGCCAGCCTGCCTAGCCCGAGGTTGTCTCCCACCCTGGCGGCCGCACAGTTGCACACGTCCGAACCCCAGGACGACGATGCCGAGGAAGACGACGAGGGCTCGAGCTTCTCGCGGAGCTTGACCAGGCCCTCTCGGCGCCGTTGGCTGGAGGAGAGCCAGGAGCAGGAGACACAGTCCACGCTCGGCCTGGAAATAGCTGATATGGAGCTGATGGCCGATGGATCCCCCAGCCAACGCGACCGTCAAGCCTTCGAACGCGCCGTCGGCCTTCTCGACACCCGGTCCATGCTCGAATCTTTCGATTCCATGCCCAACGACATGAAGACGTTCATGATGTACCAGTTCCTCCGCAGATGCCCCAGAAAGACCCTACACATGGTGGCAGACGTGGTGAACCCCGCGCTCAAGTGCGACTTTCTGAAGCAACTGCCTACCGAGCTCGGCCTGCACGTGCTGTCGTTCCTCGACCACCGCGATCTCTGCCGCGCAGCTCGTGTCTCCAAGCACTGGCGGACCATGATCGACAGCAACGAGACCGGCTGGAAGGAGCTGTTTGACCGGGATGGTTTCCAGCTCTCCCCCGGCGAGCTCAGGAAGGCCATCACCCAGGGCTGGGGCTGGCAGGACCCCGAGGGCGCCGAGGGCGCGGAGCTCGACCTCAGCCTGCAGAACCGCCTGACTTCGACCGAGGCCGAGCTCAGGTCGCCCAAGCCCGAGATGCCAAAGCTGCGCAGCTCGAAGAGGAAACGGGGAGTGCACAACTACGCCAACCTCGAGCGGACCAAACGGCGCGTCAGCCTTCAGGAGTCCAGTAAGGAGGATGCCCCGCTGTCACCGCCCAAGTTCAAGGCCGAGGGCCCCATCTCGGCGGCCAACGAGGCGGCCCTTTCCGTGCCTGACCCCCAGATCGGCCTCCCCTCGCTCCGGAGGCTGCATCTCTTCAAGTCCCTGTACCGTCGTCACTACATGATCCGCCAGAGCTGGACGAGCGGCAAGGTGAAGCCTGGGCATGTGGCCTTTGCAGCGCACCCTCGCCATGTCATCACCTGTCTCCAATTTGACGATGACAAGATCATCACCGGCAGCGACGACACCCTCATCCACGTATACGACACCAAGACCGGCAAGCTGCGGAAGAAGCTCGAGGGCCACGAGGGCGGCGTGTGGGCCCTGCAGTACGAGGGAAACACATTGGTGTCCGGTAGCACCGACCGATCAGTGCGTGTCTGGGATATCGAGAAGGGCATGTGCTCCCAGGTCTTTTACGGGCATACGTCGACGGTGCGCTGTCTGCAGATCCTCCTACCCACCGACACCGGTAAGGTCGGTCTCGATGGCGAACCTGTGATGATGCCACCGAACCCGCTCATCATCACCGGCTCCCGGGACAGCCAGCTACGGGTGTGGAGGCTGCCCGAGGCAGGATCTAGGCGATACATACAGACAGGGCCTCCCGCTAATGACGCAGAGTGCCCGTACTTTGTCAGGATCCTCAGCGGCCACACGCACTCAGTCCGCTCTATCGCTGCCCACGGCGATGTCCTCGTCTCTGGTAGCTACGACGCGACCGTCCGTGTCTGGCGCATCAGCACCGGCGAGGCTCTGCACGTGCTCCACGGTCACACCCAGAAGGTCTATAGTGTGGTCCTTGACCATAAGCGTAACCGCTGTATCTCAGGATCTATGGACTCCTTTGTCAAAATCTGGGACCTTGACACGGGCGCCTGCCTGCACAGCCTCGAGGGGCACACGCTGCTCGTCGGGCTGCTGGACCTGCGCGACGAGCTCCTCGTCTCGGCCGCCGCAGATAGCACCCTACGCATATGGAACCCAGACACAGGCAAGTGCAAGCACACGTTGAGCGCGCACACGGGTGCCATCACCTGCTTCCAGCACGACGGCCGCAAGGTGATCTCGGGCAGCGAGAAGACGGTCAAGATGTGGGACGTCCAGACGGGCGACCACATCCAGGACCTCCTGACCGACCTGGGCGGCGTGTGGCAGGTCAAGTTTGACGAGCGGCGGTGCGTGGCTGCCGTGCAGAGGGACAATCTGACTTATGTGGAGGTACGTAATATTATTACCAGAACATCAACAATGAACAGTCATTCTCGAACTGGTAGCTAACAATGCCTGACGCACAGATTCTTGACTTTGGCGCCGTCCGCGACGGCAAGCCACCGGAGGAGCTGGGCAAGCGCATCCTGCTCAATGGCCCGGAGGTGCAACGCCTGATCGAGGAGGAGGTCTGACGCGTCGCACATCATTGATGGGCCCACGGCCCACCTGGTTGTAGAGGTGTAGCCCAGAGACGCAGAACAGAGAGGGGAGGTATATTCCGCCAACCCACGCAACGACATAGGTGGGTTGGTCGGTTGTCTAATTCTGATGCAAAATGCATAATGGCATGTGGAATACTCATTATATCGACGGAGCGAGGGGAACGCGTGCATGGATTTTTCTCTCTTTTTTTTTACTCACTTTATGAACACACACACAACACCGACAGCGCGGCAAATGGCTGGGGACATCTGGAACTGACCGAACCACACACACTCAAAAAAGTTGTTTACTTGTACTTGCTGTTTATAGCGATACGGAGAACCAAGGTACATATATGTATGCGTCTTCTCTCTCGTTTTCATGTCGTTGGTGTTGTATGTTTGTGTTTTCCTGGCATGTCACTGAGAAGGAAGAGGATGGGACGGGACGGGATGGATGGCCGTGGTCATATTTCTGTTGATGCATACCCCCAGAACGAACGGACGGACGGACGGACGGGCTCTTTGTTGATTGATTGGTTCCTCTCTTCACCATATTACCACCCTCGTTGAAAATTATCGATCGGGAGTCAATACCGAGAGGGCTTCGTCTATACAAGATGGGCGGTCACTTTTTTCTTTTTCGCCTCCACTCCCACCGCTCTCCCCATGGGATGGTGGTCGCAGCAAATCTTCATCCACAACGGCGTTTATGGTCTGGTCTTGTTAGGAGGGAGGGGGGGAAGGAACCGAGGGGTTCATCTATCTCACTCAGTGCATTGATGTTGTGGTCAAGACTCGTTCCTCATCCGCTTTGCGCGCGTGTCGGCTCGGGTTGAAGTACCTACCTGCCTTCTTATCAATCATGGCGATATCTCCACTGCTGCGCACTACCGCGGTCGGTCTCTACTAGGTACTTATATGTACTTATCGTGGCTACGTACTGACTGACTGGTCGGGACTGGTCTCGGTCGGTCGGCCTTGTTCATCATGTTTTTTATTTGTTGTCTTTGTTAACGTCTAGAGGAATAATTGATGCATCATGATCATATATATCTGAATAATGATACCTACCTGCCCGTGTCGAGTGAGGTGGCGTGAGTTTGGGTGCTCAAGTGCTGTGTGAGATGGGATTTTGGGAGGTTTTGAGGTCTACTGTGGTCGTGGACTACGTACGGACTGGATGGACGCTGCCCACTGAGTGCGTTTTGCTCGTCGTTTTCGTGTGTTTCACATCGGGAACAGGAGCAAGCGTTGAACAGCCATCTACGTTTAAAGGGAGCTGGACGGTCCACGATCGTTGGTCGGGGCGTCTTGCACCTGTTTACTCACGGTGCTGGCTGCGGCCGGCTCCGAGTTTGGTCTGCGTCCCGAGGTCATGTATTCATTGCGTAGGATGGATAATACTGTCTGTCTCTGTAGGATACGGCCATCGTGTATTTATTCTTCCAACCCACGAGAAGGAAGGAAAGGCTACAGCAAAGTCATTCCCTCATGCGTGAAGCGTTGTGCGTGTGTGTAATTTCAAGCTGGATATCATCATTTTCAACCCTACCCCCCGACCCAAGGGATCCTCCTCCCTACAACGACCTCAAGGTTCGACCGACTCTTTGCCTTCGTGTCTGTCCATAACATCGCCCCAGAAGATATCATCTTCCCCCCCTCCCATCTGGTTGTTGAGTTGGTGCGATGCGCCTCACATGACGGTGCACGGGATCGGGATGCAGCAGCACTCGTAGCCGTCGCACTCGATGCACTTGGTCTTGCCGCTGCCGCCGCTCGCCTCGGCGGGCTTGATGATGCTCTCGATGGTCGAGATGGATGCGGCGCCGGGTCCGTTTGGCATTTTTGGCTTGGTGGTGGTTGGAGATGTGTTTGGTTGGCTTGGGGGGTTGTTGTGTTGTGTTGTTCTCGGAGGTTGTGGTTTGCAAGTCGGATCTTGAATTGTTGGCTGCTGGGAAAAGGGGCTATGATGTCAGCGGGTGGTCAGTCTGCTACTGCGTAAGAAGATCGGTGTGTGGGGAGGAGGGATGTGGGGGGGGGTGTGGGGATTTGGCTTACACGGCCTGAATATCGTGTTAGGCTGGTTTGGTTTGGGACGGTGATGTGGAACGGTAGGAAAGAACTCACAGTAGATATGCTCGTTGGTGTTGTGGTCTATTGATGTGATGTATAAATAACAGGGCAGGGTAAGGCAGCGTGTCAGTCGGTCGGTCAAGTCACTCGGAGGTCTCCTCTCACTCTGGAGTGTGTTTATCCCCAGCCAAGGTCCAGGGATCACGGTCCTTGTTTCATCATGGGCCCCTGTCGGTGGGACTTGGTTGCCCCACAATTGTCCCTCTCTGCCCCAGCTTTATGGTGGCGGCTGTGCCAAGGCTGACGTCGCCTCAGCTGCCCAGGTGTAGCCATCTGCTGATGCGAGTTGGCCGCGCCCCCCTTACGGAGCGAGAACTTTGACGTGAAGAATTTGGATGTTGGTATACACTTAAGAGGCTTAGCTTGAGGGTCCTATAAATGAAATTAATAAGTCAAAATTTATAGATTTCTTTGAATATCTGTATAAAGATAGGGTCTTTTCCCCCGTAAATTGTCAGTGCACCGACTATATCAGAGACGTGATCTATGCATCAGCCGGTTCACCATAGGGAGCACTCGAGTGTCCAACGGCACGGTATTTGCAAACATGTCTTTGCATACCTAGACACACTGAGTCTACGTACATAGCGGAAGTGGAGGAATAGCAAATCCCTCTTGAGGGATAAATTCGCTGTTGCGCCTCGTAAAGTGTCGGATCAGCTGCGCATAACCGATGCATTAGTCTGTCGCATTTCTTCGTCACACACCATTTCATGTGACAAGTTATAGTAAGCACTGTGCAGGCAAGTAGGCACAATGGACGCGCACTTGACGCGCGGATAAGCGCATGTTGCCAAGGCTTAGGCAGCTCTTCGAGTCTTTCGAAAGCTCCCAGGCTGGGCTGGCAAAGCCTGACGAGGTCTGACAATGTGGTTGAATATAGAAAGTCGGATGCATGACCCGATGGAAGATGTTTTTCCTCCGTTCAGCGATTACCACCCGTGGACCCTATACCTAGGTACGTGCCACTCGGTTCTCAATTCTCACACCAACCAAATCTTAGAACCCTTTGACGAGCATCATGGCCGCTTCAGTCTCCGCTTCCGACACGTCTCAGGCTTTTCGGGAAGCTGAAGTGGTGTGCGCGCGCAGAGGGGATCTTTGCGAATCCTGTCGCAAGATCAGCATTGATCGTCTATCTGAAGCCGGGGGTTACACCCATTCATGGCTGGATGTGCTCCAGAAGACATCCAGGTGCTGCATAGTATGAAGAAATATTTTCTACTTGCTCCTTACCGCGGACGGTCGATTCAAAATATACGATTACACGGGTCAAAACAGGATCCCGCCTGAAAGATGCTTGGTCACGCTGTCACTCGGCTTAGTAGACGCCAAATACTGCAAAGCTCGTCCTGATCATTGTCACAGGGCGGAGTTCCAATTCAAGTGCATTAAGGTTGAGGTTTTCGACACCCATCTCTGGCAATCGCCGGATGACGGAACTCATCCGACAATGATGGGAGACTCCAAGGGGGAATGGGCATATGCCAAACGACAGCAGCAGGAAATTAGTGCACTCCAAACTTGGATGCTGTGCCACACACGAGAAGGAGACCCTGCCATGTCCTTCGGGCTGCCTTGGCTGCGAAATGTGGAGTACACTGGCTCATCTGGGTCGATCAAAATTGCACGTCGATGGTTGCAACAATGCCTTGCAACTAATGATAAGGAGTTCGACGAACAATACGGTTTCCGAGATTATGTGTCATTGAGCGATGGCTACAACGTCAACAGTCTTAGACCTGTAACACCACTCCCAGCCGAACGACCCAGCCGCCTCCTTCAAATCGTGCCATGTGCTGACGATGCGGATAAGCCAAATGGATACTCAGTCAAGCTCATCGAGACAAACGGACACGAGTATAAATATGCGGCACTAAGCTATTGCTGGGGGAAGATGCCACCTAACATCACGCCTAAATGGGTGACTCAGCACTCTACTATCGACCAATATCGAGCGCGAATAAACCTTGGATACCTACCGGCTACCATAAGAGACTGCATCAAAGTTACATATCTTCTCGATATTCCTTACGTTTGGGTGGATTCTCTCTGCATTATCCAGCGTGACTCTGCTGACTGGGAGGTCGAGTCGGCAAAAATGGGTGGCATATACAGAGGCGCACACCTGACGATTGCTGCATCAAGAAGCAACAGCAGCAGTGGCGGACTTTTCAACTGGAAGGAAGGATCAACTTACCTCAGCCCTTTCGACGAATATCTCTGTATCGAGAGTCAATTGAGATCAGGCGAGAAAAGCTCCCTATACTTCGAAACCGCCATCAAAGGGTGGGACTCTTCACCAAGACGGCATCTTCTTCGTACAGAGGTCTACAAAAGTCCCCTATCTCAAAGAGCGTGGGTTTACCAGGAGCAGATGCTCTCCCGGAGAACGCTCTACTTTGCCGAGTCACAACTATACTGGGAATGCGACCATTGCCGATTGAGCCAGGATAACTCGAAGGAGGAGCACTGCATGAAGGAGTCAATCCGGAATTTCGTAAAACCGTTGTCAGTGCCGCTTCTTGTTCGGCAGTGGTATTGTGATGTTGTGGAAACATACACTAAGCGTGCGTTGACCTTTCCCAAGGACAGATTGGTTGCCATCAGTGCCGTGGCGAAAGCTTCGTACATAAGTCGCCACGTCAAATATTTTGCAGGTCTGTGGGAGGATTCCATCCTTGCAGGTCTTTGCTGGTATCGAAACAGCAGCGGTAAAAAAGACCAGGCATCTAGTTGTCCATCCTGGTCGTGGGCCTCACAGATATCGAGCGTGTCGTATGAAAAGATGCTCAACAGATACACCTCTGACGAGGAAGTGAGATGCGATGGAAAGTATGATGATGAAGAATTGTCCTTCCGAATAGATGATGATGATCCTTGGCTTTATCTGGCCAAGGTTCTGAGAATCCAGGTGGAATCGAGCGAGAAAAATCCATATGGACATATCCAAATGGGCCAGATTGTACTGCGAACGTGGGCAACTGAGGGGAAAGTCACGCGAGATGTATCTGGAGAACCCAATCTCTACTTTGAGGGCTACTCAGGTGATGGTGAAAGAACTCTTGTCATTTCAGAGCAGCACGCCCAGAAGGACAAAATAGGCCGGGCGATGTTGGACGACGACGGTCGTGAAGACCAAGACGTTCTACTTGCGATGGTGATTGGGTGGAGGGGATTTTGGCTGTTCCTTTTACTGGATATTTCTGACGAGAGTCAACCAGAATATAAGCGCGTCGGACTGGGGATAATGGAAAAAGATCACCGGGGGAGGCTGAATTTCGAGGGGGCTTGGGAAAAACGGGACATTAAGATTATATGAATGAGGAAACAGCCTGCAAGGAACGCTGGTGGTTTCGTTTCTAATTTCCATACATCGTAGGTCGTGTATTCATACAGCAGTTAAAATGAGGACCTAGCGTTTAAAAAATACATATGCTAATAACAGTGTAGAGAGAATACAATACGTAGGCACATGGCCTTAGCCTTGTGCCGTATGGATAAGGTTAGGAGGTATCGCTCCTAACAGTATTGCTAATCGTCGATACGAGTAGCCCAAGGGCTGGATACTAACTGACGGTGAAAGATTCCGAATAATCGAGTCGAATATCGAAGAGGGTCTTTGTTTTGACTTAAGGATGCCCACGTGTTCTGAAATCGCAACTTTCCAAGGTTTCCAGGGCCTTAAGGGCCGGGAACGACAACCAGATCCTTTACAGAATTCAGTCGCCTCCTCATCAACATGGCAACATTCGAAACATACAATCAGTCTAAATCAGGAGCGCCGATCGTTCTCCATACTATTCGGTCCCCGGACGTTCTGCCTATGCCGCGTTTTGAGGACGAAAGGCTGCGAGTGGGCGACCATGTATGGAAGCCAACAACATTGAAGGGACCAAGAACCTCTCTTTGCCATTCACTTCCACAGGTTGTACGCTGTTCTGGATTTTATCCCAGAAAGCCTCAATTCGTCGGACAGAAAGGTTCTCTATGTACGAGTCTCTTGAGAGCGGTACAAGATGAGCATGGGCACGAAAGGACCCAGTAGGACACTGTGTACTTAAAATATACCGAGGGGGGAAATGAGAGAACGCTGGAATGTGGAATAGCTGGGCCTATAAACCCTCTTTATTTATTAGGAAAGGAAATGGTATGTATCTGGATCCGGTAATAATCGAGAGAACGGATGTTCGCACCCGCGAAAACGGATAGTACACCCGCTATGAAAATAAGTTTATAATTTAATTATAAACTTAATTTAAATAAATAATATATAAAATATATATATTAAATATCCTTTAAATTCTTATTTTATAATATAGTTTTACTTCTATTCTATATATATCTAAGAATATATATAGTACCTTTATATAGTAGTAAGTATTTAAAACTTAATACTTAAAAAGAATATAATGTTAATAATAATAATTATAATATAATAAGTATTTATAATTTTAACTTTATAATATATAAATAAAGTTAAGAGGTATTATTTTAATAATAATATTAATTGAAATATTATAAAGGAGTTATATAGTAAAATTAAATTTAAAAATAGTTATTATATAAATAAATTATATTAAAGAAAGTTTAACTAAAAGTTATCCTTTTAAATATATATATATTAATAAAACCTTTATTAAGTAAGCTAATATTATAATTTTTATTAAAATATATAATTATTAACTTTAAAAGAATTTAAGATAAAGAAATAATTTATAATATACTATCTTTAAAACTTTTATAATTAAGCGTTAAAACTCTTAAATAAAGTTTTAAAAGTAATTTATAAAAGGTAAAGAAAGAGTATAATAAACTTATCCTTCTTTAAGTTTATACTTTTATTATTAATAATTATTAACTTTTATATAAAAATATAATAGAAATAAAGAAAAGAGTAGATTTAAAGTTTCTTTATAAGAGAATTATAAAGATATATATAAAGTTATTAAAGACTTTATATGTAAGCTTTAAAGGAAGAAATAAATAGTTAAATTAAAAGATAGTTATATAATATAAAGGAAAAATAATATAGCTAAAGTCTCTTATTTTATAATAATATAAAATTTAACTTTATAATTATTATTATAAAATTAATATTCTATAAATAATAATAAATTTTAAATTTTATAAAAAAGTTATATTATAACTTTTCCTTTAACTTTAAATAAGATTTTTATTTAAGTATAAAAATAAAGTATTTAATTATTTTATATATTCTTATAACTTTATTAGAAACTAACTTATAATCTAATAATTAATAATTATATATTAATTAAAAATAAAAATAAAAATATAAATATAATCTTTAATTAACTTTAATTTTATATATATATATACTTAAGAAATAAAATTAAATAAAAGAATATTTCATATTATTATATACTAATAGATAACTTTTAACAAAATTTAAAAAGGGTATAAGTGAGTGTATTATCTATTTTTATAGGTGCGAATATCCGTTCTTATAATCAAATCTATTTGTAATGAAAGATTAACTAGGAACCACATCTATGAATAGAACTCTAGGAGAGAAGGGTTCCCCCAAACCCAGAGAATCTACCGTCTAGTTATAAGTATAGTTGAATGAAAATGGCGATGGGGTCCCTTGTTATTTTTCTTTCGTGATATGAGCGTTGAAGCTGAGGGTCCGGCTGCTGGAAGACCCGGCATTGGAAGATCGCCGCATCCCGACCAGGCAAAGACAGACGACGTCAAGGGAATTTTGTTATACATGCGCAAGAGCGACAGGTATTCAGAATCATGTCCGGGATCCTCTTCGCTCTCGGCCACTTTCGCGATAGAACGACAAGGTTTCACAAGACTTCTGTCATGGTCCGATGGCGGCCGCATCAGCGCTCGGGACCGGCCAGAATTCTCCATACATAAAGAATGCCATCTAATGCACTTAACGGTTCGCGGGAAACAATTGAGAAAGCGAAGGATACCATTTATTGCATTAAAATATGATTCATATTCTTCAGGGGTCTTGTGCAATCAGATGGATAGTACTGCAATCAGAGCCCCTTGTACAGAACGTCTCTCAATATGCAAATCTTTGTCTACCCTCACATGCATGTCCCCGGAAGTATGCGGAATAGAAGCCGAAGTAGAAATGAATGCGCCATGTACATCCTCGGACATATAGGAGGAGGAGTGAAACTAGATAGTATTTAATTTAAATATTATATTTTTAATTATTTTTATTAAGTGGTTTTAATATTAATAAGATATAATGAAATGCTAGTTATTATATTTATTTAAAGAATATAACTTTAAGTTTTAATACTTTTAAAATTATGTGGGGCTTTTAGATGGAAGGGCTTTAGTATTACCTACTGCTCTAGTAGTAGTAGTAGGTAAGTGAACTTCGGGAAGCCGAAGCCCACGGATACCCCGCTGTGATTTGAGGGGCACTTTCCCCTCGAACGCAAAACTGATTGCGGATTCCATACCTAGATACAAGCAAGGAGCGAGCTTAGTACGTATTGCTAAACCACGTGCTGAGATAAGCGTCAGTCTTTTCAGTCACAAGATGTCAACCGTTGTCAAATTCCCTGGACAGATTTCTGCGTATCTATTTCTCTCCCGAGGAGCAATCGGATGGGTGTTCCAAATCAATGATCACATTGCTCTCAAATATGCTCGGACGCCGGATTCTGAAGAATTCGCCAAAGAGAATAACATGTTTGATATTTTCGAGAAGAATCCACAACCACACTGCCCGTATGTCATTCGAAGCTTCCTACGCCTCCCAAACGCCAACTTCCTCGCCTTTATGAGCGGTGGGTCTCTCGACGACCGCTTGAAGTCAAATCAGATCCGCGATGAACCTTTTGGGCGGGTCCTTCGTGTGACAAAGAAGGAGCCAGTCAAGCTGGTAGAGCAGTGGCTCAGGGAGCTCTGCAGTGCGGTGGTCTGGCTAGAGTCTCTAGGCTACGTCCACGGCGACCTACGCCCGAGCAACCTTCTCCTAGATAGAGACCATCTCAAGCTAGCGGACTTCGACTGTGCCGAGAAGATTGGTGAACCTTCGAGCGGGAATGGCGCCCCATGGGCTCGGCTGCTAGGCGAAGATGCCGATGATGTAGGGGGTGAGAGGGGCTCGTATGGGGTCAACGGGGCGAGAACCGAACAGTTTGCCATCGGGTCTAACCTCTACTGCATGCTATATGGCTTCGAACCGTACGAGGATAGGGACGATCGGGGTTCAGTGATTATTGACTTACTCCAGGGCATGAAGTTCCCAGAGCTACAAGATAGGCGTTTGGACTCTATCATCGACCGGTGCTGGAGAGGGCGCTATCAGCAGTTGAAGGATTTGTTGGAAGAAGTAGAATCACTTGGTGACACAACGCCTTCGTCGGACACAGCAACCATCTCAACAGAAGACTTCGAGAAGTGCCGGAAAGATTGCGAGACATTGGTCAAAGGCGGATTGTTAGGGAGTCCTTAAAAGACAAGAAAGAGGCACGTGTATCGATGGTGGTTAACCAAAGGGGGGGGGGGGAGTCATGATGATTCCAAGGTTCCTTGGGGTCAGGGGTGCGATTAGTAACTTAGTAAGTAGTATAAAGAAGGTTGGTATACCAAGGTTAAATGTTGCCCTACACTATCCGTGTCTTGCCTTATGAATATCCGAGCTTATTTACAACGAGTTTAAGTTAAGTATAGATAGACAAACCAAGCTAATCTTCACCTTGGATTTGGCCCACCATGTGACGGTACGGGCTTATAGACCGCTCGGATAGCCAACTGGACGAATTAGTTATCATGGTTTTTTAGCCGAGCGGTCTATCGCGCCAGCATTCCGTCTCAAACCATTCACTCACATTGTTCAAGCGAGAAGATCCTACCTGAGACCGGTTGAATGGAGCACTATGTTTCCATATGTAACAACCCAAGGGCGCGCCACGTGATTGCGGTTGTTTCCATGCCGTCCCTGACTCTCACTCGCATGCATTCCGAGGCTTTCTTGCCCACGCTTGCTTATGTGGCAAACGTTCTGGCCCATCAAGGCTCAGCTGGGTGAGCGCTGGGTGGCTTATTCTGTTCTTAATTGGATGGTAATTGCTATGTATTGTTTAACTGATTGATACTGGATGGGATATCCACCCATTCATCCCATGAGATCTCGGATTAGAGAGATCAAAACAAAAGGAAAAAAAGATATAGCAGCGGGCCGGTTCAAACACGCTGGCCTGGACTGCATATTCCCTGTTCAGGAGCATGAAGAACCGCACCGCATCCACCACCACTGTGCTGGATTGAGTCCCATAGTATTCTGTTGCGCCAAGCATCGAGGCTCTGCACGTCCCTAGCCTCGTTGTGCATCCATCCATTCTCGAATCACTACCTTAACTGTTGTATCCCGGGATTTATCATCTATTTGTCCCCGGGCGCTTCTTTCGGACTCCCAATCAACTCTCCAAGGGACGTTCGTCCTCTGGTGACTGGAGGGTGTCCTTGCCACCCAGGTAATGGTGTTGTCTCGCTCGTATTCGGACTACAGTATAGCCGCGCATGCCTGTTCCCATCTACCCAATTTTGGGCACATACTCGGCCATCAGGCGTGCGCTCTGTCGTAATCGGAGCGGACCAAAAGCCTGGATTTATATAAATGTGTGCACTCATCTCCATGCTGTAGAGGGAGACGGCCAGGCATCACAAATAAATGACCATGTCCTGCTCACAACTCGTCGCCTAATAGGCAAACGCGTTGGGCGCACCGAGACATGTCACGCACCCCATCTCGGTCAAAAGCTCAGTCGATCTTCCAGTGGTCCACCTCATCCTTGCCCAGGTATAGCTCGATGGCGTAGAGACCCATTGTGGCGGCGACGTTCATCCAGCGCCATAGATTTCCGCCGGCGTCGCCCCCCCTAAGAGTCCAGCCGATGCTGTCGCCATCGGTCGCGGCGACGGAGAAGTGCTGCAGCAGGAGGCTCGTGTAGACGGCGATCAGGATGGATGGCGAGAACCACGACAGGAAGCTCATGAGCTTGTTGGCCGCGTCGGAAGAATCATCGAGGTTGGAAGGCTCATCCATGAGGGCCCTGGCACCCGACTCTCGCACGGCGGGTATGATCCGGGTGGCGCAGTAAAACACGATGATGCGATAGGTGAGTGATATTATGACGCTGGGCGTGATGGTCTGGAAGGCGGCCCACAAGAAGGTCAGGGAGGAGCTGAGGGCGTCGGGGAGCTGGCCCAGCATGTGCAGGAGGGTCGAGTAGGATGCCATAATGACAGGTGGCAGGGGAGGGAACTCGGGCTGTGCGGCTGCGGCGTGTTCCCCGGCGGCGGCCTGGGCAGCCGCTCCTTCGGGCGAAGGAAGATAGTCTGTGAAGATCTGATAGATGCATAGGACGATGTATGCAAACAGGAGGGAGGATTCGACGGGGTTGCCCCTACCGCTGCCGATACCGAAGGCGCAGAGGAAGACGGCCGAGGTGATAGTCACGCCGATCAGGGTCGCGTCGAGGTTGCCGATCTGTGGGAACCTGGCGACGCGCCAGAGGAAGAAGACGGCGGTGGCGGTGATGGATCCGGAGAAAACAACGAGCACGATCTAGAGTGAAACACACTGTGGTCAGCGAGGACGATGGGGGGTTCACGGATGGGCGTGCCAACTTACTATCCAGGTGTCACTCCGGCCCCTGTTAACGAGCCATCGAGTGATCTGGCCGGCGGCCTGGATGACCAGCAGGCTGCAGAAGCCCTCGAGCAGCTGGAAGATGGGGCTCGAATAGCTCAGGCCGCTGTCCCAGCCCCCCAGGGTCAGGTGTTCCAGCATGCCACCCTGACCGAAGAACCACTCGTGCCAGCTGTCGGTGTATTTCGCGGCGGGTCGAACGAGGCCCAGGGTCCTCGAGACCCAATCCGTGGAGCCGGCATCGACGGAGAAGCGGCTGAGGGACCAGATGAGGAGGCTAGGGAGGACAAGCCACTGCAGAGCGCCGAGGATGTTGGTCAAAGTCCAGCGCACGCGCGAGTTGGGGGGTGTTATGGCCTTGAGGAAGCTGTAGAAAAAGTAGAAGAGAAAGATGGACAGGCTGTAGGCAAGGCCCGAGTCGCGACCGCCGACATCGAAAGCGATGGGTATTGAGAGGATGATGGACAGCAGGTAGACTGCGCCAGAGAGGACCTTGAAAATAGCCCACATGTCGAAGTAGCTATGTGCGAGGCTGGCGGAGCCGCCGTCTTGGGTGGTGGGCGGAGGAGGAGCGGGGATGGAGGGGCTCGCTGCTGAGCTCGACGCCGGTTGTCGGTCGGTGTCGAGACAGGCCGAGCTGGCGGCTTCGAGATGGGTTCGGCGAGGCTACCGATGATCAGAGAGAAGTGGTCTTGACAGGCGTACGAGGTGGAACTTGGTCGGCTCCGTTGTGGCAGCTATCCCCGGGCGACTGGCAGCTGCGAAGGGAGGAGCAGGGAGCAGGGAGCTATGACAGGCGGGGCGTCGCGGCAGGTTGGAGCGAGGCAGAGATGGCAGCTTGTGGGACCGGTCGAGAGGCGGAAGAAGAGAGTCGGGGAGACCGGGGCGAGAGAGAGAGAGAGGATATGGATCAGCCTTGAGGATGCATCTGCGGCGAGATGACCTCGTGAAGTGCTGAATGGGCGGGTTCGACAGGGCTGTTGGTGGTGTTGGAAGCCCTCGCTGGATTTTCTCGACGTGCCCAAGTGCCCGTTCTGGCGGTTCGTCTTGGCAGGAGCTGAGCTGCCTGGCCTGCTGACACAGGGGGGTTCTGCAGCTGGAGCTGGAGCTGGAGCTGGAGCCGAGTGTCACGAGGACTGCAACGGTCGAGGCAGGTCGGGTGGTGCAGTTGCAGCGTGGTGTCGCGTCGCGTCGCAGTTGTGGTGGGCGGTGGCCTGGGTGGATGGTTGACCTGCTTCTTTTCTTCATGTCAGTCGATCCCGGGGTAGGCTGGCCTGGGCAGGCATGTGACAAGGGGTCCAACTCAAGTACCTTTGCTTTGGTAGGTGGGCTGGTGGGCAGTCTTGTCCCTTGAAAGAGCCAGCAGTCAGTCAGACAGGATGGATTGCGAGGATGCAAAAAGACGATGATTGACGGAGGGAAAGAGTGACGGTACGAAGTACTACAGCATACGGCAGCGCAAGGCAGAAAACGCAAGCAGAGATTCATCAGTCAGTTGTACAGTACGTACCTGTGCAGTCCGTCTGTCCGCCTGTCCTTCCCGCCTTGCCGTTATTACCACGTCGCTCACCAATCACCCACAGTATCGAGTAAAACCTTGGAACTTGGAAGTTGGACGAGCCCCTTTAGCCACTCATGTCTGAGAGCCAGGGTTGCAAATTAACCTACCGACCCTAGATTACTCTCAAGAGGTAGTCTGTCCTCTTCAGAAAGGCCCAGCCTGCCAGTCTGGTGGTGGCGCAATCTCCCGCTTGATGAACCGTCGGCCACTGTTCCAAGGTCGCCGAACCGAATTGTAGGCGGCTAGGTGGGGTGCGAGGTACATTGCACAGGTACCTGGCACCTGCCTCGCCCACGTTATCTCGTTCTTATCCTCACGTGCAGTTCCAGCTCCCGCCGTCACATCCCAGGACTAAAATGGACCGACACCGTCTCCAGCAGGGATCGGCCGTGTCGACGCCGTCACTATGCCACTTCGCGCGCCAATCTTAGATCCAAGCCGTTGACTAGGCTTCACTTCATGCAATCTCGTCACGCGCCTACGCCGTCTCTTTCAGTCTCTTTTCTACACGCAGAACTTTGGGGACGTGTCGCGTGCCAGCCAGCATGTACACAAGCCAGGTTCGAACTTAGAATGCGTGTGTTGCTGCTCTCTAGTCCCGCACCAAGCCTGCAGGCTAATTAATGTCTGATGCGACTCCAGGCCAAGATAACGAACGTCGCGTGCAGGTGACGCCATCCTTGCGAGCCAAGCGAGTCCTTGGAACTGGTTCGTGCAGGCTTCACTGACGTCGCCAGCATCGTCAGCATCGTCAGCATCAACAGCCATGGCTCATTCTTCCCGTGGACCCAAACCTTGCTTTCAGTCTGCTCGGCACTCGAAATGAAATGATATGCTATTCACGTGGACGACTATCTAATCTATATGCTATGCTCGACCTGGTATACACGAGTCCAACCAGTGGTCAACAGTTCTTTGGCATACGGCACCACGGGCCCGTGCATCTATCTATGTCTGCACATGGCCTTAGCTGCGGGACAGGATCTTGTCCAACACCGCCGCCAGCTTGCCCTCGCAGTCCTCCACCACCTTGGGGCTCCTCCACGCCACGAACCGGTCCGGCCGGACCAGCACACAGCCAGAGTCTTCAACGCCCCTCCTCTCGTACCACTCGCGGTACACGTCCTGCCACTCAAGGCCAAACCCGATGCTGTGCGCGTTGATGGGGATGCCCGTCTTGGCTGAGATCTTACGCGCTGCTTCCTTCCAGTCATCTCCCCCATACCCCGTCAGCAGGCAAAACGCCCCCTTCCCAGCCAGGTCGTGCGTCGAGATGGCCTTTCTCCTGGCCGGCTTGTCCAGCCACGCGTGTGGTAGCCGCGTGCCCGGGTACGTCGACACATGTACGTCCGAGATACGATCGAAGCCATCTGGCACAACTCGTGGCCCTGGCTCGTCCTCGAGGTACACCGCCGTCGACTCATACCACTGGTTCATGCACAGCCCGAGACTCTTGCCCTCCCCCATCTTGGCCTCCATGGCCTCGTGAAGTTGCCGCCGCCGCGCCTCTCCCTCCGCACTCGTCTCAGTCAGGAGGCCGTGGATACGCTCCCGTTCTTGCTGGCTCTCCGCCATCATCCCGAGCGACGCCCATACATTTACGTGCATAAGCAGGCACCGGTTGGCCTCCCTGACCAGCTGTGCGCCCACCGGCTGCCGCTCCGTGTTGTACGTCTCAAGGAGCCCTGGGCCAGCGAGACCCTTGGCCACGAATGCCGCTTTCCAGCCCAGGTTGTATCCGTCCTGGACGCAGGTGTTGCTTCCAAGGCCATACGAGGGCGGGTGACGGTGTGCTGCGTCACCCAACAGGAACGCGTTCTTCTCAGGCGTAAAGTCTTGCGCAACTGTCTCCCTGACGACCCATGGGTCAAGCCGCTCGATCTTCACCTCGATGTCCTTGGTCAGTGGGTTTTCATCCAGCCCAATCTTCTCACGGACCCACGACATGAGCTCTGGGTCTTCTGGGCTGACTCCCTTGAACGGGTCCTGGTCAGCCGTGATGCCGGGGAAGAAGGAGATCAGCATCCACTGGCTAGACGGGCGGACCATCCGCACCACAGGCCCATTGCCAAACCGCGAGTTGCCGCTTGGGTTGATGATGGTGTGCAGCTGCGCGTGTTTCCCCTCCATCAGGTGTGATAGTTCAGCCTTGAACAAGATGTTACAGGCAATCCCCGATGAGGGCTGCGATTCCAGTCTGGCATTGGTGGACCTGGCGACCTGGCTGCGACCACCATCGGCGCCAAAGAGATATTTGGTCCGGATGCGATAAGTGTCGTCACGGACAAGGTCCTGCACCGTGCAGACCCACTCTCCCGTCGAGTCCTTCTCTGCCGAGACAAGCTGCGTCGAGAACCGTGTTGGGAATCCATGGTGAGACGCGTGCTTGACCAGGATAGGATCGAGGTATGTCTGTGGCAGGTCGACCCATCTGGAGGGCGTGTATTTTTTGATTTTCATCGCATTGTCGTGCACACCCTCCCAGTGCTCAACATTCCCCAACTCCTGGCCAAGAAGACTTTTGGAATACCGGAACGCCCCAATCATCTCTGGCGGAACAGACAATCTCATGGCATCGTCTTCAACATCGAGGTCACGCAGGCACTCCAGTGTGAACGGGTTCACGAGATGAGCCCTGGGCGTGTCTGCCGTGCCGGATGCACCAGCGATCATCAGTCCCTTCATCCCTGCGCGGCCAGATTAGTGTGAGTCACGCAACCAGCTCGGGAGGTTTCCACGAAACCCGGGCATACATACCATTCTGTCCGAGAAAGCTTGCAAGAGCTGCTCCTGCCGGGCCTGCGCCCACCACGAGGAATTCCGTCTTGACTTCAGAGGACATGGTTGCAAATTGTAAGTCGAATAAAGGATCAAGGCTGCGTGCAAGTTGCTCTTCGAGATCTATGGTTTCTATGGCTAGATTAAAAGAAAGAGATGTTGGGAAGACGTCGCAGAGATGCTGGACTTATATACCTTCTGTCCCGGCCGCCCCCACGCACCATCTGGTCCCCTACGCCGTCTCTTTTCCACAAATAACCTCGACAGCACCCTATAGTCGCTTCCTTCAGACGAATAGGACGCGGGCCGAGCCTGGTTTCGCAAGATTAACGCAACAATCAAATCCCACGTGTTACGCCACAAGGCTCGAAAGAACTATTTCTTAGCCGAAAGTGGGCAGGCCCCACGAGTAATGCAATTAGCGCTGACGCTGCTGATGTGTTGGTCAAGGACCAACACATCAGCACTTTCTGCTCAGTTTCTGACAGACCCAGGCGTCGACTGCTGTTGGGCTGGACCAGATGGGTGCAAATGGTATCCTGCCAGGAGCTGCGTGTTGTGGGCATCTTTGTCCTACCCACCAATCTGCGTCTCATCCGACCAGGCCGACCCGCGCGGCACACTCACCCCACTCTGGGGGTCCATGCATACTCCACGGCAGGCGGGCATGTTGGGGTCGACCGCTGCGATCCGATCCACTGCAACGCTGGCTCGCGGCTCGCGGCTGGCGCCTGGCGGTGTGCAACGTGCAGTTTGCGTTTTCGTTCTATTAATAAGCATGTTACACCATAAGCATAATCCAATAGTGGGTGATCCCAAAGCAGCATTTGTGCTGTGCCCGCTGTGGTCAATCCAAGCCTCGCTCGCGTCTCGTCATGTTGGACTCGCGCATAACAAGCAAGGTTGCCCTCCTGACCTGCTTGCTCCACGGGGGGGATAAAGTAACTAGGATCCATCCGATCCGGGGAAACCGCCGCGCGCGGCTCGGCTCGAGGTGCGAGTGTGAGTGTGCTGAGATGAGATTCCTGGGGTTGGGATGGCATGGCATGGCGACCCGAGGGAGGGAGGGATGATTATTCTGCCGGCCGCCGTGGCGAATTTGGATTCTGTGATGTTGTGTAACTATGCATGCATGCCTGGCATGGGTTAGAGGACGAGGCTGCGTTGTGGATGTTACCTAGGTAGTTACTTCCCTGGGTATTCGGCGGAGGAGGACTCGTGGAGATACGTGCTTGCTTGGTACCTACTGCTCGGAGAACTACTTACCTAGGTACTTCGGGGACATGGCGCTCTAATGCACGATCCACCGAATCAATGCCTTGGCTGGAGATCTTGGCCGATCCCTCGGAGTTGCCTCACTTTACTTTGATCTGGAATTATGCGTTGATAGCCTCGGGCATTCTCCCAACTCGGCAAGGTCTGGGATCGGAAGGTCGTTGTGGTGGGATGGACTGCTGAATAAATTGGTACTATATATTTTCTTCGCGCGTTTTGTCCTTACTTGCCAGCTGCAGCAACCTCTTGTGTTAGTATCTACCCTGGTTTACTACTAATACATACCTCTGAATTTATATGAGTGAACTGAGATTTGACCTTCAGTCGACGCACGAGGACAGTTTGATGAATCAGTTTGGATCGGGTGGGAGGTCTCAGTGGAAATCGCACGCCTCCAGCCGCGTCATCTTGGATTTGGCTGTATGTGTGCATTTTTGGGGGTGCTCATGTTTTTTCTGCCCTGCTTGCTTATGCGATTAGCCTTGTTCTGGCACCCCTTGAGCTTTGGAAAATCTTGAACATCACCGCTCTAGGGTTTGTGTCTATTCCGTATACGTCCGAAGCCATATACGGCGCCTTCATACAGTTCCTACGGCATAAGCCCCACTGTAGTCAGTCCTCGATGGCCCGTGGGTGACTGACCAAAGCACAGGCTATGGTCTGTTTATCTAGCTTTGTTGAGAATGGCTTCCTTCAAGGTGCCTATTGTCTCGTCGGCGTGAAATAGTGGCGTCGTGCCGCGTTTCCATTTTAACCCCATGGGCCCTGCCCGTGTCTTTGTAAAAACAATACTTAGTACATCATAAGGGACTCACGCCTGGGTGAGAATACGTGAGCAGCCCAAATGACAATGGCATTGTGAATACACAAAGACACAAGAATGAAATGGCTTCCCGCTGCAAGTGCTTTGTGGACGTATTCGTGGTTCCAAACTGCGCTACTATATATCCTCACAACAGCTGACGACACACAGGCGGTAATACTGCCAATAGCGCTTCAGAGTGGCTGACAGCCGACACCTGAGCAAAAAAAGCAGCCAGTATCTTATCCCGTGGTCATCTAGAAAGTATGGGGATGTCTTTCGCAGAGCTTGAATGGTGGTACCAAAACCAGGTCCGCCGGGTGATGGTTACTAACCCCCCAGGAGAAAGTTCGTACTCTTCGCAAGACGGCTCATTAGGACCATCCTTCTACGACCTATACCGGCAGCACATACCGATCGAGGATGAATGTATTGACCCAGCGTTACTCCAGCTGACGCCGCAGCAGCCCAGCGGAGAAGGAGGCGAGCCTCCTGCTGTCTTTGACCACGAAGTCAACAGCAGGCAACTGGCGAGCATCGAGGACAACATGAGTGATAATCCTCCCCTGGCTCCTGAGACTATCGAGGAGTCCCCTCAAGCTGCAGAGGAGCCAGTGCCGGTGGTTGAGGAAACTAACGAACAGTTTTTTAGCCGCCCCGAGATACGAGAGCTGGTGAGTATCCCCGAAACACCCGATATCCCGGAGGAAACCCCGGCCCCAGCGGCGCAAACCGAAGCCGAGGAGGCTGAGACACAAGCGGTGATCCCCCCAACCCCAGCGCTGCCGCCGGTCTCGCCCGCCCTCTCCTCCCCGCCCTCGCCGCGCCCGCTGTACACAGAGGCCAGCGGCGTCGAGGTCTACCGCGTGGAGCGCATCGTCGAGGCCTGGGGCCCGCGTGGCGCGCGCCAGTACCTCATCCGGTGGGAGGGCTGGGGATCGGAATTTGACAGCTGGGAGCCGGCTGCCAATGTCTCCGAGGACCTCGTCGTGGGCTTTGAAGTGTCGCGCCTCCGGCGGAGGCTTTCTTTTACGAGGGCGCGGAGGCAGGCGCGGATCTGGGGGTGAGCTGGGTGCCCAGGTAAGTAGGTGAGTTTGTGTAGATTGATTCTTTTTTCTATGCGGGTTGAATTTGTCTCTTGTAATAGTAAGTGCCTCGCCGTGAAGCGGCATTTGTACGCAACCTTGAAAGTTTTCCAAGCTGCCCAGGTGCCTTTTAGTTGGATGTGCCCACGTGTCAACTGGTACTCTCTTGTTCGGAATAATCATGCTCCTTTTGTGAACGTTCTTTTGTGACAAAGATATTTAATCATTATGGTAGTGATGCCATTGAATATTTACTAATATCTACGGCGAATCCTTAGTCTAGCGTCGACTGGAGGCACCATTGTGTTCAGCAATGCCTTTCTCTTCACTGGCCCCCCCACAAGCTCCACATCATAGTTCAATATGATATAAGCCAAAGCTTGCTTCATTGTCTGAGCGGCAAACCAGCGCCCTGGACAAGCATGTCTTCCGTACCCAAGAGGAAGGAAGGACAATGTAGGAGTCACGATTAATTCGCGCTCGTGGGCTATCTGTTGTTGAGCGGACTTGTCTATGCCTTCGAACTTGCGGGAAAATCTGAATGCGTCGAAACGAAGAGGATCTTCGTAATTTTCAGGATCGAGGTGTATATTCTGCGTTGGAAAGGCCATCCGCATGCCTTGGGGGATGACAATGCCGTTGCCAATGTCGAGGTCACCAGACATAACGTCCCGGTAGAGATTCACAACGGCCACATCAGATGTACGCATAGACTCTCTAATTGTTGAGTCCACACGGTAAAGAGAGTCGATCGCTTCTGTTGTTGACAAGCCACCATGAAGTACGGAAACACTTCGGCATTCTGCCTCCAGGCCGCTGACGAAGTCGTCTTTGGACGGGCTACCATAGAGGTCGAGGACTGAATGTGCGAACATATAACAGACAGCGAAGATGAGAGGTGTCATCAATGCTATGAGTCTATTCGCAATCCTTGGGGCATGCAGCTGATGAGGGCCGTCCTTGGCGCAGGTGGCGATCAGCCATTGAAGGAAGTCATCCTGGGCGTGATTAATTAGCAGGAATTCAAGTTTCATGACGAGAGCTGCCTTCCAAACTTACTGGGCCTTCTTTCTCTTGATGCCATAACTTCAGTCTCTCGTCAATCAGGGGAACCAGTATCTCAACACAGCGTGACTGGTAATACTTGGCTCGGAGCGCTATGACGGGCGCAACAATCTTTCGAAGCATAGGTGGGAAGCAGTTGATGACGGCACCGCCCAATAGCACGGAGTTAGCATACAAGCGAGATGCTTCGAGGAGTTTCTCGTCCCGGCCCATTGGTAGCCCTAGCATCATACGTTCGGCAGCACGTGCGATTATACGACCGCACCCATCCCAACCATCAATCGTGACCCACTCTTTAGATACACCCCAGTACTCGCGGAAAGCACAGTCAATTTCCTCAGCCTGACTGGCAGCGAAGAGATGCATGTCTTTCTTGGACATCTTTCTGCGGACAACATCGAAGTGGAGCGCATTCATATAGATATCAGGATCGCTGATAACATATGGAAGCTGAATAGTCTCGATGAGTCCCAGAATGTTGGCGATATCGCTCCCAGGTAGCTTGTCAGGTCGGGTAAGCATGTGGTGTAACATTGATGGCGGCAGGACCACGAGTGCCCTGCCTGTCCAGGTAGTAGGGAGAGCGAATGGCAGGTTGAGTGCTTTGGAGAATCTTTGGTAGCCTTCAGACGCGTACTTTCGAGTTGACGTGATGGATGCCACAAATGCTCGAGTCCAAGGAAGTGGGCCGCTGGAGGAGAGACCGACATGCTCAAGCTGATCCCATACCTCGGGCGCTTTCTTAGTGGATGGGAAACAAATCGCAACCACTAATTGGCAAAGGAAAAGGCTGACAGCGAAGAACGCCAGCAATGGTAAATTCTCGGTCCAAGCCATGCTTCTTTGGTTGAGTGTCCTGGGCAAGATAGGGGGTCTAATGGGAAGTCGGGCTTGAAATCGATGGCAGCTTGTGTGAGTCTGAAAAAGATTTTACTCGTACACTCATCCTGTGACCACCACACTTTAGGGGGGATCACCATCACTTTTATACACCACTGCTCCTGATCCAACTGCAAAGATTGCTGCATGAGGGGCACATACCCGAGGTACCTAGGTACCCCCGATTGAGATGGTAAACAGTCTAGCTGCCAACAGCAGGCTCTGGGTTCATTCAGCTCGGGAGTTGTTTCCGGCTGGGTCCAACTTCCTGATGGATAGGGAGTGTGATCATGACAAGGGCGTGCGTCAATCATTTCATGCTGAAAAACCTTGGCTGCGTCCTCATGAAGCTCATGTCACCAGTACTTGCTCGTTTAAACACCAACCATCCCGAGGCTCCACCGGGCAGCCCAACGATGTAACGCCCCGTGCGGCGCAGAGTCTGGGCCCCAATGACCCATCAGTGTGGCGTGTACCTAGCACTCACTTTCCCACCCCTTCATCCGGGATATTCTGATTGGGAAATAAAAGGGCTGAGCAACGCCGGCCTTCCACATCACTCATCAGCGCAATTTCAGAGGCACTCCAACAGAATTAGTCGCTCGACTCAAACTTTTTTTTTTTGCCCTGCGATCATTGTTAATTGATTTTATTCTACTCAGTCAGCAGCATGGACTCGGCCTTCCAAGAGTTCAGGGCTCTGGCGGCCAAGGGTGAGCAGGGCCGCCGGGCACTCATGGTGGCTCTGCACAACTTGGCTTACTCTTTGGAGACCCCGAATGACACCATTCATAGATACGGACACATGGTATGAGAATGCGTGCATCGAGTTGAATCAAAGGGAACTAACAACATGGTAATAGAATCTTCAGACTGCAGCCGTCAAGATCGGCATGGACCTGGGGATCTTCAAGGCACTAGCCAGCTCCACTGGCTCGATGACCGTGGAGGATGTCTCAACAAAGGCGGGTGCAGACTTGGTTTTGACAAGTGAGTTTGGAATTCTCAGCAATTCGTCATCAAATTTCCACTGACTGGACCTACAGACCGTGTCCTGCGGTACCTTGCGGCAATTGGAGCAGTCACTGAAGTTAGCAAAGGCTCTTTTGTGGCGAATCACACAACCAAGAACCTCACCGAAAAGCTTACTGAGGCTGGAATATCTCATTAGTAAATTCTGGCCCCCCTCAAGAATCGTGAAGGAAAATGCTGACGAGATTGGCAGTTTCGGTACCGCTGCGCCTATGTATCAAGCTCTGCCTCGGTTCCTGCAAAGAACTGGCTACAAGGACCCCAGTGATGAGCTTGACACGGCATTTCAAGATGCATGGAAAACTTCTTTGCCTGTTTTTGCGTGGTTTGCCGACCAACCTGAACAGTTGGCCTGTTTCAACGACTACATGGCCCTTCGCCGGGAGCCGGAGGTTTCCTGGCTTAGTGTCTATCCGGTTATGGAGAAAGCAAAGGACTGGGATCCCAGCAAAGCAGTATTTGTCAATGTTGGTGGTGGCGTTGGTCATCAGTGTGCCCAGTTCAAGGAGAAATGCCCTGTCCCAGGCCGAGTGATCCTTCAAGATCTCCCGCACTCGATCGCGAATGCCCTGCCAACCCCCGGCGTGGAGAATATGGTGTACGATTTCTTTGAGCCTCAGCCGATTCAAGGTACGTGGACTCTGATCGGTGTGGGCAAGGCACAGAAGGGCTGTCAAGCTGACAAAACAAATTGCAGGTGCTAAGTTCTATCACATGAGAGGTGTGCTTCACAACCATCCACCACACAAAGTCCGCAAACTGCTGGAAAACACAAAGTTGGCTATGACTATAGACTCAGTTCTGCTTGTGGATGAGATGATCTTTCCCGAAACAGGCGTCAACTTCGATGCCGCCTCAATCGACATGACCATGCTAACTGCTTTTGCCAGCATGGAGCGGACCGAGGCGCAGTGGAGAGAGACTTTCAGGAGTGTCGGCCTGGAGTTATTCAGGACGTATACTTACAATCCCGTGAGTTATGAGAGTGTCATGGATGTCCGACTCCAACGGCAGTTGTGACCGATCTCCGCACATGCACATGACAGCCATGTACATATGTACTTAAGTAGTTATGGCGCGAGCTCACGCTCTTGGAGAACACCAAACTTAGCGGGTCGTCTTCTAATGAAGACGTTGTGAGCGTAGACAGCTTCAATATAGACTCTTCCCACTCTGAGGCGGAAATATCGCAAAAATATTGGCAGCACCCAGTGAATGCAAATTCTGGCCACTCTAGCGGGTTTGCGTACCTAGATACTTTTAGTACCTACCTAGGTAGATAGATCTACCGGACTGAATGAACGAGCCAACAGTTATATTCCGTCAGACCTGGATAACGTTACTGGATACGTGCAAAGCTGAACGACTTGTGAGCGTGGATGCTCCTTGGAAGATTCCTGAGGTCAACTTCCCCGTCGTAAAATGATATGAACAGGTTATGCTGTGTCCATGCAAATTCGGAATTGGCCTTCTGCTTCCCGGACAGCCATAACAGTATGGGTCATCCAAGCCATTAAAACCCATGCTGCATTCCGGGCGAACTCGTCGGCTACATTTGATCATGAACAGTTTGAGACGAGCTCGGACAATAACATGTCATTAGACCTTTCAAAAACGACTAACAGATATCACAGCATACATGGAGTCCTTTCGTTTGCACAAAGTTTCTGCCTCAATCCGACCTACTTGATGCATGGGGACCGTTGGTCAAGGCCAAAAGATTCTAACATGACTGACAAGCGAGCTTTCAATATTGTATATTGCATTGCCTCCTGCGGACTTGCGATTGGAACTTTGTTCAAAAAGTGGTGTGGTCACTCCCAGAAGGAGCAGGAATTGAACCGACTGAATAAAGAAAAAAGGCAACCGAGCACCCAAAAGCATCTGCGATCTGCTCACAACCCTCTTGCTTGCAAAGCCGATCTTAGCTTGATGGAGAATGTTGCGACATGATCGGAATCGAGCATGGTATAGTGAGCGCCTCCAACCTCGTGGAACACGGGCGCAGTTCGTGAATAGTCCGCCCACCTGCTTAGGTGCTCACGCAACCATACCTCTCTTGATGGTGCCACTGCCTTCAGGGGCTCAGCATGGAAGATATCTATACACCTGACATTCCCTTCCGGTTCGTAATCACTTGCCATGCTCTGCAGACCGTACGAGATATCTGCCCACCGAACCAAATCCTGCTTGTCTAGCCCCAGCTCCACGAGGCGCATGTGGTCCGCAATATTGAGGACTTGATCCAGGGCGTGCTTCCGAGATAATGAACGGAAAGTTTCTTCATCAATACTGTTGGCCATTTCATCGGTTGTCAGTCCAATGAAATATGATAGGCTCAGAAGACACATATTCCAGTCCAATTGTCTCATCCGCGTTTTAATGTGTGGTGGCAGATTGAGACTACCCAGGAAGCCAACTGCAGAAGGCCCGTCTAAGGCCTGAAGTCTCTTAGATACCTCAAATGCTAGCATGGTCCCATAGCTGTAGCCTGCCAGCGCATAAGGTCCGTATGGCTGGTGTTCCTTGATAGCCGCCACGTACATGTCCACTGCCTCGCTTATAGAGGAAAAGCGCGTCTGACAGTTTTCAAATCCCCGGGCTCTGAGGGCAAACAGCGGCCTGTCATCATCGGCCATGTATTTTGCCAGCCCGACAAAGACAAGTACCTCTCCAACCCCAGGGTGTATTAACCACAATGGAGTCTTGGTCCCTCCTGATCGCAAGGAGACCACCGGATTGTAGATGCACGGGTCAGTTGAGGCGGCTTGGCCGATGCCCAACTTGCCATCTGACTTGGTCTTCAAGGACAGAACTGCTGCGAGAAGCCGGGCCGTGGGGTGCTTTAGAATCGTGATGATCGGCACTGGACCAAAGCGACCCTCAATTCGCCCCTTAAGCCTGATGAGATCCATTGATGTGAACCCCATGTCCAAAAGGGGGGTGTCAACGCCAATATCACTGGCACACAACCCAAGAAGATCGGCGAAATCGTTGATCAGGCACATCTCGGCATCCGTAATCGGCGTGTCGGTAGTGTACTCTCTCCTTCGAGCCTCTTCTTTCTGGACTAAAAGCTGATAGTGCTCAAAATCCTCAGTGAAGTTCCCTTCTTCGAAGAGCACCCTCATCTTGGCCCGAGATATCTTTCCAAGCGTGGAGATTGGGAGGCAACCGGCCGACCTTTCTCCTAGAGAGAACACCAGAGGGCGCGAAGCTGTACTCAAGAAACATACTTCAGCTGCGATCCTCTTGATGTCTAGAACGTCGTCGCTCCTTGACGTTTGGCCCTTTGGAACATAGGCGATGGTGATCTGGTCCGTGTGTGTCCCCCTTGTTGCAAATACCACCAGTCGGGATACAAGGGCGCCCAAGGCCTGATCCAGAGAGGTTTGAAGGTCTGCAGCGATGAACTTCACACCGTTGATGTTGATGACATCATTCACACGGCCGACTAGGCCCAGATTGCCATCTAAGTCAATGAATGCCTGGTCGCCTGTATTAAACCAGCCGTCAGGAGTAAAGGCTTTTGACGTGGCGTCTGGATTCCTATAGTAACAATCGAAGACGTTGTTTCCGCGTAATTGCAGCTCGCCAACTTCCCCAGGCTTGGCCAATCTCTTCGTTGCTTCTGACGTCGATACCACAATGCGCATGCCCATACCATCTATGCACTTTCCGAGTGATGCCACAGCGCGGTTGTGCGTGAGATCGTAATTAGGGCAATCAATGTTGTAAACACAACCCGCGCAGGTCTCGGTCATACCAAACCCAGGAGCAATTACGTTGGGAGGAGCTCCAAATCTTGCCAGCAGGGAAGATGCTGCAACACATGTCTCTACATCATTTGCCTCTCCGCCAGAGACGAGGAAGCAAAGGCTGGAAAGATCATATGATGGAGTCACCGTGTCCGCCTCTGGCTCTGCTTGAAAAGAGGCGACCAATTTGGCCAAGAAGAAGTTTGGCGCAAAAGAGCGAGAAACCTGATGCCGACTGAGCAGGTCGAGGAAACAAAGCGGCGACGAGACAACATCAGCAGCGTGTACATGGATTTGATCAACTCCAAGATAGAGTGCGTGGAGATGAATTTCCACTAAGGCTCCCACATGGTCAAGGCCGATCCAGTTCAGGAAAGGCTTATCTTGAGGTAATGGACGGATGGATGACTTTCCAGCCACAGCCGCGAAGACCTGTTTGTGCGTCAATTGGACAGCTTTAGCGTTCCCAGTGCTCCCTGATGTTAACATGAGCATAGCGGGACCATTGGTGTCTGCCTTTCCGATGCGACCATTGCTTGGGCTGGGACCAGGAGGGCTGCCAGGTGAGGATCCGGGACGCGCTGAATTTTGTCCGTGGAGAAGCGACTCAATCGTGTATAGTTGAAGTCCAGATTCTTCTCCGAATAAGTTTAATGATGTTGACCTCGTGATGCAGATTGGCGCTGACAAAAGGGAAGCCAGCCCTTGAATATGGTTCCGGCGGTGCTCGTCAACGTGGCTGAATGGCGTTGAGAGCACCGGAAGCCCGTTTGCGAGTAGCACTGCCCAGAACCAGAGGATAACGTCACGTTGCTCGTCCAGGTGTAGGAGCACAGGACTGGTCTCCACAAAACCCTGAAGCGCAAGGATGATGTTGCTGAGCTCCTTGGCCTGTTTGTAGAGACACCCGTAGGAGAGTACTTGGGACGAGGTGGTCTCCCCGACGGGATAAAATAGGAGACGGCGACCTGCGATAATATCGGAGCTGGCTCTGTCCCTTAGGAGGTCTTGGAGGCAAGTCCAGCTCGACATTGCGACCTGATGAATATCTTGGGCGAAAACGATGAGAGTTGCGCTGGAAAATGAGATTTTTCTTGCGGAGAATTGTTCACTGCATCTAGAGGCTAAACGAGAATGCGACTTGTTCACTAATACCTGCTCCGAACTTCTGGGACAGACAAGTCAGCAACCGCCGGCCTCGATTGCTCGTTGGCGCTGCCTGGCCAACCCTCTGTTGGTCTCTAGTCCATGATCCCTCGGCCTGGTCGATTTTTTCCACTCCGTCGGCTTTTTTCCCTTTCAGGAACGGGCAGGAATGATCCCCGAACACCTGTGGGACCATTCGACAGCACGAAATTGATGGAGGAAGGTGTGTGGGCTCGGATGGGGGGTGGGCGTGCGCGTAGTGAGAGGCTGTCGCGATCCTTCAAAGTTTCTGTTCGGCCCGCTCAACACCCTCGCTGAGGAGGCACGGCTGCAGCCTGCAGGACTAGGTGCGTCAGAACCACCACAATGCAACGTGGGGTCCGACGCTACAGTACCCGCTCGCGGTAACTTGCCTGTGAGGCCCGCCACCTACTAGGTACCTACCTAGCCCGCCCAGGTCTCTAAGTACCTAGGTAGAGACCCCATCAGCCCCCACTCACCAACTTGAAGCACAGCCCTCGTCCACCCAACTGCATGCCCCAGGGTGTGTACAACCAACAGATCCTACACAGTATTGCTACCATTGCGCGACTTTACATGGCCTTTCATGTCGGATATGTCTCGCCGATGAGGGGTAACCCAACACTCCTGGCGAATAGATTCTGCATGAAGAGCCAAGGCTAGTGGTTGGTTCTCTCAACGCAACCCTTGATCACTTTGTGTTTGACCGGTCCATGTGGTGATGCTTGATCGTTTGAGAGTAGCCTGCTGCCTTGAACTCCTGGTTTAAATGCTGCTCGTATTTCTCCCACTTGCTCTTTTCTGAGGTTGGCAGCAGCGCAACTCAAAGCCTTTCTCTAGACCTCCACTTGATACTTCTAAACGAACACAATCACTCAAAATGGCATCGTCCGGGTCGAACACACGTATTCAGCAGCTCGCAGAGACAATCTCAGCCTCTGTTGCAAAGATCCAGGCGGGACTGGCGGCCAAGAACCTTCCCTCGCCTTCTTTTGACGAGAATGCACCGCCATCGCTCCCCCTCGAGCTGAGCGATGCTCAAGACGCTGTTCTTGACGCAACGGCCGAGTTGCGTGATTTGCTGATGGAGCCCATGACCTTGATTCACGGGCATGGCGGGGTAGGTCCTTCCAGCCTTCAGTCCAACACCATCATTTCACAGCCCTATCGATCATTGAGACTGACTTGGAGTCGAATGACAGCACAACAACTCGCTTTGCGAGGAGGTCATTGCTCACTTTGGCATCGCAGCCATGGTTCCGCTTGGCGGAAAGGTGTCTTTTGCCGATATTGCCAAACAGACCCCACTGACGGAGCAGATGGTCACCCGCATTCTACGACATGCGATGACTATGCGCATTTTCCATGAGCCGGAACCTGGCATGGTGGCACACACCAAGGCCTCTAAGATTTTGACCGATGCTGTCATCAACAACTGGCTTCGCGTCGGGACCGAGGAGATGTGGCCGGCTTCTGCAAAGGTAAGCAAGATCCAAACCCAAACACCAACTCGAATTCGCAAGAAAGAATGAGACGGAGACTGACTTTGCCTTCCCAGGTGCTTGATGCCCTGATCAAATACCCTGGATCCCAGGAGCCCAATGAGACAGTATGACTTCCCTTGTCCCAATCCATACTTCATCTGCGATTTCTGACCCCGCTTTTCTCTGCGTTTCCTAGGGGTTCTGCATAGCAAACAACACGACTGAGTCCATCTATGCTGCCCTTGGAGCCGACCCAGAACGTGCCGGCCGCTTCGGACAAGCCATGATGGTGTATGGCAGCAAGCCGGAGCACAGCCCAGCGTTCATCATTGATTATTACGACTGGGCATCTCTTGGCAGTGCCAAGGTTGTACACGTGGGTGGTGGCCCAGGTCAAATTGCCACAGCACTTGCCGCGCGGTATGCCAATTTGAACCTGGTTGTACAAGACCAGGAATTCATGATGGGACCCAAGGAGGCCGGTCTGCCTCAGTGAGTACTTCAGCCATTTTCATGACACCCCGGGTGTTCTCGACCATTAAAACGAGCCCACAGACTTTTAGGGCTCTTGCAAGTATCCGCAGACGGCTGACTCTGACGCAGGGAGGTCAAGGGCCGAGTATCTTTCCAACCGCACGATTTCTTTGCCCCCCAGACCGAGACAGCTGATGTATACTACTATCGCTGGACGCTTCGCAATTGGGCCGACAAGCACGCCATCAATGCACTAAGGGCTTTGCTACCGGGCCTGAAGCCTGGCGGCAGAGTCATCATTCAAGACCAGATCATGCCTGAGCCAGGAACAGTGCCATTGTGGAAGGAGAAGAATGCTAGGTAAGTGGTCCATTATTCACTTGTGGCAAACTATTATCTTACAACATGAACAGATCTGGTGATTTGAGTCTGGCTGCTTCCTTTAACTCACGCGACCGGACTGTTTCTGACTGGAGGGCCTTGCTGCAAGAAGCTGACCCTGGGTTCATCGTGAAAAATGTCACGGAACCCAAGGGATCCGCGCTGGGGATCATTGAGGCCATATGGGAGGGAAAGGCTTAGAATGGCAAGGCCTTCGACCCTTTTGTCTGCTGCACAGAGAAACTGCAGGTGCATGCAAATGCGCTCAGTCCTCAAGTGCTCCCAGGTTGGAACTGAGCTATGCTGAAGGAATCTCACCGCATGAGCAACCTCCACATCTGAGGTTCCAATCCATTCCTCATAATTTGTTGTCTATGAACCTTGAAACTGCTGTTAGACACCGCATGAATCTACGCCAAGCCTAAGTAATGTAAAAGACATTTGAAGTAAAAAGCATAAGTCCGTATGTCAAAGGGAATTTTCATGCAATTTCTGTTTTCCAACTGCGTATTATCAAAGCAGCGCCAATGTTTATGATGCCCGAATGAGTTTTCAAAGAAAGCCTTACAGATGACAGCGGGTACATGTTCCGGCAGCTGAGTGAGCAAATCTATCAGAGCCACACATGCCTGTCAGTCTTGAGTGCTCCATGGAGGACTGGCAAGGAACGACACTTAGTACACTCCACAAGAAAGCCTGGCAATTTCTGTCCTTCATCTGCTCTAAGGCGATGTACCGTCACCCAATGTGAGTCAAGTCTGCTACCTAGGAGCTTGCATGTGATCAACCAACAGGCAGCCATGCAGCCACAGAATGTTACCCACGGTGTGGTGTCTACAGTGTCACCTTTGGGGGGCACAGTCCAGACCGTGGAGGCCTGAAATATTTTCTCCCCACCCAGCCAAGACCCCTCAGGGAGACACCCACTGATGGTGCGGCACAGTTCAGCTTGTTGGAACAAGGCAACAAGGGTAGCCACTGCGGCTTGGATGGCTACATGCACTAACCCAATTATACAGCAAAGTCCAGCTCATAGGTCATACCAGATTTACAGTATAGTAGGATTCTATCTTATCCTTAATAAAGTCTTTTCTATATCCCTTATAAACCCCCCCTTTTACCATTTTTTATTAACTTATTATTTAAATAAATAAATTATATTTAATTATAAAGTAGTTTTTAAAAACTATTTATATAAAGAATTAATAAATAATATATTTAAATTAAAAATATTTAATATATTTATTTATTATTTTTTATAAAACTTTTTATTTTTAAAAATATAATTATATATATTAAATTAATAAATGTTTTTAAAATAATTTTCTTAAATTTAAACTTTTTAATTTTAATATAATTTTATTAAATATAAATAATCTTTCAATTTAATAAAAATATTTATATAGATTATTAAAAGCTTTTTTATAAAATTATTAAAATTTATAATTATAATAGTTAAGGCTAGGGGTTAAGGGTAGTAAATGGGCCTCGTAGAGGTCCCTGCAGGTCCCCTTATTAATAAGGCTACTATACTATTACCTCTTACTTTAAAGCCTAAAGGGTAACCTTCCTTTCTTCCTTTCTTCCTTAAGTAACCCTACTCTTTAAATTTACTCTATTTAGTATAAACTTTAAACCTTTATATTATAAAGCCTAAGTAATATTTTAATAATTCTTTTATTAATTTTTATTTAATTATTTTATTATATAAATTATTTAAATCTTTCTTAATTTTATTATTAAATTAAAAATAAATAATTAAAGTTTTAAAGAAATAAAATAAAATATATTTTTAAAAGTTAATTTAAATATATTTATTATATAAAACTTTCTAAAATAATTTTATAATTATTTATAATATTATTTATTATTAAAAGTATTTTCTCTATTAATATATTAAATTATATTAATTTAGATTAATATTATTAATTTTATTATAAATTTATTTATTAAGGATTAAAATTATTATAAATTATAGATTTTTAATTTAATATTAATAAATATTATATATAAATATTAAATTTATTATATAATTTAAATAAATTAATTAAAATCAATAAGTATAAAATTATTATTTTTAAAGATTTTAATTTTATTTTATAAATAAATATTTATTAAATTAAAAAAATTAAATAAAATAATTATATTTTATTATTATATATAATATTTAAATTTATAATTTTAATGACTTTATAAATAAAAATAATAATTATTAATAATTAAATTTATAATTATATAAAAATAAATCTTTATTTTTAAAAAGTTTAATATTAAAAATAATTAATATATTTTTAAAAAATTAAAATTTTAACTTTAAGGCTTTTTATAAATTTAATTCTTTTAAAAATATTATAAAAATTTAAAAGAATATAAATAAAATTAAATTAAATAAATTAATATCTATTTATTTAATAATTATATTTATTTACTTAGTTTTTAAACTACTTACTTAATATAAAATTTATATTTAAAATTTATATAAAACTATATATTTAATTAAAATCCTTTAAATTTTTAATATTTAAAGTATAAACCTTTTAATATACTTTTAATATACTTTTAATATACCCTTTAATATACCTTTTAATATACCTTTTAATTTATATACTTTTAAGTTTTAATTAATTATTTAAGTATTAATTAAGTATTTAAATATTAATTAAATATTAAAGGTTAAATATTTAAAGGGTTAGAAAGTTAAAAGGTATTAAAAATTAAAAGAGTATAATCTTTATTTTTACCTTCTTACCTTTTAATCTTTTAATATTTAATTAGTATTTAAATATATATAGGTTAAAAAGTTTAAAAGGGGTATTAAAAGGGGTTTAAAAGGGGTTTAAAAGAGGTTTAAAAGGAGTTTATATTTAAAGTATTAAAGATTAAAAGGAAATTATATTATAAAGTCTTTTAATATTAACTTAGAAAGTATTTATAAATATAAAAGAGTTATTTAGAAAAATTAATATTAAGTAAATAGTTAATAGAAATTAAGTAAGTAAATATAATTATTAAATAAGTAGATATTAATTTAAATTTAATTATAATATAATAAAATAATTAAATAAAAGTTAATTAAAAATTATAATTATAAGTTTTAATTTTATGTTTAAAAAGTAATAATATATATAATTATAAATATAATTATAAATATTTTTATAAATATTTTTATAAATATTTTTATAAATATTTTTATAAATATTTTTATAAATATTCTTATAAATATTCTTATAAATATTTTTATAAAGATTAAATTATATAAAATATTGAATAAATAAAAATAATTAATAAAAAGTTAAAAAATTAAAATTAATTTTTAAAATAAAAGATTTTAATTAATTATAACTAAATATAATTAAATATTTAATATATTTAATAAATAAATAAATATATATATATAAATATAATTATTATATAATAATTTAATTATTAATTAAATTAAACTTTTATTAACTTTAATTTAAATAAAACCTTTTTATTAAATAATAAATAAATAAAAAGATTACTATTATTTCTTAAATTAAAATTATTTCTTTTAACTTAATTAAATAAACCTTAACTATATAGATATTAAAAAGATATATATTTAGTATATACTTAAAAATATACCTAGGGGATTGAAACCCTAGGGATTTAAAAGACACCCCTTAGTAGCTTAAGGTACAGCACTACAGCACAGGAGATTGCCCATCCCCACTTACCCTTCTGTCTTTGACTAATGAGATCAAACATGCCAAAAGACTGACAAGCTTGATTTGCCGATCTGGCCGCTCCCGTGGCATCCTAGGGTAGGCTGTTGCTGGGGTACATTTGCAACAAGTTCACAAAGCGTTCACAAAATGAGTGGTCAATTATCACCACAGCTGATTGTGTAGCATTGCCTCAAGAGAGATTTCACACAAGTCATCCTCTGATGATTGCTAGTCTTGAGGAGGCACTGGAGATCATTGGTCATTAATGATACCGGTTGTGTGCCATGCAGCTTGCCAAGGTGATTTGTTCATAACCCCACTACCCAAGCTTTATTGCTTTAAGAGAACGTAAGGGGAGCGAGCCCATGAACTCTCAAGAAAAGCTTTGGACAGATTGACATCTGGAGTAAATGTGACCTAGAACAAGCATTGAAAGTCACGTCGTATGTAGGTCAACGCACACTAGTACTAGATGTGTTGTTCGCCGAGCCTGAACCTCAGCAAGTTCACCATTGAAGGCCTGTCGACTAAGGACCAAGGACCAATGAGCTATTCTCTCAGGCTATTATCATTGAATCGATATAGACATGGAAGATTGAAAGAGTCCATGGGACATGAGTAGAGTGTGGTCATGTAGGAATCAAATGAGTCGGCGTACGTATTGAAAGACAATTACTCGAAGGAAGCAACAACTTGTCCCATATTAGTCAAAAACATGCCACAATCTAGATCCAGCATCTCTTCAGTTCTAACAACCCATTACTATTCCAGACACCCACGTCAGCCTTCCACACTTGGTTCTGAAATCCAAGTCGCATTCTCCCAGGTCCACTCCACATCAAGCCCGTTCCTTGCGCACTTTCAATTTTCATAGGTGATAATGAATTGGTCGGTTCTCCTGACAGTCGATTGTGCCTCATTTTTCACAAGATTCTGAGTGCTTCCCTGCTGGAAGTAGACTGGCTCAATGCCTGGTTGCGTACCAAAGGCCTGGCCACTAACCTGTGTAGTATGCATATGTCCCTCTCTGTACGCGTTTTGCTCCAAGTCTGAGTAATCGTTTGATCGATTGTATTTCTCTTGATGAAGACTCTCTCCACTCGCTGCTGAAGACTTCTTACTGCGACGAATGGATCTCCATCCACGTCGGGCGGCACACTGGCAGGCTTGGCATTGATAAAGAGGTTGCACTCGGTGGCTGTCCAGACTTCAAATTTTCACTGGCGTTCTGTTGGTGCGCGGCGCAGCTCAGTCCCCAAACCAATGTGTGACCCACGATATCTGTGTTGGTTGAATTACATGACAACCTTGGAAACGACGGCAAAGGCCCCTGGCCAATTAATATGGAGCAGCCCAGGAATCCGATTGGGCTTCCACAACCAACATGCCATTAGGGTAGTATCAATTGATAGAGACTAGATGGCTCGACCTGGCTATTTCCCATTTTGGATGGAGCCACAATGCATGCTGATCCTGCAAAAGCGGTTGAGATGTCTCTAGGTACAACCCGGTGTAAGCCTCAAAGATATGAGTGTGGATCCACTTACTAGGCGGACCCCGAGAGTGTACCGTGTAATGAAAGCCCAGTGTTGGTTGCTCTCACCCTCACCCTCACCCTCGAATAGTTGTCCTGCATGCACGCGAAATTGGACCCCAAGAAATGACATGCACTTTAGTTCACCTCGAATCGCCTCCCTCAGTGAGAGCGAGTGTGCGTGCAGGCGGCCCCTCAACCCCTTCCCAGATCTCTCCCATTCCGTCCGCTCTCCTTCTTCCCCATTGCTTTCTTTACACGGGTGAACAGTCAGCCACGCACAATCAAGGCGTGATCCTGCGCGCTTGAGCAACGGCCATGATGGTAGTTATGGACAAACCCCACGACATCGACACTGCTGCGGTCCCTGTGGCCTTGCAGGACTCCAAACCCTCGTCCACCATTACGTCCAAAGAACAGCCCAAGTTTGATGCTCCGGCCACCCAAGACCATGATGGAGATCAATATGTCACCGGGTACAAGTTAGCTATCGTTGTCGCTAGCGTGGCTCTGTCTTGCTTCCTAATGCTCTTGGATACCATGATCATCAGCACGGTATGCTTTTCCTGGCCCTACTGTCGCGCAAGAACAGTTGAAGACCACGAACTGACCACATGACCCTCATAGGCCATCCCACGTATCACCGACACTTTCAATTCTCTCCAGGACGTTGGATGGTACGCCAGTGCATACCAATTTGGCAGGTAAGTCCACTGCCTTCTCCCGACCAGCAACAATGTCCTTCAATGGGACACTACGTCTCATCAAATAACGCAATTAGTGCCGCGCCTCAACTTTTGACTGGAAGAATTTATACTCACTTCAGCACCAAGGTATGCCTTCTGTGGATACCTGGGTATAGCACGGACCTTACTGATACGGTAAACAGTGGACATTCCTTGTTTTCTTTGGGATCTTTGAGGTTGGATCTGTACTATGCGGCGCCGCCGTATCCTCCGATATGTTGATTGTCGGCCGAGTTGTGGCTGGATTCGGCGCTGCAGGCATCATTATCGGGGCAATCACCATCATCTCCGCGTGCGCACCTTTGGAGAAGCGCCCAGGTATGTCACTATTATGTTTCACGCCGAGGCTTTGGCGCTTCTTCGCTAACCTTCATTCTCAACAGCATTGCTGGGCATGACGATGGGATGCAAGTCCTCCCTTACTAGACCTGACATATCTGGGATCTGAGAGCTAAATTGCAGTTACACAGTCAATCAGCTAGGACTAGTCGCTGGGCCACTGATTGGGGGCGCCTTCACCTCTTACAGCGACTGGCGCTGGTGTTGGTCCTTCCCAAACCGCAAACTCACATGAAGTTAAACTGACCAGCACAGGTTTTTACGTCAATCTCCCGGTGGGCGCCGTTGCGGCAATCGCGATTGTCCTTCTCCGGATTCCTGAGCAGACACAAAAGGCCAGTGCGATGACAGTTCTGCGCAATTTGCACCATCACCTTGATCTCGTGGGTTTCCTTCTTTTCGCCCCAGCAGTCCTTCAGCTTCTTCTTGCTCTCCAGTACGGTATCGAATTTCGTTGGAACGACTCCCGAGTCATCGGACTGTTCTGTGGCGCAGTCGCCACTTTCGTTGTCTGGGTATTTTGGAACCGTCGCAAGGGGGATAATGCTTTGTTACCATACTCTATGGTACGACGAACGGAGGTCTGGTGTTCGGGAGTCTACCAAGCCTTCCTGATGTCGGCAGTATACGGCGCGATATACTTTCTCCCCATCTACTTTCAGGCTATCAACGACGCAACCCCAATGATGAGCGGCGTGTACCTGTTGCCGACTATACTCCCACAGCTCGTTATGGCGGCATCTTCTGGCGCTATCAGTGAGTGATTATCGGATGAATCTCACATTAGCACTGGTTCGATTACTAACACAAAGAGCAGTTGCTAAGATGGGATATGTAATCCCTCTAGCCGTCTTCTCCACCATTTTCCTAGCTGTGGCCAGTGGTCTGTACTCCATACTGGCGCCTGGCAGTCCAAAAGGAGAATGGATTGGCTTCCAAATAATAGGGGGAATAGGCTCTGGTGCAGGGCTTCAAGTAGTACGCTATTCTTTTATGAGGAAACGTCGTCAATACTACTAGCTAATGTCTTATACAGGCTATTATCGCCATACAGGCAGTCGTTACTGGAGAAGAATTGTCCTCTGGTATGGCATTTATGGTCTTTACACAGTCACTTGGGCCAGCTATTGTTCTAGTCTTGTGCAACGTCGTCTTCGACTCAACTCTTAGATCTCAGCTGGCACTCAAGGCGCCAGGGGAGGATGCAGCTGCGATCATTCATGCTGGCGCAACTGGATTCCGCAATATCATCCGCCCCAGTGATTTGCCTGCTGTGCTGGATGCCTACTCTGGCAGCATCAATCGTGTTTTCTATCTGGTTGCTGCGATGGCTGCTACCTGCGGGATCTTTGTTTGGGGAATGGGGTGGCATGATGTACGGAAAAAAGATGTTGGTCTGGAAGCACATGGCGAGCAGAAGGAAGTGTAAAGGAAACAACACAGACCGAAGCAATTTCCAGCTGGCACGCAGTGTAAGATGACACGAGAGAGAGATTCCTGAAGCCGATGATGCTGGGTACTAGCAGAGAACATTCTGCTATACCTGGCAATAGACTGTTAAAGACGAATGGAATATAGCGACGCGAAGAGCCTGAAACCTTCATTCGGACACTCTGTTGATCTGAATCGCTGCCCATAAGATTATGGGTTTCAACATGACCCCTGGAAATTATGCCTTGGCTCCGCAGCTTCACTTGGAGGTTGCAACACAGTGGCATTCGCGTTTAGTCGTCGGCGCCGATTAAGACCCGTCGTTCCGGCACACCGACAGATTGGAATCGGGGTTCTGTGGAATCCAGGTTTTTTAATGGGCCACCCTTATATTAGGTGGTCAGAAGCTCATCTACGGAGTACACCAGGATCGATACCATAATATGGGGTAGCATGTCACAGGGAATCGGAGTCATGGTCCCCCTGATCCCAATTCGATCTCGGCAGTTCATCCCATGTATGGGCTATCATAGGTGGATGACTTGCTTCTGGTAGGAATTCATTTGATCTGTTGTAAGGTCGTTATGGGATATTGCAACTACGGCGCATGGCTGTGGTAAGTTGGCGTGGTGGGATTCGGCCCACCCCCGGATTCGGCCCAAATTTCCCACTAAAATTCACTAAATTCGCGATTTTTATCTACACTAATTAAAATTATATAAAGATATAATAAATATACTAAAAAAACTTTATTATAGATATAGTAAGTTATAAAGTTATTATAAAAAGTTTAATATAATAAACTTAATTAAATTAATTTTAAAAGTTATATTATATTTTATTTTTATAAAACTTAAATTATTTACTTTTAATTTAATAATAGAATTAAAAATAATAAATAGTATATAGTTTTTTTATATTATATTTAAGTTATAAGCTTATAACTTTCTTTTTAATTAAATATAATAAAAATTATAATATTTTAATAAACTTTTTTAAGACTTATATTTTATATTATAACTTTTTTAATAAATTATTTAAAATATTTGTATTTAAAATATATATTTAAATATATATAATTTATATATATAGAGGTTCTTAGTATTTTATAATTTTAATTAATAGAGAAAGAAATAGTGATTCTAGTGGATTTTAATAGGAAATTTAGGCCGAATAGGGGGGGGTGCGGGCTGAATCCCATTATGGCAACTTACCGAAATCCGCTTTCAAGGCTGCGTGCTCCCCGAGGTCTCTTCGCGGTGGCGAACTGACGTTAAAAGGGATGTTACCCTAAAAACAATATAAAAACCAAAAGGTCTGCTACAAACCCTAGCCTTAATCTCTCCGCTTCGTCTTGACGTAGAGTTATAGCTCAGACTGCATACTCGCTGCCATCGTTGCAATGTTTTCAGGCATAGACAACTGGCAGGCTGCTGCTTTTGCCCCGGCATCGATGCCCTTGATTCCAATTTGCTTTGTAAGTCTTCTTCCACCCCCCCCCCCTAGAGCCTGTCGAATCCAGTTTTTATCAAGGCGCTGAACTGACGATCAGCTGTTGACCAGCTTCTTATTTACCTATTGTCGTATTCCGTATACCAACTCGCCTTCAACCACCTGCGCAAGTTCCCAGGTCCCAAGCTATGGGCGATTTCGTACATTCCCTACGTTCGCCACTACATGTCCGGGAATGGCCATCGTAAGATATTGAAGCTTCACCAAAAATACGGCCCGATTGTCCGCGTTGGTCCGACGCATATCTCCATCAACCACCCAGACGGCATGCAGGATGTCCGCGGCCACCGGAAGACGGGTGAGAACCCCAAGGACCTCATCAATGCGATGACGAACCGAGACAACCTCATCGGCGCCAACCGCGAGGACCATCAGCGTTTCCGTCGCCTACTAGCACATGGGTTCTCTGCGCAGTCTATGATGGCACAGGAACCTGTCATCAAGCAATATGTGGATCAGCTGTTCCTGAAGTTGCATGAAGTTTCTGAGGGCGGCACGAAGCCTGTGGACGTTGAAAGGTGGTTCAATTTTACGACGTTCGATATCATTGGCGACCTGGCATTCGGCGAGCCTTTCGGATGCCTAGAGAATAGTACCTATCACCCTTGGGTTGACATCCTTTTCATGAGCATTAAGAACATGGCATTCTTGAATGCAACTAGACGGCTTTCATGGATCGGGCCACTGCTCATGATGACTGTTCCTCGCAGCTTGGCCACCAAGTTGGCTGAGAACAAGGAATTATCTCGGCATAAAGTGCGGAAGAGGTTGGACCTCAGCACCAGCCGTCCAGACTTCATGGGCGCTATGATCAGGAAATCCGAATCTGCTGGTTTGGTGAGTTGTGATATCCTCCTGTCGCCGCCCGGAACAGTCCATCACTGATGCGTCGAAGACGATCTCCTTTGAAGAGCTTACATCCAACGCTTTGATGCTTGTGATCGGGGGCTCGGAAACAACAGCCACGTTGCTGTCTGCGGCGACGTTTTTCCTAGTCACTAACCCAACAACCTTGGCGAAGCTCAACGACGAGATTCGGTCAACCTTTCAGAGTGAAGATCAGATCGACATGCTCAGTGTCCAGAACCTCAAATACTTATCCGCCGTCTTGGACGAAAGCATGCGATGTTACCCTCCCGTGCCCGGGCCGAGCCCACGAATGATTGGAGAGGGAGGTGATAAAATCCTTGGCGAATTCATACCAGAAGGGGTCAGTACAGTGTTATTTTATTTTATTTTTTCTTTTAAACGTGGCAGGTAAGCTGACTAAGGTGTCTCATAGACCACCGTGGATTCGTGGCATTGGGCTATATATCACAACCCTGACCATTTCGCGATGGCTGAGGAGTTCCACCCCGAACGTTGGCTGGATGACCCGAGATTCGCTGGAGATGCCAAAAGAGCACTTCAGCCCTTCTCCCTTGGGCCCCGGAACTGCATTGGGAAGAAGTAAGTCACGTTAGCTATTCGTTAGATACCCGGCCCGACTGACAATTGTTCTTTTTAGTTTGGCCAACGCAGAAATGCGCATGATGCTGGCCAGGTTAATCTGGAACTTTGACATCCGCGCCGGGAATAAGTTGGAGGAGTGGTATGACAACAGCAAGGTGTATATTCTGTGGCAAAAGGGCCCAGTAAATGTGTATTTAACACCCAGAGCCTGAGCCGAACACCCCAGTGCTCTCGCCTGGTCGGCAAAAGCGCCAAGCCAGCTCGGCCGGAGGACATTGTAAACATGCGGCGGATTTTACCGCTTTGCTCCAACTATGGATTCTCTGTCTCCGCACCGAGCGCTGCGGCCTTTTTCCTACCTAGGCAAGAACCCGTAAAATGACAAGACTGCTATATTATTGAGTGCTTGACAATACCAGGGGATCCCAACAAGACGCCGCCATGTCCAGCTTACAGAAGCAGTATGCCCAGTACCCCAGCCTGGTCGACAGGGTCGTGGTCATATCCGGGGGAGCCACCGGGATCGGCGGGAGCATGACCGAGGCTTTTGCACTTCAGGGAAGCCGGGTAATCATCCTCGACATACAGGACGAGCCCGCGAGGCAACTCGTAGACGACCTTGTGTCAAAAGGGGTCAAGAACCCGCCAGAGTTTCACCACTGCGATGTGACGGATATTACTGGAGCCGTCAGACCCACCGCGGCCAACATCCTCGCGAAATACCCAGCGGTCCACGGCGTCGTGAACAACGCAGCCCACGACAAGCGCGTGAGCACCATGGACATCACGCCCGAGGACTGGGATCAAGGGCTCAACGTCAACCTGCGGCACACTTTCTTCCTCACGCAGGCCCTCATGCCGGGCCTCGTCGCGGCTGGCGCCTCGTCCGTCGTCAACATGGGCAGCATCATCTGGGCCATCCCGGAGACGGGGGTCGTCCCCTACGTCGCGAGCAAGTCGGCCATCGTCGGGCTCACCAGGACGCTTGCGCACGAGTTTGGGCCGAAGGGCGTCAGGGTGAACAGCATCATGCCAGGGGCAGTTGCTACCGAGAGGCAGAAGCAGGATATCCTCACGCCAGAGTACGAGTCGAAGGTGTTGGGGCGACAGGCATTGAAGAGGCTCCTGCAGCCGGATGATGTCTCACGGCTGGCGTTGTGGTTGATTGCGGATGACAGCTCGGGGGTTACAAACCAGAGCATTGTGGTTGACGGCGGGTGGATCTGACTCAAAAGGGGAGCCATCAGATCTAGTTAAAGGAACTTTCATTCAGAACATCATGCTTTACTACTTAGTGACACTGCAGGCAGGCGTCGCAAAATTGTTTAATATTGTTCAGGCTCCGTATAGGACCGAGGGATGATCATCAGGCAATATTGACATGAACGCCCATTATCGAGCTCCCTGACCCCATCTTCACCTTGAAAACTTGGCGACCAAGACCATTCCAAGCCACTTATTGCCAACTTCTGCTGGGGTAAACTAAACTAAATAATCTTCACACCCGCCCAGCTGTCTGTCTGGACAACAAGCCCATACAACGGCAAGTCCTTACCGTTTCCCTCCAATGGCGCCTCCTACATCCCCTCCGCGATCTCCCACGGGATATCAAACTCCTGGGGGGCGTTCAGATCAACATCACTAGTGGGGCCAGGTGACTGCGGCGGTGCGTTTCCCGAGGAACCACCGGCACCCGAGGGACCACCGGCACCGGCGCCAGAATGTAAGGCCGGGAAATTCTGGTTGCCGGTCTGCCTCCGGCGGTCCCGCTCCGTGCGGTGGTTCAACAGTATCTCCGAGCACCTCTGGACGACCTCCACGACACGGCTCCTCGAGGATGCCGACAGGTAGGTCAGCGGGCGGGCCGAGGCCTTGGTCCATAACGCCCTCATGGTCAGGCGTTTCCTCGACTCGGGGACGCTCGGCAGCGTGTTTGGGTGGCGGGAGTAGTCGAACCCCGGCGCGATGTTCTCGTCCGCCAGGAGCTCTATAGTGTGTTGGAGATTGGCGTCGCGGCCGTTTGCGCTCTCCTGCATGAGGTTTATGTAGTAGACAATCGCCTGGATGTTTTCGTTGAGGAGGAACTGGCCGTCGATCGAGGAGAGATAGGTGGCAAAGGCCTGGAGCTTCCGCCCGAGCGCGAGTAGCCAGGTGCGCACGAGGTTCAGGTGGCCTCGGATGGGTGTCATGTACCTCTGGTGCACGGTTCGTCTCTCAAATTCCGTCGGGAGGAGGGAATAAATGGCTATCAGCGACTGTGAGTATTGTATCGCGTACCCGAGCAATCGATCAAACTCGAGGAGATCGGCGGCCATGACGGTGTCAGAGGCTTGGCTGACTATATGCTGAGATTAGATCGTTTTCATACCTTTGCTGTCTCAAAAAGAACGGCTTCTGGGAAGGGAGAAGAAGAAGAAAAAAACTGGGGATAAATCCTTACAAGCCCTTCTGACTGTCTCCTGAGAATCTGGTGTCTGCAGCCTTCCTGCTGCACTGTCCGCAACCCAGCCAGCAATTGCGGCAGCCATTTGATCAATGTCGGTCGTGGATTTCTGGGCAAGGGAGTTTAATCTCCCATACGTATTTTGCCACGTCCTTGCCTCGTAAAAGAGTCTGCGCATTGTGGTTTGATAGAACACGAGGTCTTCCATTTCCGCCCGCAGCCAACTGCTCAAAATGAACTGATTCGAGTCATTCCTATGGAAGAAGTGTTAGTGGCATTACCTCAAGTCTCTCTCTCACGCGACTTTACATCCTGTCCAATCTAGATCTCTCCATCGCAAATTCAGCACGCGCATGTGGGCAACAGCGACTTACAACAAGGGCGCAGCCACGCCAGTAATATAATTGAAATCCTCATCGCCCAACTCTCGCCGCAGCTCAAAAGCCAATATCCGTATCCCACGCGAGTGGACGAGCAACAGCGAGTTGGAGTGGGCCTGGAGCTTGAACGCATGGTGGCCAAACCGCTGGAAAAGGTCCTGCCACCATTCCTCCGAGAAGAACTGGGCATATTCGTTGACGGCCACGGGCCGTCGCTGATCGTACACGGGGGCGGGCGGGTTCAGCAGGTACCCGGCGTAGGGAGTCGCCGAGTACGGGCCGTAGAAGGACTTGTCGACCTCGGTGTGCTGGAGGTCGGGGGCCAGGTGGCTCTGGGGCCACGACAGGCACTGGATCATGCAGCTCATCTTGGTCTCATTTTCGTTGGCGACGGGGTTGCCTGAGTGGATGATGCCGCCCCATAGCTGTGAGTGAGTTGGGTCTCGTCAGCCTCTGATCATCCCAAGGAAGAGGGGGCTATAGCAAGACTAGTTAGGGTGTGTCAGGATACAGACCTCGTTTTCGAAGGCTTTGCCCTCCTCCATCTGTGGACCTTCCTGGAAGCTATTAAGAGAGTTTTGTTCAATGTTGTTAGCCAAGCTGGTCGGAGATCAAGGCACCTACCCTAGGGTAGGTAAGACAATCCAGAGTTATCTGCGACATCTGGCTGCAGCATATGCTTCATTGCGGAAAACGAAACAGCAGACTTACAAGTACTGCCCTGGTCGTGCATTCTGACCGCCGTACATGGCGTGATACAGTGGGACGAACCGTAGGCGCATTTCTGGCGTTATCCCCAGGTCCCTCACCGTCGCCTCTGGCAAATTGTTCAAGGTAAAATCTGGCTCCTTCAAGAGCAGTTGGTTGGCCGCTTGATCATTCCTTTCTTTCAGCCGTGGCTCTCAAATTGTCTACCTCCTAGAAAGGGGCTGGTACACGGTGGTGGGTGGTGGTGGTTGGGGGGTCTGAGACACTCGTCTCCGGGTGTGAAAATGGGTGATGTCTGCACGCTCGACGACGTCAGGGGTGAACTCACTCTTACAAGCATGCTGTGAGCCGGCACAGGTACTGTATCAGCAGGGTCATCCCAGCCCAAATGGAGGACGAGCTAGATAGCAACTTGAGTACTCACGGCCATCTCATGAAGTATTATTCTTGCCAGGTCGAAAGCGGCCACAGCTCGAGCCTCAGGGAACTCTGCCGTCATGAGCTGCCACAATGTGATGGGATTCACTGAACCACCGCTGATCATTAGCTCCTGCTCTGTATGCATACAGATCTCACGATTTCGTGTGAGAATTCCCGCTTACTTATGATCATAATCCGCGGCCGAGGAGGGAACGGCTTGCGGGGTTCCCGAATCAAGCCAAGGCCAAACGTGACGCCGCTCGCACGAGCGGTGGGCTCCCAGGTGCCGATGGTGAAACGTAGGTCTGGAGACACGAAGGGCATGGGTCAGCGAGCTTGCTGACTTGGAGCCAGTCCCACGTATGGGAGGGGGTTGCATGGCCGGAGGATTAATTACACTGGTTTAGTATCGCCTGGGTCGTCTCCCTGGACCGGAAGCCCAGCTGCTTGAGCTGTGACGCGAACTCGTACATGCCCGGCCGGTTCTCGTCGAGCCACAGCGACATGAACGGCGCCCCGTCCCGCTGGCGGGCCTCAGCATTGCGCCCGTCCACGTCGTCCGGGACGGGCCGGACGTTGTAGAGGCTTAGCATTGCGTTCCTGTTGGTGCCGGAGCAACATGTACTAGGTAAGCGCTTGATGAAGGGATGAGAATTTGTTGGAAGGCTCTTGTTTTTTTCCCTCACCAGAATGGATGGTTCGAGGCAATCACCCTGCTTGCGAGGCGGAGCGCCGGCTCCATGGCTGCCCATACCCTGTCGTCCTGGAAGGGGGGGTGGATGCCGTGTCAACGAACACTGTACGCTAAGGGGTACTCTCGAGAGCGCCTGGAGATATTAGGATATGTATGGTATCGGACTCACGTCAACGTCGTACTGGCCCTCCTCGTCTCCAAACCTCCACCGCGTGTTACATATCGCACTGGGGAAAATCCGACTGGCCACCGTCGCATTCAACCATTTATCTCTGCTAAAGAGGCTGCTCGTGGGGAGGAGAAAGTTATCAGAGAGCTGCTCATTCATCATCTTCTACTAGGAAGGAAGTGTTGCTTATCCATGGTCCAAAACCTACTAGTGCAGGTCTCCCGAGATAGGAGTCCCAGAAGACTGATAGTTCGGATCATACGCGCCCGAGTCTATGAGCTACGTAAGGAGACGCGCCCCAGAATTTTAGCAGTGGAAGGATTGTAGTCATATATATGTATTAGGTAGGTACTGACCTCCCTCGTCGTCGGCCCGCCGAAAACAACAGACTGCCAGACCTCTTCGGTCCCCGATGGATCCGGCGGCAGCTGGCCAGGGCCGGGGGTCGTCGGCGTGATATTGGACCGGCCGAAGATCGGGTCCGGGTCGTCCGGTCTGTCCTTGGGATAGATGCCGAAGCGGCTGATTGCGTCCGTCCGGTAAGCACCTTGGCAAGCAACTCCTATACAAACAGCAGGCGTGGGCAGGCACACCACCTATTGAGCTACCCTAGGTAGGGTAGGTACCCTACTATATAGATGTATGCATGGGAAAGGGGGGAAAGAAAGGGCTGGCGTCAACGTACCGAGCATACTCCGTCGGGTTGTTAATCTGGTCCCGGGGCAGGATCGCAGGGCGCAACAGGGGCCCGCCCGAGCTCACGAAGTGCTCCCGGAAGGAGTTCCCGCGGGCCGAGTACTCGATGTTCTCGCGCCACTCTGGATCCGCCCACTCGGGCATCCAGGGGACGTGGTCCGGGTCTGCCAGCCACCGGCCGACGACGGGCTCCGGTTCGGCATCACTAGCACCACCACCACCACTAGGGATGGGTTCTGGTGGTGCTGGCTGTCCTCCTGGGGCGGCGGCGGCCATCGCGGGAGGAAGGTTCGGGGAGAGAGGTGCGGTTCGGTCACTGGCACTGGAACCTGAAACTGGAACTAGCTCTGCTGGTCCTCGGCCGATCGTTGTCGATATCGCTGAGTGGTGCTGGGGGTAGATACGAGTAGATAGACGGTGACCGGTGTATTGGTCAAAGTGGTGGCGCAACTTTGCAATGAGGATGTGATTTCTCGATGTGAGGGCAGGGCACTCACTCTCTGGAACAGTCAGTTGGGCACAAAGGATAGATTCCGTGTCACCTACACATGTACACACAATACACACACAGTCACGCTCACATCCAGCAGTCTTCCCGCAGTGCAAAATTTCCGTTTGCGTTGTGCTTTGTTCAATTGATTATCAACCCAACAACGAACGCAAATATTAGTAGTGCCTTATTTCACCGTGCAGCTGCCCATTCCACGCCCCTGCTGCCTGCCTGTCTGTCTGTCCTACGGAATTAATATGCGTGCGTGTGTCGTGTCTTGCCTCGCTGGTTAGGCTGAGTCTCCGAAAGTAGACTTGTAGTGTAGTCAAATGAATTTACAATGCGAAATCACAACCTGCATGCCTGTGCCTGTGAATTAAATCTCTGCAGAGGTAGCAGTGCTAGAGTACGCGCGCTTCTGTGTATCTCCTTTTCTCCCCCACCCTTTCTCTCGGCCTTCGAATCCCGAGGTTTCATCTCGATAAGTGCTCGAAATCCACGCAGTGTCATGCCACATAGCGCTAGACTGTTCGTGCCGATCTCTCCAATGAGTCCTTGTGCGCCTTCCGCCTGCTGGGGGATGCCGTGTTGCCTTGTTCGGTTCTGGAAGGAGTGGATTTGGCGGGGCTTTGCGGCGAAGGAGAGCGACCCAAGGTAGCTAGGTCCGTCGTCGGCGTGCTCCTCTTCAGCTTGAGCTTGGGCGGGGTCCTCTTCGGTGGACTCGCACAAGCACTTAGCCTCGGTTTGTCCCTCTTCCTGGGACTCGCGTCGCCACTGGCACGCACACCAGGCGACGAGCGGGGTGGGGATGAGGGCGACGATGCTTTGACGGGGCTCAAACTGTCCCTGAGCTTTATTTTTGAGGGTGTCTTCCTCTTGGGACTTGACCTGGATGACGGCTGCGTAGTGGCAAGACCCTGGGCCGTGCCTATTGCGGTGGGCGGCGTCCTGCCACCCGGCGCCGAAGAAGCGGTCGAATTTGTCCGAGAAGGGGGCGGCGTAGGCGCTGTACATTTTTCCGGGCTGGGCCTATGCCGTGTGCGACACGGCGACTGCTCGCTGCGCGGCGCTGACCTCGTCGCTGCTACCGTCTTCGGTCGGGCCCGCTCTTCATCTTCTACCTTGTTCTTCATTGGGGTGAGGTTTGAGGACGCCACACGTCGGACTTGGTGGGTATGGGGTGGCCGACGGCTCGCATCAAGATGGGCTTTCAGGCTTGGGCGGGTCAGGCTGACTCTGGCCGCAGCTGGACTGGCCTCGCCGGGTGCGCCCTCCTCTCCCGAGGGCATGCTGCTAGGCGTCGTGGGTGCCTTGGTTGGGCTAGGCGGTGGTTCTCCTCGATCAGAGCGGTCGTCCTAGGACCACTTGCCGGATTCATCAGCTCTTGACGAGCTGCTGCCACCACCGTTCACAAACCGCAGCTCCGAGCTGGGAACCCTGCTCGACCGCCTTTTGATACCGCCGCTCGGCCTGTCCCGCTCAATGGCAGGCGACGAGGGTGGATACAGCGAGCCACTGGAGCTCTCGCTGCCGCCGCTCGAGTTCCTCGCGCCGACGACGTACGAGCCTCTCCTCCCCGCAGCCGCGGCTGCGGCCCCTGAGTTCTCCTTATTACTCAGTGAGCTGTCGGATCTGCCGTGGTGGAGGCTCGGCCCGCCGGACGACGTGCCAGGGCGCGAGTAAGAGACTGAGCCCCTGGGGAGCCTGCTCCTCCCCGCTGCGTTGGCGTCGCCGGACACGCGTCGCGGCGTGGAGACGGCGGGGCTCATAAGACCACTCTCTGCCCCCCTGCTCCGGGGTCTTGCAAACATGGCATCTTGTTCGTGTATAAGACTTGTCTGGGAACGCCGCGGGGTGTGGGCCACCTGCTGGATCACACTTGCCGACCCTGTATGCCGCAGTTGCGGCGTCTGCGTGGGCGTTCTCGGCGGCGCCCCGGGGGCAGTTGTCGAGTGCACCAAGCTCGGAGGTGTGGCATAGCTTGTCATTCTCCTGGACCCGCCCGACCTTGAGCGCCCGCTGCCACCGTTCTGTGAGCCACTGCCAAGGCTCTTGGTTTCGAAATAATCACCCTCGATATGGCTCTTCGAGATTTCGTGCGCGAGGTTGCGCACCAGGAGAGCCGGGTCCTTCTCAAGCATTTGTATATTTTCGAACAGTGTCTGCAACTCTGCGCCGCCGCCCACAGAGCTGACGCCCAGGTCGGGTTCACAGCTGTCCAGGATGGCCCGGACGAGACGGAGAAGGTTCAGCCGCACGACGGGCTTCTTGTGGCCTAACTTTGTAGCAATACCCCTATACATCTCAGGCTTGCCCAGGGATGCAGCCAGGGTAGGGCTGAGGCGGAAGACCTTGAGCAAGGGCTCCAGAAGAGTGGCATCAAATGCAGCAAAGGCGTTGACCTTGGAGGTATCGAAGCAGGCTACGATGGCGGATGGGAAATTGCCACCCAAGAGATGGCTTTCCACCTTGGCCGTTTCCTCTTGCAGCCAATTGAGGATGGCATCAAGCGCTGTGGTTTGCCAGTACTGGTCAGCAAGGAGAGAGATATAGAAGTCCAGCCCCTTGTTCTGCCACAGATAACGTCGCCCCTTGCTTCCCGAGTGCGCCATGTCGCAAAGTATGGGCAGGGCGAACTCCTTGGGCGGTCGGTCGATTTTCATGATCTTGAGTAGCAACGGAATGATGCCATGGACCGCAGCGTACTCTTGCCGCTCCTTGCTGAGTCGACACAGGTTGTACATGGTGTTCAGGACCTGATTGGAGATCTCCCGGAAATGCCGCATGTTCTTCTTCAAGCTGTGCGACAGGAGGTCAATGAGGTAGTCGATCGCGTCTGCGGAATGAAGCACCTCGACGGTCGTTGGTAGGCTCGACAGATTCTTGATAAACTTGAGCATGGTGATCTGATGGGTAGGTGTCATGGTCTCCAGGTCTTTCAGTACGGCTGTGTTTATAAGGTCAGCTTGGGCTTCTTGGTGCAAATAGACGGGTGCCACGCGACTTGGCTGCTGGACTCACTCTTGAGGACTGCACGGTCGGCAATCAGCTCCTTGACCTCATAGTCCGCCTGGGAGAACATGTAGAAGAGATTGACGATCCGGCCTTCTACGAACTCGGACAGCTCATCCTGCTCGTCCGCGTCCAAAACCCTGTGGAGAATCTCGGCCAGTGGGTCAAGCACCTTTGCCTTGGAGAAGAGCCGGCAGAAGTCATTCCTAGGCGTAGGTCCCTGGAGCTCAAATACCCTCCAGATGCCGTTGACGCCGATGAGGACCAGATCTCGGGACATGTCGTAATCCTCATCCAGAAACCCAGCAAGAACTGAGATACCGCCACAGCTAACAAACATCTGCAGCGTGAGGGTAGATGTCTCGTACATCTGCTGGACGAAATCGGCGGTCTCGAGGCGGATTTCGTTGGAGAACTGCCGCGCGGAAAACTTGGTGATGATTGGGATGCCACCAACAAAACACAGGTTCTCCTGCAGCTCCCTGTCACGGAATATGATCTGTGGACCGTCAGTGAGTTGTTCCCAAATCAAATATCGAGGCAGCACCAACCTTATTGACGACCTTGAGCAGCCACAAGATCATGTCCTGGCGGCCTTTGGCCGTGCTGATGGTGTCTGGCGGGAGTGTGAGCAGCTCCAGGATGGGTAGCAAGCCATGAGCGCCGATTATCAGCCCCTTGACATCCTCATGCTCATCCAACAGATAGACCAGCTCCTCGGCGACATCCGAGACCCGTTCTTCGCCCGTGATCTCGGTGCCGATCTTGAGCAGCTGCACAAGCTCCTCGACCCTCTCAGCCAGGCGCGCGTGCCGATCCCGGGCGATGTTGGCCTCGAGGTCCATCTCGTTGTACTCTGGGTCCATCATGGCGAATGGGTCGTCCTCGTCCTCATCGTCACCGAGCCAGGAGCTGTTGGAAAGCTTTGAAAGAAGCATCATGCCGCCCGCACCGTCCTCAGAGCCTCGGTCGCTGTCCTCCTTCTCTACCAGGGCATTGTTAGGGCCAAGAATGTCGGAAAAGTCCTCGTCGTCCTCGCCCTCGGCAAACTTTTGAATTTCAATGTGGGACCTTGTCCTCCTCACAGGTGCTTGCTCGTCTGGTGCTGGAGGCCGCGAGTGAGTACGCTGGCGGCGACCACCGTCATCGCTAGCGGCAGGTGGCACGATGTGGATGTTGGGCTGAGAGTGCTGGGTTTTTAGTTCAGGTGGTGGCATCAGCTGCGCATCGTCCTATTGGCGGTGCAAGCAAGACATTAGCAAAAGGGTCGGGAAAGGAAAAGAAACCCGACCTTGTTGTTTCCCATGAACTTTTTTTTGGGCAGCGCTTGCGGCCGTGCGCAGATCTTACTGGTATGCTTACCTTCTTGATGGGACGGGCAGCTTTCTTGCTGAACAGATTATCCGCCTCGGGGAAGAAGTCGGAAAAGTCCTCGATGGACTGCTCCCGATAAATGGCCTCTGGGCGCACGGGGAGCTCGAACTTGCCACCGAGGGCTGGCTTGGTGGGCTGCTTCTGCTGCAGCGGCACGCTTGAGGACGACACCTGCTTGCTCCTCGACCTCCGGTGTCCGTGCTGCTGTGGAGTCCTGGCTGCCTCGGCGGACTTGCTGGACCTTCTGGGGGTAGGCCGGATGGTCTGTTCCTGGGGGTCCTGATCGAGGAACTGGCGAGAGGCACCCTTGGCAGCAGATTGCAGGTCACCCTCGAATTGGTCATCCCAGTTGTTGCTGGCGCTTGTCTCGTCGATGGAGGCGAACTGCTTGAGCCTATCAGCCGACAACTTGCCCCCAAAGTTGTCCTGAGGCTTGAGGTGCGGCAGGTGGAGGGCGCTCGGGGAGATGGCAGTCGCAAAGTCGTCATCCCAGTTGTCATCATTGGCAACCTCGGGGGAGCGGAACGCGTCGGGGTTCGTCTTGGTCTTCGTGATGCCCAGCGGTTTCTTGCCGGGAGTTACAAGGCTCGACCTGTGTGGCTCTGCGGCGGCGGCGGCAGCGGCAAACCTGGACATTGGCTGTACGTGCGCAGTTTGGGCGCTGCTGTCGGAGCCTGTGGAAGCCCTCAAGGCGGGCTCCGAAGACTTCAATGCCTTGTTCCACTGCTTGACCTCCTCGACTGCCTGACTGAAGTTTGCCGGTCTCTTGGAGACGGGAGCGTCGCTCCTACGACAGCCGACAATCCAGGGGTGCTTCAAAAGCTTTCTCGCCGACACGCGGAGGTTTGGGTCTTTCTGGAAGCACTGCATCATGAAGTCCCGCGCAGCCTGTGGCAGGGTGTCAGTTGCGTCGGCCCGAAGGGTCCCATCATGAACGGTTTTCAGGAAATACTGACCGCCGAGACGCCCTCTGGGAGAGGAGGATGGTCATCATTGACGATGGCGAACAAGGCCGGCATCGCGGCAAGGTTGTGGTAGGGCGGCCTCCCCTGCAGCAGCTCGATGACGGTACAGCCGACACTCCAGATGTCCGACGCAGAGGTGGCGCCCGAGAGCTGGATGATCTCGGGGGCCATCCAGTAGGGCGTGCCTACGACCTGGGCCTCCTTGTCTGGACCGGCGAGGGTGCTGGTTGAGACGCCAAAGTCGGCCAACTTGACGGTGCCATCTTTGGTTGTCAGGATGTTGGCGCCCTTGATGTCCCTGTGGATGACACCCTGGTCATGGAGATACTGGAGGCCTTGCAGGACCTGTGTCATGTAAACACCGACGAGGTTCTCTGGGAACTTTCCGTAGGCCTTGCATATCGAATGCAAGGACCCATTCTCGCAATACCTGCTCAGCAGTCAGCTTCCCATCCCCACCGCGGCTCCCACTTGCACGTTCGACCTCACAGGGCTAGTCTGCTGGACCAACGTACTCGAGTATGATATTGAGGCAGTCCTGGGACTTGACGAAGCCGACGTATTTGACGATATTGTCATGATGGAGGTTCTTGAGAAGATCGATCTCTACCTACAATCCAACACACGTCAGCACTCTCCCGTTTGGGCCCCGAGTCCCCCCAGCGGGAGTGGGTGAACGCAAGCAACCCTGGACGTGTCTCGTGTGCCAGCGGGTGTGTGTTTCTGGGCGGGTGATTGACCTCTATCATGCGCAGCTCGCTCTTGGGGACGTCGGCGATCTTGATCTGCTTGACGGCGACAGCCTCGCCGGTGCCCCAGTTAAACGCCTTGTATACGGACCCGAAGGCGCCCTTGCCTATGCAATCGCCCAGCCTCTGCAGGTGTTTGGACCATTGTCAGCCATCTTCTCCCATGCAAGCAAGCACAAGTGGGAGGGGGGAGAGAGAGAACAGGCATGATCCTGATAGTCCCCAACCCAACACAACACGTACGTAGTCCTTCAAGCCCGGGTCCTGCAAAGCCCTCTCGCGATGGCCGCCGCTGGCGTGGACGACGGCGTTGGAACTACCCGGGTCCCTCCGCGGGGTCCTCGCAGACACGGGGGTCCGGTTGCCTCCACCGCCGGCGGCGTAGTAGGCGCGCTCGGCGGCGTTGGAGCTGCCTGCTCGCATGGCGTCCTCCCCGGCGGAAATCCTGTGTGGCCCCTGCTGGTCGGATCAAGGGTGGTGCGTTGCGGTTCCATGCAAGGGGATGGTCGGGGCGGATACGGACGGCTTCTGGTCGGGGGGCGGCGGTTCAGGGCGGCAGGGCAAGCTCCGGAGCCCGCCCTGTTTGAACTGCGTGTCGAGGAACGGGGAGGGTCGAGGGCTCAATCGGTTGACGCCAGCTCGGCTTGCTCTGAATCCTCCTCCACTCCTCCTCCACCTCCTCGTCGTGGTCGTGGGCAGTCGGGGCTCTCTCGGTCAGCCGTGTGTCCTCGATCCGCTTCCTTCTCCCCGGCCCGTCGTCGTCGTCCCTGTGACCTTTTTCTTCTTGCTCTGCTGCTCTCGGTCCTCTTCGCTCTTCTGCTTGCTCCTGTTTCTTTTTTTTTTCTGGTCTTCTTCCCTCCTTCTTCCACTTCTGTCTGTTGTTCCCAGACGGAAAGAAAACAAAACAAAACAACCCCACGAGATTGGCCGTGGGGCGGGCGTTGTCGGGGATGATCTCAGAGCGGGGTGTGATTCTGAGGCGCGGGTCGGTCGCAGAAGGAGTGTGGGTGGGGCGTGGGGCGCGGGGCGCTGTGCCGGGCGTGGCCTGGGCTGGGCGTAGCGAGGAGCGTGCCGTGTCGGTACCGGGAGGGAGTGGATGCTGCTCGCTCGCTGGCTCGCTCTTCGGGGCGGCCGGGCGGAAAAGGCGGTCGGTCGAGTCGAGGGACTGGCCTGAGGAAGCTGTCACCAAACGGCGACGGCGAGGGCAGCTGGCGAGGGCAGCGGCTGCCGCACAGCTGCAGCCAGCAGGCAGTGTCTGTCGATCACGGAAACAAGCGTGGTGGTACTGCACTCAGGTACTGCGGTAGTGTGGCAGAGTCGAGGCAAGAAGAAGAGGAAACAGTAACAGTAGCAGTGACGGTGACGGTGACAGCAACAACAACAACAATAGGACGGCAGGCCAATTGCAATGGCACCAGCCCAGCTCGGGAAAGAAAGTATGTATCAGGGTGCGGCTGTGATGATGCAGATGCAGGCTCGGAGCTTGTTGTTAGCTGCTGGTGCTGCTGCTGCTGCTTCTGCTTCTGCTACTGTTGCATCGTAAGCATGATGGTGGATGGCCAGCCCAGCAGCTCGATGTTGCCCTGTCTGTTTGTTGTCTGAGAGGTTGTGCGTGAGTCTGCTGCGTCCGTGCCTGATCAACAAGTTCGGGTTCGAGTCTGGATCTGGATCTGAGAGTCTGACAGTCTGATGAGGGCCCGAGTCTGCTGGCCAGTATCCGTATGGCATGCTTTGCCTTGCTTGCTGGAATTGTCTCTCGGTGGGCCCGGCTGGCCCGCCCCACCCAGGATTTTGGGAGCATTGGGCTTGGGCTTGGGCTTAGGCTTGCTTCTGCTGTGTCAGTGTGTTTCCCCCTCCTGGGGGCCCTGGCCCGACAGGGCTCCTCCCCTGCTCCTCCTCATGCTTGACTTTGCTCCTATGCAAGCACTTGTGCGGTACTGTACGTCTAGACCCGAGCCTCATGTCTGTCTGCCTGTCTATCCCTATTAATAAAAAACAGACTCGTTAAGTCTAATTCACTCCTGCCTCCAGTCTGGAATCAAAATCTAGTATACCTGCACTGCCATTGTTGACATGTATAATTCGTGCCCTCCTATATCACTGGGTCAGTGCGGCGATACACGGCAGGAAATGCACATTACTGGACCACCACCTCTCAGAGGTTGCCAGGTTGGGCTCCCGTCAATCAATGCCAGACGTCAAGTTCCAGCCTTAGTGTCACCACCCCTGATGCCCGTCTATGGTTCGTGGGCCAGGCTGATCTGAGCCAGATGTAGCCTCAAAGTGACCATCCAGCCCATGCCAGGCCAGGCCAGGCCAGGCCCCCCTCACTCCGTCTCACTGCCAGCCTCCCAGCCTGCCAGCCTGCCATGTGCGAACCAACGGCAGCCCCAAACCCCAATCAATGCCTCGATGAAAACCCAATTAATCCCATGGGAATCCTCAAAAAACACCAGAGCCTAACTCGCGGCCCCATTTCCCATGGCCTGAAGCTTAACAACTGGGCCGGGCTGGCCGGACCAGGGTGGACAAGGAAAAAAAATGAAGAAATGAAATAACTTGCGGTCCTCCCAGACCAGAAGACCATAAAAATCCTCGATGCTCGTCCTCGTCCTCGATCCGACAGCCCGGCAGCCTGGCCCACCGCAGCCCACGCGTTTGACAGGTCCCACCCTCACAAGAGCCGGATGATCCACTCTTGTCGTCGCCTTGTCATGTTGCCGTGCCCACCGTGCCATTCCACCTGGGGCGATCCCGAATGTTCGGGGCTGTCGGATCCCCGCCGAGACGTCAGGTTGGGCTGGGCTGGGCTGTTGACGTTCCAACATGGGCAGGGGAGGACACTGTGTAGACTATCTGTCTAGCAGCTCGGTAGGTATGAGATCTCGTGGCAGGCAGGCAGCCTCCGTGAAGACCATCCCTCTCATGGTACTCCGTACAACTCACGACACCAGACAGACAAGACACTCGGCATCTTCCGGCCGGATTACGGTATGAAGCCTGACGACTCCAGGGGAGTTCCCATCTATCTACACACTATTATAAAATCGTCCATACTGGCTTGGCCGGCTGGGCTGGTCCCGTCACGCTCGCTGAGAGGCCGACGCGCCCAGGTCTCCCCGGCCAGGCACGCCTCCAAGTGCTCTCTGTGCCCTCCCGGGCCCCGAACCAAACATCACGCGTCAGACGCGTGCCACGCCGTGTCCGTAGATAAACCCACGCACGCCCCAGGAGCCATGGGGATGATATGCCTAGGTATCCCTGCTTCTTCAGGGCTGGCTCTCTCGCCAATCGGCTTCTTCACGTCGATCGGCCCAAGCTCTTGTCAAAACTCAAGATAGTAGACCTATAGAGATAGATAGCAAGTCAGAACATCTTCTTTTTGGCCCCACTAGACCTATGACACGCCCGAACGCCACGCCACGCCACGCCACGCCGTGCCGCGCGCCCACGCTGCTACGCCCGCCCCCAAACGCCAAAAGACTCGCAGAGAGCCCCGCGTATCGACATTTCGCACTAATGGTGAGAAGCAATAATCCCATGGGTAGCGTAAGGGTACCTGCGCAACATGATGTAGGTTCCACACGACAGCGGACGGGAGAACCACGTATGTTCCAGGCAGACCAGCGAGCATCGCATCACTTATTCCTACAAAATTTTGAGGGCCGACGCATGACGGCGGCATCTGCTTTCCGCGAGGCTGCAAGTGTGATTCCCCTAGCCCCTGGCGGGCACAAACATTCGCCTTTCCTGCCGGTTGGCCAACCGGGTACAATGATATCACACATTAACATCTGCCCAGAAGAGCCTCGTATCATCCTTTTTTTGACCTTCCGATCCCGTAAACCGTAACTTCGTAAATTGGTAGGGTGGTGCACGACCCGCATCCCGTAGACTCAACCAAGAGCTCGGCCATGATGGTAGTGCAGGCACCTGGATCCAGTGCTTTGCCTCGGGCCCTCCCCAGGCCGTAGGCAATCGATCCCTTGGCGTCTCCTCAGGAAGAGCCCTCCCTGCCCAGCGTGCGACTGAGCCCCGCCTCGGCCCACCACTCGTCGGGGATGTCCTCGCGCCTGGCAAGGTTCCGTACAATACGCTGCATGGACTCGACGCCCCCAAAAACCTCAATGTCCTCGTCGTCTCGCTCGGCCATGTCCCCGTGGGACCGTCCGAAGCGTCTCAGGATGTTCTCCCGCGCCTCCTCGTCCTCGTCTCCCTCCGTGTCTGAGTTGTCGCCGCCAGACTCGCATGCCTCGGTGAACCCAATCAGCTCGGCCGAATAGGACCCGTCGGCCCCATCATCAAGGGACGTACGCGAGGAATTGGCGCTGTTGGCACCAGACGCGGTGCTTGGCTGCGAAGTCGCCGCCGACGCGGACGCAAACGAGGTCCCCACGCTAGGCGGCTGAGGGTCGGGGGTGATGGAGCTGAGCAGCGTGTCCCAGACCCCGTCGCCCTCCGGGCTGAGGCTCCTGTTACGGTCGCCCAGCCCATCGAAACGGGCCTCGAGCGTGGCATCGCCAGGGGTTGACCGCCTCGCGCGGGCTTCCCGCCCCTCGCGCATGGCCGACAGCTCCTGGGCCCGGAGTGTGCGTCTCATGACGATGAGCCGCTCGTTCTGGCGGTGCAGAAAGTCAGCACGAGCCCTGACATCCCTGTCGCCTCTCGGCCTTGTCGTAGGCTCACGCGCCAGGCTGGTGGGCCGCTAGAATATAAGGTTAGAGTGTGCGCGACTCGAAAATAGCAGCAACGGTCGGTGCAGGTGAAAACGTTGTGAGGGCACGCGCTCTTGGATGAGGGAGGCGCCCTGAACTCAGAGCAGGTATGGACCGGTGAGAACAAGACCGCTTACTTGGTTGAACTCGTCTACAGCCTCCAGGATCTGGCGCTCCTCGTCGGGGGAGACCGAGGCGCTTTCCGCATCGCCGGGAGTGGGGGCGGCGTCATCCCAGTCCTGACCAGTCCTGGAGCTCGTGTCGGCGTACAGCCTGGCCATGTGCTGGCCAAAGTAGCGAACGACCTCCTGGCTCATGGGCCCGTTGCGGGTGATGAGCTCGCGCAAGACTGGCTCCCGGCGACCAGAAGGATCCTGGGTGGTGCTGTCGCGCACCAGGTACAAGGGGTCGGACACGCCAGGCCTGCGAGTGGCAGACCGCGAAGCTGCGTGCAGGTCAGCTGCCGCCGCTGCAGGCTCGACATTGTCCCATGGCGTCCAGGGTGAGTCGGCCGAAGGTGGCGAGATGATGCGGGCGCGGGGGCCAGGGCCAGTGCGACGACTGTAGTAGTGGGCGCTAGTGGAGGCGGAACGAGAGCTGGGGTCGTTGGGACTTCGACGGTTGCGACGGATGGTGGAACGAGCGCGGGTGGGAGGGTCTTTGGGAATCTTGGACTTGAGGTCGGAGTCGACAGGCGCGCGATACAGACTGCAGGAGGGAGGAGGGCGAGGTCAGCAGAGACACAAAGCAGTGAACGTTGATGGTTGCAGATGCGGTGGTAATGGCCGACAAATCAGCGTGGCCCGTGTTTGCGATGCAGCAGGTCTGATTCTGATGCGTGTGCATGGGCCAGCGCGTTGTCGAATGATGCGAAGGTGGCGGCTGAGCGCAACGGGTTCCTGTCGCGTCGCAGTGGCCATGACATGCCCTCCAATAGTGTGATGGCAGGCAAGATGCAGCGATAATGATGGTAAGACACAGAGAGGAGCGGATGCATGCTGGACTTACGGCAAACCCATGGTGACTGGTGCGATGGCGGATGACTGGTAAATGTCGACGTCGATGTTTTTTTGTTCGGCTCCGAGGTCCAAGGCTGAGGTAAGGCTGCCCGGGCGAGAGAGAGAGTAAGAGGTCAAGGGGCTGGGCTGAGGGCAGAAAAGGGAAGGGGTTGCAGAAAATCAGGGCGAACCAGCGTCGAAACGCGCCACGATAAAGAACAAGGTGCCAACAAGAACAGCACGACCCTCACAGCGACGGGAGAAAGGGTGAGGCGGGCAGGTCACTGTCAGATGATGAACGAGCAGCGCGGGGCTGGGAGTGGGTAGGAGGGGCAGGGAATGAGCGGCGTGATGGACCTCGTCTTCCTTGGTCGCGAGGGCGATGCGAAGAAGGTGAGGGTGAGGGTTGGAAAAAAGGATTACGGGAGGATGGGGATGGAGAAACGAGGGTTCGCCTTAGGGATCAAGGCGGCAGGTGCAAGGTGCAAGGTGCAGCAGGCAGGTCCGTCGTTGGGTGGGGGAGGCGGGAGGGCGGGAGGGCGGGCACAGAGACACTGGCGTCTGTCCACGGGGCAGCGGGGACGGCATGAGCGAGGGGGGGGGGGCATGAGCAGAGACTCTGCAGAGTGCATGGCGCATGGCGCATTGCGCATTTGGGACCCCAGGGGGCAACCGCAACTGACGGTGCGACAAGGGGTGCATCGCAAGACGGTTGCCATGGGGCCAGACATTTGCTCACTGTTAGTGCCAACGTGGCACACCCTGCCAACATATTAACAAGCAGCAGCAATCCACCGTGCCCTCCACGGTGTCCACCGTGCCACCCTAGCCTCCCCCAAACAAGCTGCAGTACGGAGGTACGTACCTCTCTCTGTGACCCTGGTCTATCAACTTTGCTCTCATAACTCAAAGAGCACTGGCACGGGCACCGAATCCCGGGATACTCATGACTGTCATTCATCCAGTCAGTCAGTCAGCAAACATGAGGAAGAGCTAGAGAAGAGATACTGCTTGCTCTTGCGCCGAATTCATATCTTTCTACCGGACTGACAACCACCATGCCGTGAATCCACTCTCTCGAGCCCTTGCCTGTCTGTCGGATCTGCCCGCCAAAGCTTATCTACCTCCCCGGCCGAGAATCCATCCATCAGTCAGTTCGTCAGTCACAAAATTCGAGTGCATCTCTCGTTCGCCAACATATAGAACCAGCACGAGACTAATAAGCACTTCTTGTCGTGGCAGGCAACCCTGCAGAAGAGGCTGGATCAGCGTCCCCAGCTTCCAAGATGATCGAACTCGGCCTCTCCCGCATCACACGCCTCCTGCAGCACACGCCTCAGTCGTGGAAGGCCATCCACGTCGCCGGCACCAACGGCAAGGGCTCGACATGCGCATACCTCTCCGCCATGCTGCACGCCAGCGGCCGCTCCTGCGCCCGCTTCAACTCGCCACACTTTGTCGACCGCTGGGACTGCATCACCATCAACGAGCAGCCCGTCGACGAGCACCTGTTCCTCGACGCCGAGCGCCTGGTCAAGGAGAGGGACCGCAGGGACGCCATCGGTGCCAGCGAGTTCGAGCTGCTGACCGCCACCGCATTCGAGATCATGGAGCGCGAGAGGGTCGAGTTTGGTGTCATCGAGGTCGGCATGGGCGGCGAGCTGGACGCCACCAACGCGATGGCCCACAAGGCCGTCACCGTCGTCACCAAGATCGGCCTGGACCACCAGTTCCTCCTGGGCGACACCATCCAGGAGATCGCCCGCACCAAGGCCGGCATCATGCGCGAGAAAGTCCCTTGCATCGTCGACCACAGCAATGAACCGTCTGTCCTGCAGGTCATCAAGGAACATGCCAAGGCTGTGGGGACCGAGGCCGTCTTCCCGTCCGAGATGACGAGCCTGAAAACGTCGCTCTCACAGGCAGGCTTCGAGCCTCACCAGATTCAGAACATTGCCAATGCTCTGGAGGCTTTTAGGCGCGCATGCCCCGACGAGGACGTGACACTCGAGCGGTGGCTTCCTACCATCAAACAGACCGCGCTGCCGGGCAGGCTACAGACAGTCAAGATACCGCCCGGCGGGAAAGAGGTTCTGTTGGACGGCGCACACAACGTCCAGTCCGCCGAGGTCTTGGCCGCATATGTCAACAAACATCTGCGGCCACGCGGGCGACCGATCACATGGGTGCTCGCGGCGTCTCAGGGGAAGGATGTGAAGGGGATTCTGGAAGTCATAATCCAACCAGGTGACCTCGCCACAGCCACTCGCTTTGGGCCCGTGGATGGCATGCCTTGGGTCAGGCCACAAGAGCCCGAGGAGATTCTTGACGCTGCCAGCCAGTGTGGCGCCAAAACCTTGGACAATCACGACGGTACGGCGGATATCAGCACAACTCTCAGCTCGGCCCTGGATCAAGGCAACCCGGTGGTCGTGGCTGGGAGCCTGTATCTAGTCTCTGATGTGTTGCGATGGCTACGAGATCAAGAATGATTTCTGGTTCTTTCGCTGAGGGCGGAGGCGCGCACCAACCCTCCCGAGCTCATGAGCACCGGTGCATCCAAGGCCCAGTCTTGGACCCTGTCACATGATCCACTCTGATTGGCCACGTTGGCCCGGCTCAAGAGACAAGCATGGCCTTCCTGCAGCCTCCCGCCATCCAACCAAGTTGGCGGCACTTCTTGAACATGCCACTGCCAAGCCACCTCATTGTTGTTTGCGGCCACGCAATCTGGACGGGAGGTCCATCCAATGGCCTGGACGAGGCGGAATGGGTCATTGAAGACTGGAAAAAGGGTGAAACGCCGACGTACACGGCACATATCAAGGCTGGCCTCAAAGCCCTCGGCCAAGACGACCGAGCCCTGCTAGTATTCTCAGGGTGAGTCCGCGAACTCGATGTTTGACGTCGGAACACTTGATTGCTGTCTCGCCGGGCCGACATCAACCAGGAAGTCTTCCGGCTCCGCGTAGATAGATACCTAGCTAAGTATTGAAACCCCCACTTCAGCGGCCCGACCAGCGCATCGACTCCCATCTCAGAAGCCCGCAGCTACGCCAACCTCGCCGCCGCCAATAACTACTGGGGCCTAATCCACCCACCACCTGTTGCACCAGCACCCATCACGCCTCACTCACATTCCCTATCCCCCATCCCTCTCCACCCCCGCGTCGAGTGCGAGGAGCGCGCCCTGGACAGCTACCAGAACATCCTCTTCAGCATCATCCACTTCTGGCGCAGCACCTCGCGGTGGCCCGTCTCCCTCACCATCGTCTCCCACGCGTTCAAGCGCCGCCGCCTCGTCGAGGCGCACTGCGGCGCCCTGGCCTTCCCCCTCGACCGGGTCCGTTTCGTCGGCCTCAACCCGCCTGGGGTACCTGATGTGGTCGACAGCGAGGAGAGGGCGGTTTCTGAGTGGTTGAGGGATCCCAGGGGCCAGTCGGACAGTCTCAAGTCGAAGAGGGCCCGGCGGAACCCGTGGGGTGTGGCTCAGGGGTTGTTTGTGGATGCGGATGAGAGGCGGCGGGGTGGCGTCGCGACGAGGGTCCTTGAGGATGGCGAGGAGTTCCTGCTTGAGGAAGAGGGGCCCAGACCTTGGGGGGGAGACTAAGCTGCTTAATGGCTTGCTGGCATTCCGACTTGTCATTCTAGTAGACCTGACTTGAGCCTAGGCGAGTGTAACCCGAACTCGGATGATTAGGAGATTAATAAACGCGATGTGCTCGTCTCGGCCCTCCTGACACTCGCAGCAAGATTGGCGCCGAGAGTCACCATATCAAGGTCACGCCCCGTGAGATCATGCCATGCCCGGTTGCGGAAGGCTCTAAACGTCCCTGCTGCGCTTGACTGAGTGGCAGAGAGATCGGCGCCGAGCACCACCATCTGAAGGTCACGGTTCGTGATACCAGGCCCCGCCCGGTCGTGCAAGACTCTCAGCATCTCTGCCACGCTTAGCTGCTGGTTCTGCTGGCTCCGCTGGTGCAGGGTTCGGTCGTCAACATATGGCGGCGGAGTAGGATTGTTTGTGTCTGTGATCTCACTATCGCGGCGTTTGGACTTGCGCCTGAACCAAAGACGGAAATTTCGGGGCATTTTCGTGCGCTTTGAATTGGGCGACAGGACAGTAAAAATGAGGTGAGGAATGGATGTGAGGAGAAAAGTTCTTGGCTGGGACTTTCCACATGGGTTTGTTATATCTCATATTGGGGCCGTTTCGAGACTAATTTTGGTCTCCGCCGTATGACTGCTTCGCTGGCTACTTAGGGTTTCTAGTCGACGCCGTCGACTCGACGGCGCCGTCTGGGGTGATTTTCTATGAGATCGGAGATTCGCACCGAAAAAAACGGAGAGTACACCGGTTCCTAAGATACATATATAATTTAATTACTACCCTAATCTAAAAAGATAATATATAAATTATATATATTAAATATCCTTTAAATTTCTACTATAATATAATATAAAATATAAGTCTATAATAATAATTATAAAGTTAATATTTAATAAATAATAGTAAATTTTATATTATTTTTAAAAAAGATTATATTATAACTTTTTCTTTTAACTTTAAATTAGATTTTTTTCTAAGTATAAAATTAAATATCAAAATATACTTAATAAAATAACGGATTTAAGTATAATTTTTAAATCTTTAAAAGTTTATTAAAAACTAAGTTATAAGCTTATAATATAATTAGTATTTATTAATTAAAAGTTTATATAAAAATATAAGTATAATTTTTAAGAACTTTAATTTTTATATATTTAAATACTTAAAAAATAGAATTATTATAAAAAGAGATTATATTTATATATATATTAATAAACAACTTTAAAAAGGCTTAAAAAGGGTATTTACCGGTGTACCCTCCGTTTTTCTCGGTGCGAATCTCCGATCTCTTTTCTATAGCCTTCTAAGTTGTTCTTGCGGCTGTCACGAGGCTGGGACCTCATACCTAGACGTATCATACTCTACATTTCTATCAGAAATACATTTCCTTTTCACAAAGATACTGAGTCTTTTATGTCCACTACTTTTGCAAGCTACTACATATACTTTATATGGTTTCGCTTCTATTCCGTATACGTCCGAGGACATACATAGCGCCTTCATACGGTAGTAAGCACTCAAGACCCAGCGCTTAGAAAGAACACAGTGTCGATAACAATAGTCGTAACATGATGGGTGCTATTGGCAGTATCTTAGGCTTTTTCATCTGACTGGGGCCCCGAAGGGGCCTCAGAATCCATCTTGTTGACGGGGAAGAAGCTCTAGTTATTACAAGGTTCTTCACTTGGAGAGGAATTGAGGCAATCGCAAATGTCTTGCTGTGATTTGATCCAGTTTGATCGGTTGATTATTTATCCTACTGTCAACATTCAAGAAAGAAAGAAGACCATCCCGAGTCATTAAATGCCTGGGAAGAAGTGCCAGAGTTTCCAAATATTGCAGAAGGCCTAACACCCCACGTCGAAAGGCACAACACGTCGGCGTGAAGAGCTTGTCGAGACACACAGAGAGATCTTCGAGACACACGCATACATCTGGAATGGTCAAAGTTGGCGATTTGGTGTTGTGAAGAGAAAACATTGCCCAGCTGGAGGAGACCTCAGATGCAATGTGTTGCGGGAATCCAGGGGACGAAGGAGTGGCAGGCGCAGGTGACTTCTTGTGGCCACTGGCAATTCCCTTGGCTGTAGGTTCCTAAGTCGCAACTCTAATCCCCTTGCTCCTGCAGTGTTGAATTGCCATGGCATCAGCGCCCCCACTTGCCAACAAGGCTTCAATGCGCGACGCCTCTTGGCCAGCGTAGCCAGGCTTGCCCAGCCGATCAGCAACCTTACGAGCCTTGCGAGTTGTTTTGTCAAAAACATGACCCCAGATCTCGGCGGCCGTCGGCGAGTTGGAAGGCACGCCGCGAGCAGCAAGTATATTCGTGACTGCTTCCTTGATACGCTCTAGTGCATTGGCCATGGCAATGGCTGACTCCGGGTTCTCGGCCAGTGCGCGTGCAGTGATGGCCTCAGCAGACCAGCTACACGCGATGTTTGCGTTACTTACAATAGCATCCTGGTGAGGATCTATCGCATGTGGCCGTGACCTTGTGGTTGGGTCTGTGAGTAGGATTCGGTTGTCAACGTATGGCGGTGGCCTGTTATTCATATCTGCGACCTCGTTGCCGTGGCGTTTGGACTTGCGCCTGGACCAGGGCCAGTACTTTTGTAGCATTTTCATGTGCTTTCAAGAGGGCGGACCGGAACAGTAACGAAAATTGAGAAGAGATCCGCGACATTAGCATCTTTTCTCGATATGCTGATGAAGAGAAAGGTACTTGGCTGGGACTACCCATGTGGGATTATTACATCTTATATACTAGTTGGGACCATCTCGAGGCAATTTTGGGTCTCCAGCATATGACTGTCAGCTTCTAAGGCTTCTAGTCGATGGCGCCGTCGGAGTGTCTCTCTCTAGCCTTGTCGTGCGGCTGTCACGAGGCTTGTTAGAGGACCTACCCGAATTTTTCGAGGTCACGGCCGACGGGACGACGCATACATTAACCAGGCTACTACTAGACACCTCGATGAAGCTTTTAGTGGGGTCTTGGACGAGGTACTTGGACCAACCGAACCGAGATTCCGATCAGCATTGCTACCTAGGTATAAGGGGGGGGGGCGTATATGTCTTTGGGCGAATGCGGGATGCAAGCGAAACCAGTTGCCGGAATGAGAACAGGGTGACTTCACATTTACCCTTGTGTCTTCGGCCAGCTCTTTTCATCACTGAGTGGCGATGACCCAACGCTCTGTTCCAGGGCCTTCAGGAATTCCAGTGACAGGATCCATGTGGTTCCAACTTCTGGGTTGTCTAAAGATATTGAATCACTTGCTAGACCATAAAATCAAGCCCAGATAGCTCAACTTAAATAACAGGTGTAGTTATTTTCGCATTCAGGCGTTTCAATGCCAACTAAGATCTGATCTGTTTATGCTAGGCTGAAGACTGACTGACTGACTGACTTGAAGGATGCACGGTGCTATCCAGACAATGTGGAAACAATAGATACACTGTGAGTGAACCCAATGCCCCCCCCCCACCGTGCCCGCCAGAAATTCCAGACCTCTCAGATCCTCGAAACAGCTGGGCCTTCAGTACGCGCACTCTTTACCACGTCACATACAAAGCGCACAGCGTCAACCACCATCCCAGGACTGCACTCGTGGCCCACGCCGGCGTACACCCTGTTGTCGGCAACCAGGCCGGAGTCCTTGTACCAGCCGTCAGCGGCGCCGGTGAAAAACCTGGTGAAAGGCTCGGAGCACCGCCAGGGCACGAGCTTGTCGTCCCCGCCAGTGCACATGAGCAGCTTCTTGCCCCTGACGCGGGCGTCCAGGATGGGCCTGAGGCGGGCCTGCTCGGCCGCGTCGGGCGCCTCGGCCACCTCGCCAGCGCCGAACAGGATGCCCTTGGGGTCGAAGCGGGCGCACTGGGCGACGAGGCCGGGCGGGAAGTCGCGACTGCCGAGGAAGCCGGCGCCGGCGGCGGACCTGTCGTAGGTGGGCAGCTTGGAGAGGCGGGCGCGGTCCTTCATCAGCAGCTGGAAATCCGGGCAGCCGATGATGCTGACTCCGGCGGTGATGCGGGGCTCGGCGAAGAGGGCCTGCCAGGTGGAGTGGCCGCCGAGCGAGACGCCGAGGCAGACGTGCTGGTCGAAGACGGGAGGGGAGGGGCACGACTCGAGGAAGAGGTAGGCGGGCAGGGCGTCTATGAGCAGGCTGGTGTCGACGACGGTGCCTGAGATGATGCCCACCATGTCCTGGGCGTGGTAGGGGTTATCCTTTTTCCAGGATTGGTTGGCGAGGGGGTGAACCTCGCGGGTGCCGTGGTTGCGCTGGTCTGGGACGGTTCAAAGTCAGTCAAGCCAGTCAGTCAAGCCAGGCAAGTACTGGTCTCACCAAAAGCAGCAGCAATGAGGCCCCGTGTGCTTGAGGGCTGCTTGGTTGCGTTGTACTCGCCGACGGCACGGTGGGCCATGGGTGCCATCCTTGCCTTGGTGCCCAGACGGGGGTTGTGCAACCAGAGGACTGAGACATGGGTGAGGCCGGAGGGCAGCTCGTCGAGGCCGTAGACGTCGACCATGATGCCGGTGACGGCGAGGGTCTTGACGGAGACGGCGGGGGGATCTGGCAGTCCCTCCATGGGGTTTGGGGTCTCCTTTTCCGCCATCGTGATTGCTGGGCTGTGCTGGGCTGGTGTGTGCAGCGAGGGACGGCGATGGGCCCGGTGCAGGACGGCGGATGACTAGTTATGCTTCGGGTGGGTTTTCTAAAGGACACCTGGGCAGCCGAGGAGGAGGAAGAGTCCTGAAACCCGAGCCTGAGAGGAGAAGGTCACCGTGATAGTTGTTCTCACCCAAGCTCTTGAGTGTGGTGCCTGGGTACGTGGTACGTGTGGGAGGTAGTCATTGTCGTCAGTATCCGAATCTGCGCCGAGGTCCCGTTGCCGTGGCGGTGACGATCCCGGCCGGGCTTGAGGAGCAGCAGGCCGGCCCACCCGACATGGATCGCTGTTGCAGTCGGCAGTGTGTTTCACCCCATGAGTGTATAAGTCTGGTACTGTCTGATTATAAAACCACATATGATCTACATTATGAGAATTATAAGGTGAAGATGGGATCAACGTGGACGGGCAGAGAGTGGTACAAGACAGAGAAGCACTGGCATGTTGACCTGTGTTTGTTCTGTATGCGTACATAAACGGTGGCTGCTGATACCATGCAAATAAAGGAGCGTACTGCGTATCATGTGCTCGTCTGCCCAAAACAGCAGGGTGCAGTGCATCTGCTGCGGTTAAACAGAGGTTGATGGTACCAATACGTCATTTGACTCTGGTACTGCCGCATACTTGTAGAAGCACAAGCACGCAAGCACGCAAGGAAGGAGGCCAAGGAAGAAATGGCCAAGGGTCCAGCCCCAGAAGCAGCAGCCCCACACCTGTCGGGTTCGGGAGCACGGGCCAGATTCTGCCCAGACGCTGAGATGCTGCCAGATGCTGGCAAGCTGGGTGACCATAGCTCCCTCCCTCCCTTCTGCACTGGGCTGGCCCTGGGGTCCTGCTGTACGTACAGGCCGGGTACCCCGCTCTGCTGTGCTGTAACCAGAAGCATACAGGTGGTCCTCAGCCCTTCAGCTTGAGCTTGGGCCCCCAAAGCCTACCGCGGTTGTATACTGTGGACACCAGACCACCTAGAGCACCTGGCTTCTGGCTGCTTGCACGTCATTGTCATTGTTGCTGGTCGGTGGCCGGTGGTCGGTGGTATCGGTGGTCGAGGCCAGGCTGGGCTGGCTAGCAGGGTACCTGGTACTTGGGGTTGGCCACCCGCCCCGCACTCTTGCTGGTCCCTCAGTCCCTCAGTCCCTTCTGCTTGTGTGTCCTGTCCATGTGGCCGTGTCTGAAGGGGGAAAAGAAGGCGGGAAAACTCTGACTTTGGGCGTTTGGTCACTATCAACTCTCACAATCCCATTTCCATTTTCGCAATTGCCAATCCACACACGTCCCTCCCTCTTCCCTGTACCCCGCCGTAGCCTCTCTCTGCCCTGCTGGCTACCAAAAAATCAACCTGCCCAAACCTCGACCTCAGCTCTGTCTGCCCTGCCCCAAGTCTCGTCTTGCCCTGACTTGCTTGACCTGACCTGACCTGGGCCTGCTAGAGTCTCCAGTACCTCCAGTACCTCTAGCACCTACCCTGCGCCTTACCCTGCTCCGCATACGCCCACCCCCCTCCACTCCTCCTCCACCTTCTTGCCTCCGCCCGCCCTGGCCTGGTCTTTGCCTTGCCTTGCATTGCCTCAAACACCCAACACCACCACCACCACAACCTCAACCTCAACCACCACCGCCGCCGCCCACCCTCCTCCGTCTACGTCCTCTCCCACCCATCGGCCAGTCCATTCCCGCCCACACACGTCTCTTGCGCCATGGGTCAGACTCTCAGTGAGCCCGTTGTCGAGAAGGTCAGTTTCGCGCCCCTCCAGAACCAGTCGATCCCAATCCTTCGATCCCAGTTTCCGTTCCCCGATCCCAGTCCAGTCGGGCCCAGTCCAGTCCTGTCACTGCCCAGCCTCTTCGTCTGCCTGTCTGCCAGGATGGGCCCGTGTTCGGCGATCGCGAAGCTTCAGTCTAGCCGCCGTGGCATTTGTCGTGGCCGTTCTGCGATGACGATGCTGTTCTTGTCGGGGCGACGACCTCACCTGTCTACTCTTCGGGTTTCTTGGGAAAAAACCACATGTCCCGACAGGCTCATACTCCACGATCTTCTCTTGTCCTGATCTTCCCTGACTCTCGCGCCCTGCTGACACCACCGCCTCGCCCGCTCTAGACATCCGAGAATGGCCAGGACAACAGGCTCATCTACGGCGTCTCGGCCATGCAAGGCTGGCGCATTAGCATGGAGGATGCCCACACCACCGTCCTAGATCTCCTCGCCAACAACGCCGAAGCCTCAAAGAACCACCCCCAACGCCTGTCCTTCTTCGGCGTCTTCGACGGTCACGGCGGTGACAAGGTTGCACTATTCACCGGCGACAACATCCACAACATCATCGCAAAGCAGGATACGTTCAAGGCGGGCAACTATGAGCAGGCGCTCAAGGATGGTTTCCTTGCCACCGACCGCGCAATACTCAACGGTACGGCCTTGTCTTTGACTGGCATCTTTCCCCCCTCCCAGCAGGGGCGCACGTGGGCTGACAAATTCGTTTTTATTTCCCTCGAGCAGACCCCAAATATGAGGAGGAGGTTTCTGGCTGCACAGCCTGTGTCGGTTTGCTTACCGACGACAAGATCTACGTTGTGAGTACCTCCCCGGCCCCATCCCCGGCCCCATCCCCGGCCCCCCGACGGGCTCATCTCGTGCTGAACTGACTGACGCCTGCCCATAGGCCAATGCCGGCGATTCCAGGAGTGTCCTGGGTGTCAAGGGCCGCGCGAAGCCGCTATCTTTCGACCACAAGCCTCAAAATGAAGGTATGCTAGACCCTTGACCGCTCACTGCGCCGCACCGCGCCGCAAACGCACATGATCTTCTGACCTTGTTTTGTGTTCCCAGGCGAGAAGGCACGAATTACCGCCGCGGGTGGTTTTGTCGACTTTGGACGTGTCAACGGCAACCTCGCCCTGTCCAGAGCGATCGGCGACTTTGAGTTCAAGAAGAGCGCCGAGCTCGCTCCCGAGCAGCAGATCGTCACCGCATACCCCGACGTCGTGGTCCACGACCTCTCCGACGACGACGAGTTTTTGGTGATCGCATGTGACGGTATGGTTATTGCTTGCGTCTGTCGCACCCTGGTCATGCATACTGACGCGCGTCATAACCAGGTATCTGGGATTGCCAGTCCTCCCAAGCTGTCACCGAGTTTGTGCGCCGTGGCATCGCTGCCAAGCAAGATCTGGACAAGATCTGTGAGAACATGATGGACAACTGTCTCGCCTCCAACTCGGAGACCGGTGGTGTCGGATGTGACAACATGACCATGATCATTATCGGCTTCCTGCGGGGCCGGACTAAGGAGGAGTGGTACGAGGAGGTCGCCAAGCGTGTCGCTAACGGCGATGGACCCTGCGCTCCCCCCGAGTACGGTATGTAACTGCCCATGCGGGACACGAGTGCTGCCCCTAGTTGTCACTGCAGTTCCCTGCGGCGACAACGCCTGAGGCTGATATGAGCATCCGTACTGACGCTTTCGCCCGGTCCCAACAGCCGAGTTTAGAGGCCCTGGTGTCCACCACAACTTTGATGACAATGACAGTGGCAATGACTACGATAACGAGTCTTCTAACAAGGGCAAGTCTTTTGGCATTGGCGGCTACCGCGGCCGAGTTATCTTCCTCGGCGATGGCACGGAAGTGCTGACCGACTCAGACGATACCGAGATGTTCGACAACTCTGAAGAGGACAAGGACCTGGCCAGCCAGGTGTCCAAGAAGTCCACGTCCGCCGACGAGAACGGCCACGAGGTCATCGGCAGCCCTGTCACACCTGAGAAGCTCGACCCCAAATTCGACCTGAACCAGAAGGCGAGCGGAAGCGCCAACGCCACTGAGGCCAGCTCCGGCTCGGAGGCGGCCGCCAAGGAGGGCGAGAAGGATTCCCAGGCTGCTGCGAAGAAGGAGACCTAGTGCGTGGCCCTTCGCTAGCAGCCCGAGAAGGCCAATATACCATGGCTGTGTGGGCTGCCGCCACAAGGCCGCATCGCCATGTCACTGTGACGGACGGGTTGCGCAGCCTACCACCTCGACGATACCACTTCAACAATGTCACGCGAACAACGGACGGATGGAGTCTGAGGGCGATTTTCAGCGACTTTGGAGCGGTTTCCCGGGATTAGAAGAAAGACAGAGAGAGGAGAGCAACTGCATTTGACGGCCAGGTGTCTGTATTGCGAGGAGTCATGTATCATGTGTGTGTGTGCCGTGTTGGCTTACGGCGGCGCGGGCACTGTGTTCTTCGCGCTGTTGCCAAAGCCTGTAGGCAACTACGAGTGGAGGTCGCGAAATAGCACGTTTGCCCTGGCGTGCGCAACAGCGTTGGAGAGGGAACTGCGAGCAAGGAGGGAGGAGGGGAGGACATTGTTGTCATAATGAAATTTGCGCGGAAACAACGGAAGCACATATATCCCCATGCCCACCACCCCCACAGTCGCCCAACACCCCCATCCCCTTTTCTTAACCTACCTACCTACCCACCCCTTACCGGCCGCTTTATGGGTTGCGGACAATGAAGAAATGTAAAAAAGAAGAGATCCCACTTGGGAATCCAGATGTGGTGATACGATGGCTGGACTTGGCTGGACCGGGCCGGACAAAGATTGAGGACCCCGAAAATTGGCGGCCCGGATGGTCGCGGAGACGGGTAGTTTCAGGAGAAACCCAGAGTCATCCAGCGGCCCGAAGTCTCCCTCGACCGCCCGCCCGCCGGACTGAGTTCCTCAAAGGCAAGCCCGTCATTTATCTCAACTCCGATGCACATGCTCGAGAGCTGAGTCAGGTCGACACGCTAAGCTGGGGCCCCTCTTCGGTTGTTGGCGTTGACCCGTCATGTGTGTACTGATGAATAGAAACCGTCATACTCGGTAACATATGACAGTCATTCCGTGGTGCCTTATAAATGTCGACTAACTCACTCAAAGGCCTTATCGGGCTGGCACTGTTCTGAACCTTTTAGCCCGAGCTGCACATCGCTCTGCTATTTTCTTGCGACTCACATTACGCGTCACAGGTTTCCAGCGCCCTATAAAGTGTGTGGTGGCCAGGTCGCACAGCCTCTACGCACGTACGTATGGGGCGATGTGGAATAAATCGAAATATATGACACTGATTGTTAGTGAATAGTGGCTGAGTCCCAAGGAACTAGCTGACAGGGAACTGCCCAGGGCGCGTGGACAGCACAGAGGCTTTGACAGCATGAATTACTTGGCAGAGAGCCTTGGACCGCCACCCGCCGAGAAAGGTTGACGAATGCGCTGACGACGAGGCAGTGCGGAGTGACCGCACACACGAGTTTAAAAAGAGGTTAGGTATAAACCTGCCTTACTGTCTTTTATGCGTCACTGCGGAAGTTTTGTCTTGAGATTTTGGTTTGTTTGGGTCGGCAATAATAAGAGTAACTTACATTCCCAGTTCTATTCTGACTAAAGGAACAAATATCACCGGGTGCCTCGAATCACGATACCCTGTGGCACACAATGTCCAAATTTGAAGAGCATCTGCCGTCGACGGCAGACGATGAGAAGCTCGCAAGAATGTTGCAGAGCGAGTGGGAAGACGAGGAGCAACGTCAGGCAGAACTCTATCACAGCACGCCCCAGGCCACGGGGTCAGCACCGTCCGCCACCGAGGACGAGAAACTAGCAAGAAAACTCCAGGCCGAGTGGAACGACCAGAGACAGGAGGAGAACCGGGCAGTAGCAGCAGCAGTAGCAGCCCCGTCTCGAACACCGCCGCCGCCCAAGCAGGTCTCATTCGCGGCCCCAGCAGCATCAGCGCGAGGACCACCACCACCCCAAGACACACCGCACATGTCAGGCGCCGTGCCCTCCTCCTCCTCAGACATCCGGTATTCGCGCGACACGGCCCGAGTCATGGCGTACATGATCCCGCTGCCCCAGCCGCTCAAGAACGGAGTCGTACAGGACGTCCCACAGCGGTACATGCTGTACATGCCGCCCAGGGCAGACCTGCTCAAGCCGGCCGACAAGAACACCAAGGAGCGCAAGCGCGATAAGGCCGTGCGCAGGTGGCAGCACGAGGTCCGCAAGGCCAAGACCTACAACGGGCGCGTCGTCTCGCTGGGCGGGGTGCACAGCGCGTCCATCCGGGGGGCCGTCTGGGTCCTGTCGCTCATCAAGCCCGCCGACGTCACCTTCCTCTCGCGGGTGCCGCGCAAGTCCGTGACGAGCCTGGTCCTGGTCCACCCCGAGGCCCGAGGGGGGCGGCTGCAGTCTGCCGACGACATGTTCCGCGACGTCAAGGGGGAGCTGAGCCGCACCAAGAGCCGCACCCGCCGGGACTTTTGGATCGGCACCGCGCTCCTGCCCATCACGTTTACCATCGACCTTGTCATTCCTGTCTTTGGGGGGCTGAGCGAGGTCAATATGGTGTGGATGGCTGTTAATGCCAGTGCGTGGATGACTGCCAACCGGGTTGTTGATAAGCTGAGGCCTGCTGCTGGCGGCGCCGCCGCGCAGGGAAATGGGCATCCTGCCTATCCGGGTCAGGTTGGGGGACAACAACACGACGGCGCGGTGATGCTCCGCAGGTCGCATACCGTTAATGGCAACACGGGGACGGGGGATGAGAAGGGTGGAGCTACTAGCAACAAGGAGAAGAAGAAGCACGGAGACAAGGATCAGGACAAGACGATCCAGATGGTGTTCCAGCCCAGCCCGGCGATGGACCTCATGAGGCGCTACGTCGAGGAGGCCTGCCACAAGCGCAACCCGGACGCGTTCCCCAGTCTGGGGGGCTACGTCCCCGGGGAGGCTGAGGTGCTCGCGAGCATGGGGTGGTCGCCGGAGCACCGGGAGGTGCCGGATGCCGAGGAAGATGTTGCTGTAAGTTCTTTTCCCTTTCGTTCATTCGAAGAGTTTGAGTGGAAGCTGAATTCTGGACAGTGGCAGATCCGGAAGGTCACGGAGGACCTGAGGGAGGCGACGAATAGGGCTGCTAAGTCGTGGGATGGCTGGGCCAGGAAGTATATGAAGAATCCTAGGAAAGCTAGTGAGGAGGAGGAGGAGGATCGTGTGGTGGACGGTAATGATAGCAGTGATGAGGAGGACTGGAAGCCTGAATTGCCCAAGAGGCCACCTGTTTTGTATAAATGAGCATCATAGCCAGGAAGCCAGGATTTCTTGCACGTTGGATGTTCATGATGGCATTGATACGATATGGGAGACTCCTGCTTGCATGTGTGGTTCATTCGTGAGACATCAAGTGACTGGGTATTTGACGCTAACTGTTAAGTAACTTGTAATGTGATCATTGCTTCACTCTCCCAGCGCTTGTGACCCTGCTTCTTCTAAAGAGGTCCGAGTTGTTTCTGGCGTTTATGGGAAGGATATTGCATCTAGTCTGGTACGAGCCGCTCACCGAGAGAATATCAAGATCTGACAAGGATCTGATAATAAGAAGACATGCAATTAAGACTGTCAATCTCGAGATAGAGTCAAACTGTATATGGAACAAAATGGAGGACACTCTTATCCACGGTACATATCAAATAACGAAACCCGCCACCGTCCCCTATATGTCAAATGCTATCATCTCGTAGGATATTGCGCACAATTACCTTGGTAGATACTTGATAGTCTTGAAGAAGGGCTAACCCTAATCCGTATACATTCCCAAATCCGAAGGCATTTGCGATCCCTTCACACAGTAGTAAATGCTCAAAGACCTGATGTTTGAAAAACCACAATCCGATACCAGTGAATGAAAAAGCACAGTGAGTCTGTGGGTACGCAGCCTCAGCCCGGTGCCGGGTCTCGAAGAAGACTGTTGCCAGATTGAGCCGATGGAGATGAATGTGGTATCTCGGTAGATTCAACCGCACTTTAAACAAGCCGGTCGGGAATGGTTTCCAAGTAAAACGCTATAAAAGCTATACCGCGAAATGAGTTATATACAAGTTAGTGTGAAATGAAGTGTTGACGCCTAAGAGACATCAATGTGACAAGGCACGTCGTAGCAGCTTGGGTTTGACTGTGCCACAGAGGTTTATGTTGATGTTGATGTTTATGCTCCCCACCTAGACTTTATGGTCAGTAGGAACAAGATCTCGTCATAGGGAGCATGGTTACCTGATAGGAAGGAGGAGGGCCGCAACAAAGAACAAAATTGTTGTTCCCTTGACATAAACCAAAGTCCCGCTTGTTTACGTTGCCCTCCTTGCCGTGGTTGGTTTTGTTGCCGAAGTCAACCGACCCTCCAACTGCGGGAGAGGGATTCAAGTTATTAAGGAGTATGATATTGAGACATGAACGACGACTTGCCTAGGTCACCATCCCAGCCTATCGCCAAGTTGCACGCTGCAGAGTCGTCAGTACAGCAGGAGATGTACTGGGATCCACAGCTTAGAGAGGCAGTGTTATCGTCGCCGGAGACCCCGTTATCGCTGCGAATGACTGGCTCCAAAGGTATGGCAGCCAGAAGAGAGGCGAGGCTCGAACAAATGACAAACAGGTGCTGAAACATGGTTCCACTAGATTTTCATAGCCCAATAAGAAAAGAAATGGGTGGACAAAGATAGAAGACCTGTGGAGAAAATCGACTTGCAGAAACTTGGGATGAACCCGCAGCAGCTCCCGTTCTTTCATATATGATGGAATGCCTGCTCAGTCAAGCGTATGCCCACGGTGGTTAATACCATCTTGAGGAGAGAGCTCCGCTCATTGCGTCCCCCAGATACACACACGTTACATTCAGAATCTCCACGAGGTGGGTACTGACACAGAATTGCACCGACAACCATCTAAGCAACAAGGAATTGATCGAAAGGTTCCATCGCGATGGTGACCTCCCTTCCAAAATACCGAGTGACAACATGTGGAAGAAGTACAAGAGTTGGCCAGGTATGCCCGGGGCCTTCCATCGTATCCTACGCGCCGTTGTCAACAGTGCTGTCGATGTCCTCTGGCGAGTCAGAGTGGTGCCCATGTGTTTCGTTGTGCGAGTAGAAAGGCCGAGAAGGCCAAGCTGCAAGGTGGCCATGATTGCACTGTTTTTGACTAGCAGGCCGTGAATATGCGGCACGCGATGTGTGTATTCGGCCTGACGCCGGTGTGGGTGGATCCTCCTTGCAAGATATTCATTGTCCCGGAACATGGCCCGGCAAGCCAGCAGCCCTGGAGCAGATGATTCTTGGTCCACATCAAGTATAGATACTCGATCACTCATCCGCTGTATGCGATGTAGACAAGAGAACGGCCATCATACGTCCCTGCATCACGATTCCTGCCCACCCCTAAAACCTGCCCATCATCCATGGATGCGACCAGATTCTCACCACCAACGAGTCCTGAGATCTCTTCTACACCATCTTTGGCAGACAAAAAAGGACGGAGATGGGAGCGAAGGTCAACATCCAAAATAATGCTGCAATACTCTCAGCGGTCGTGTCAGCTGACTATCATTCCGTGGAATCCCGACGTGTTGCAGTCTCTCCACTACTAGTACATGAGTGTTGCTCCAAGGTCGCACTCCAACATCACGACGTCGCACGGGAGGGAGCTTGGCTGTCACCCGGTCCAGGAATTGTGTTGTGCACAGCCCCTGGGAGTTCGTTACACGCGCTGTTACTGACTCAGAAGATTCAACAACCTAGTTACTTGGCGGTAGTCAGAACTGACAGGTGAGGCCAAAGCGCCGACAGATAGATGGCTGAGGACGGGCATATGTCTTTTTTTCCTGTGTGCGCTATGAAGTATGTGGATGCATGACTGACAGGAGCTTAAATCTTACGAAGACAATTCCTGCTGGCAGGAGATGGCCTTCTCGCCGAACTTTTATCAGGAAAAGCAATCGGAAGCTGTGGTAGTGGCACTTGGTATCCTGTTGACTTGGCTTGTGTGCTTCGGACCGAAGAGGCAAGATGTCGTCTGAGTAGCTCATGTCATGCCCTCGTCCAAGATCATCTGCAACAACAACCACAAGTCCCCGAGCCTCCTACCCGAAAATGCAACAGGAATGGCGGTCTGTTCTCCGTCGCTTGGAAGATGCTATTATATGTCAAAGTGGAGAGTGCCCACTCGTTCTAATACCGGCTAAAGTCCAGACAAGAGACTACTCCAGGGCTCCCTTCTTCGGGTGAATGAAAACGGAAGTTTTTACAGCCGCAGAAGGTGTTTTGGTGGCGGAGTCTGACGTCAAAATATCATGGTATACTGGCACAAGGTAAGTAGGCAAAAAGTGTGGTGCTGTCAAAATCGAGCATGACTGCCAGTATCACCAGGTAGATGCTAAATACGAAACCTTACATTTACATGTATTTCACATGCCAAGCCCTTCTGTGCCTTCACCAAGTCGGGGCCACATTTATCTCCCAAGCTGTTCGTTTGACCGGGTAGAAAGCTTAAGAAACAAAGACCAGTCTGCTCAAGGGTTTTCGACATCTGGATGCATCGCATCAATTGATGCTGTTGTCTAGCAGTGAAGCGAGTGCGAAGTAGATGAGGAGCGTTCAGTAGTTCGATGTGGCCCATGGGGTCACATGCTCAATATTACGCTTTTACCAGATGGAACTTCCCGTAATGTGAGCAACATCCTGCTCCTCGAGGCCTCAAGTGCTGTCCTGAGCTATGTCCTGGCGAACACGAGCGCAGCTCAGAGTTTCCAGGAATTTAGATCCCAGCCGCTACGCACCACACCCAACGATTCTGCTTGCCACTTTTGGAATTAGCCGCAACTTGTAAGGGCTGAACTGGTGCTTGGAAAAGTCCCGACTCGGTCATGGGGAGATACGAAGTGGGGCCCGGTGAAATGGTCGTCTTGTCCAGAGGGGCCTTCATATACTCGCGGTATGGACCTGCAGGAGTAACTATCTACGCGCACCGCTGTTTGCGCAGACAATGCATCGGAAGACGAGGCAGAATGGGAATAGTCACACCCGATCGAGCCTATACGCAGATCACTCTGAACAGGTCTGTGAGGGTATGCCTGGGGGTCAAGTGAAAATGCCGCACACTCACCTGTCGGTATTGACCAGATCTGGACAGAGTAGTATCATGGCATGGGGCGACCCGCATTCTGATCCTCGGCAGGTCTAGATCATGGTGGACAGCCAAGGACATGGACACTTGGCAGTATTGGATAGATCCGGGACACATAGACATATTTAAACTTGCCGTGCCGACCTTGACAGAAAGCGTGCTCCCCAAAAGGGTCCCGCCGAGACAACCCTGACATCCCGATCGATCACATACCAACTTGGAAGTCAACCCCCGTGGTGACATTCGGCCACCTCCCCGGGCCTCTGACCAAGGCTCTTCCGTCCCTGTTCCCGATGGACCGCGGTGGTGACGCCGGCTGGGTGCGGGTATCCCCGTTCGGAATGGTGCATCTGCCTTTTCGAAGTTGCACTGGGGGTTTGCCCAGCATAACCCCCAAGCCTTGAGCCTCCACGTGCTCGCCCACTTATCGAGACTGCCGACAGACACACGCGACCTCGGATCCGGCAGTCAAGCGTGCAGCAATCCGATGTGATATTCAGGCCGCGGTGCCCGTAGACCTCGTCAAAGCGAGTGCGCTGCATGATACCCTCGAGTGCTGCAGACGTACTAGTTGTGGGTTGATAGGGAACCCAGAGTGGAATTACATACAGGTCTCGCCAACTATTCTGCTACGAGGGTTCACCAAACCTATCTCAGGCGACACGAGTGCCTGAAGTCTCGTGACTGAACAGCTCCCTCGTCCTGGGGAGTTGGTGTTCTCACAGTTGGTGCGAGGCATATTCTGTGCCCAATCGGTATCGATTATATCCATGCAGGCGCGAAGACAAGATACGCCTGACTCGAGACGGTCACTTGTATCTCGAGACAGTTGGGGGCTGACCCTCGCGAAGTCTTCCAGTGACCAGACCAACGTCATATAACGTTAGGCGCCAAATTGATGGCCCATGAGGACCTCGGGACCTCGTCATCGAAGCCCAACATCGAGTACTACGGAAGACATCCACCTTCTGATCACAGCGGAGAGAAGCAATGGGGTAAGAGCACCAGAATGTGCTGATCCAGCTGGTATTTTTCATGACACCTTAGAACAGATCGCCACCTTATTATTAAACAACTACTAGTATGTGATAATCATTTCTCATATAAAAGCAGGTGGCCCGTCAGACTCCCTACTTGCCCCAGACACCGCCACACTTTTCCGCTTGATCTCGTTACCGCGTGTGGCGCCGCCACCGTCACTGACCTGTCTCAAGGAAGCATCTGTCCGTGGTGCAGCCGGAGCCATCCTCGTAGGGGTCATCTCAGTAGTAGCAGTGCCCACACCGCCGCCCTGCGCTCCCGCAGAACTCGAAGCCGGCGATGGAATGACCGGGCTCTCGAGGCGGTTCTCCATCGGGCTCTCCATCGGACTGACCTGGTGCACGACCCAGTTCCTCGAGTCCCTGATGCTGCTGAAGGTCTGCGTCGTCTTTGCCGTGAAGGGCCGGTCCATCGAGGAAGTGCTCGAGAACCGCGCGTGTGTCGTCGCCCACGACGGCGCAGGCGGCCTGCCAGCTGGAGTATGAGCCGTTGTTGTCGTCGTCGCCACCGCCCCCGGCCGCCCCCTGTCGTCCCTCGAAGGGTGGAACGGCGAGCTGTCGACGAGCCCCTCGTAGTCTGCGATGCCGAGCCCGGCGTACGACCCCCGGGGCGACGTGGCGTGGAACTGGGGCATGTCGTAGGAGCCGCTCGTGCCGCGGCGCCGGCGCACCACCGTGCCCGGATCGCTGCGGCTGCTGCGCTTGTCGCCGGCCGCCCCGACGGACAGCGCCCTGCTGCTGCGGCGGCTGTCGCTGCTGAAGCTCCCGTTCATCCTCGTCTGCCGCAGCCGGTGGCTCTCGCTGTTGAGCGCCACGGGCGCGGTCGCCAGCCGTGGGGTCGGGACTGTCGTCGGCACGCCCGGGTCCCGCAGGCTCATGTAGCCACCGCCGCCGCCGAAGCTGCCGAAGTCTGTCGTCCGGCTGTGCGCCACGTTGTCGAATATCCCCTGCCGCGCATGGGGCGAGTCCCGCACGTGCAGGCGCACCTTGCCCCATGCCTTGAGGGTCTTGCGCTGCACCGCGGCGCTGGCCAGGCTCGCTGCGCCCTTGGCCGACGCCGTGGCCTTGCCGGCCAGTCTGCGTGTGCCCCTGAACGTGTCGGCGGAGGAGAGGCTCAGGAAGGACCTCTGCGACTTGGCGTGCCGCAGCGCCGGGTGTTCTCGCATCTTGGGCTCGTCTGCGGCCGGCCGGGTCTTTTCGATGATGAACTCTGACTGGTCGACGGGCGTGATGTCCCGGCTACCGAGGTCGCTGTATACCCGGGCTGGATTCCTCGGTGGAGGGCCACGGTCTGCTGGGGTGCTGGGAAAGGCGTGGTACTGGCCACTGTTGCCTCCCTGCCGTGTTGCTGATCCGGCATAGGCCGCCTCTGGTGTTTGCAAGGTAGTGTGGTCCCCGTCCAGGGAAGGGATGCTGACCTCGACATCACTGCGGAAAGAGTTCTGGCGACTCTGCCGCAGGGTGATGGAAGGGGGGTGCTCCATGCTGAAGCCACGGCCGTCGTCGTCGTCAAAAGAATCACACGAGGTCCTGGTGTTGCCTCGTTTGAGGCGAGGGATTCGGAAGTTGCGGAGGGGTGCCATCAGGTCTCGATACTTGCTCGGCAGGGCGTCCTGCGTCGGCGCATCATGGACAATAATCGGGAGGGCCGGGGCCGGGGCCTCGGGAACCGGCGAGCCGGTGTATTCGGACCGGAGATTGCTGGGCTTTCGAGGTTTGCATTTCTCAGCTGTCGGGTTCGTGAGCCCGACAGAGTGCTGCTCACTCAGGTCCAGCCGTGAGGCTTCGGGGTCATAGCCCTGAGTGTGTATGTAGCTCGTGGGCTCTGGGCCGCAGCTGTCCTTGCCCTCCAAGGGGGTGCGTGACAGGCGCCTCTGGCGTCGGCGGTACCAACAGAAACACAAACATGTGAAGAAGAGAAGCGCCAAGATCACGGGCACGAGGACCGCGACCAGCAGTACGTTGGTAGCGTTTTGCGCCGGTTGGCCTCCGGGCGCTGCGGTGGCGGATGAGGTTGCGGTCGTTGAAACAGAAGCGGTTGAGGACCCCATTGATGTTGTTGTGGACTCCACGGCAGACAATATTTCAAGGGTCAGTTTCTGCGATTGTGTCATCTCGTCTCTCTTCAGCTGGCCAGCATCCCCCGCCCGAACACTGAACACAACTTCAATGACTGAACTCGGTGCCGAGGTCGGCACGTCTCCTGACAAGACCAAGGCCGACGCATCATATTCTATCCATGGTGTATGAGGTTGAATACTGACCGAGATCTCGGCTTCAGAAGGGTCGAATAGGTACGGTTTCAGGTTAAAAGACAAGTGATCACCGGGTTCGAGGCTTACAGTCGGGAATATGCCCCGAAAAGGACCACCGCCAGCTGCTGCGAGCTCAACGTCGAAGGTGATGTTCAGTCTGTCTGAAAACCCATCTTCCATAATTACTGTAAATGTGGTCGACTGTGCCGTGTCCGGAGGCGTGCCGGTAATCGCCCACGACGCCGGATCAAAAACAAGCCACGAGGGCAGGTTCACCGTGGCGACCCTGGGCACGTCGCTGATGGTTGCGGGGAAGCCATCGATCATGACGCTTCCCACCAGCCCGGTATAAGACACGGGTGTCCCAACTGTAGCATCGAGGGCGATCCTCGGCTGGGTTGCTGTCAGGGCGTGGCTTCCGACCACGATGGAGAAGGAGACCGAGGCCGCCGAAAACCCCTTGATGTCCGATGCGACGAGCTTCAGGGAGAAGGTCTGGGGCGGCTCTACCAGAGAGGCAAACGGGGGCGTGGTGCCGGAAAATGCTAGGGTGCCCTCGTCGAAAGTCACCCACGCTGGCAGGGGGCTGTTGTCGGTGGTCACGGCATAGTAGTTGAGACTCTGGACCTCGGAATCGAGGAAGGTGTCTGGCGCAAAGGCGAAGAAGAAGTCTCTGTCCGGATACAACAGAATGGACGAGGGCTCGGAGTAGGTGCCGAAAAACTGTATCTGGTCCGAGACGGGGACGTGGACGGTGGGGCCGGGGTTGCGACAAACGACCAGTGTCACAGAGAGAGGTGTCGAGCCGGTGCCGTCGGTGGCCACGAGGACAATGGGCACCCCGACCACGGTGCCTGGTGCGATGTCCGCATCGCGAGGTGTCCCATAGAGCCGCCGGCTGCTGCTGTCGATGGAGAGCCAGGGCGGCGAGTCCCTGAGCGTGTAGAACAGCGACGTCCCGGACGGGGAGGTGAACGTCGTGGAGGGGAAGACGTATGAGAAGGGCTGTGATATTCTTGCAACGGGTGGGACCTGCGAGTTGATGGGAAACGCGATGACAGGCGTGGCGTCGACACGTACAGCGCCGAGTGAAGCCACGAGGAGGAGAGTGGTCACCCCGGGTAGACGCATTGTCTGGTGTCACGAGAATGGTCGTTGGGCGCCGAGTTCATGAGGTCACAGACAGACAGACGGACGGACGGACAGACAGACACACAAGGCGAAGACAGGATTTTCCAGCAGATGGGGATGAAAAGCCATGGAAGAGAAGGATGGCACAAATTCATGGCCTACCAGGAGACATGATCGGAGACATGGCCGAAGACATGTCGAGGAGAAGGAGGCTCGGCCCATCCCTTGAGGCCCCTTGATGCCCGGTTGAGCCCCCATTGAGGGCAGCAGAGATCCAACCCCTTGAGGGCATCTTGGTGCCCACCCCTCGGCTGAGTTGGACGGGTGGTTGTACGGAGTGGTCTAGAGAAGATGATGAATGGCCAGACCGGGAGGCCGGGACTAGGAGGCTGTAAGTTGAGTCAACATTCCAGTTGACGGTTGAATTTAGGTTAGGGTTAAGGGAGGGCTCGAACGGGGAGTTCGGATGTGGGCAGAAGATGTGAGGGAAGGGAGGGCTGTGCCGGCGTCATCCTGCTCCCTCGGTGCCTAAGTATGTGCTGCCGACGTGGTGAAGAAATGTTTCCATGATGACGATCATGATGGGTGGTTTGGCCTGGAGAAAGAGAAACCGCTGGGGAGTGATGTCGGGAGGGATGATTCGATTCAGCCCACCCCAGTTCACTTGAAATGAGTGAATCAACCTCGACCGTGGACAGACAAGTTCCAAGGTTGATGTGGATCTGAAGCTCAAACTCGCCGGGATGCAGCATAAACCGACAACTTGAAGTAATCGTCCGGCAGACTTCTGCTGTGGTCTGTTTGATAGCACTCGGCCCCATTTCCTGGTGGTACAGGCAGTCAGTTTCCAACCTAGTATGCTTTGGGCGGCCGGCGATTCACGATGGCGCCAACGAGGTCGGCACGGCGTCATGGAGCCCCGACAACCCGCACTTGCAGCGGCAGAAAGGGGGCCGCTTGGCCAACCGACAGCGGCCGTATCGGTTGTCTGTCTGTCTGTCTGTCGTGCATCGCGTATCGTTGTGTATCGTGGGGTGCACCCAGCCCAGCCCGGCCCAGCCTAGACCCTCGTTTGAGCCCCCATCTGAGCTTATCGCCACGGAGAGATTCGCGTTGGCATCAATCAGCAAACACCATATTTTCCTCACCGCCCTGTGCAGTCCTCACTGCCGCCGCCTCTGCCTCTGCCTCTGCCTCTTTCCTTTTTTGTGGCAACCCCTTCCTCTAAACCCTCACCCCGCATCAAATCTCACCACGTGCAGCCATCTGAATTGCCTCACCATCGACACTCACCTTTCACCTCTCACCACTCACCACCAACCTCTCATCGCTCACTCACCCCTCAACTCTCAACTCACATACACACAACTCACCTCTCAGTCCTCCCTTCTCACACCTCACAGCTCTCAAAAACCATCAGCCAACGTCACTCCCACGATGAAGCTCTCCCGTTCCTCCTCGCCAGAGCTGGACCCCTCCGCCTTTGGTGTCGACTTTGCGCCCCTGCCTGACTACAAGGCCGCCGGCGACACAGCACTCGACTTCGGCGGCCTGCTTGAGACGCCATTGAAGGTTCACGAAGACCTTGCTTCGGGGTGTGGAGGCCAGACATGGCCAGCGGGTGTGGTGCTGGCCAGGCATATGCTGCGATACCACCGGGAAGAGCTCCGAGATGCGCGCATGTGAGTGTTGTCGCACCCTGCCATCTCCTTCATTGCCTCGTTCTGCCCCTCCCCGGCCTGCCTCCACCTAGTTCTCTCCTGCGTGACCGTCTGTTGTGTCGTGCGAGCCGAGCCGACCTTCGAAGAGCAGAAGCGGGTGGGAGGGAGGAGAGGAGAACGATGGAAAAGGGAAAAGAGGAGACACACATGCGCAGGGAGCTGACATTCGACTGGTGTACCAGATTGGAGATTGGAGCTGGTGGAGGACTCGTTGGCTTGGCGGTAGCAAACGGGTGCAGCCTCAGCCAGCCTCTCCACATAACCGACCAGTTGGAGATGCTGAGCCTGATGGGCCACAACGTCGTGCTCAACAACGCACAAGGCCGGGTCAAGCCTTCGGTGCTGAACTGGTGAGTCAAGAGCACCACCTCCTGGGGCACAGCTTACCCGAGACCATCTTGTCTATCGGCCACACTGGCAACATGCAGTGCCCAGAGCACCCTCGTGGCTAACCGTGTCACGCAAAACCACATCAGGGGCGAGCCACTGCCGTCGGAGACAGTAGACTTCAAGCCGGATGTGATCCTGGCTGCCGACTGTGTTTACTACGAGCCCGCCTTCCCGCTGCTGCTGCAGACCCTCAAGGACCTCCTGGCGCTTTGTCCCTCTGCGACCATCTACTTCTGTTTCATGAAGAGACGGCGCGCCGACATGCAGTTCCTGAAGAACGCCAAAAAGGCCTTTGTCGTGACTGAGATCCCTGACGACGAGCGGCCCGTATTCAGTAGACAGGGCCTCTTTCTCTACACCTTTACCAGCAAGAACCAGGCACCGACATCTTGAGACCTGCTGCAGTTCGTGATGCCAGACATGTGGCCGGCCGGAACATCACTAACCAGGCATCTACTCGACTCTGGTACTGTAAACTGTGGGCATGTAGTCTACCTCCGAGCTACTGCCGCCAGCACCAAAGCGTGCAGAAATGGGCCCGGACGCCGGCACGGTTGTCGCTGCAGTCCAGTCCGGTTGGACAAGCAGACAAGCGCCTTTTTAGACCAAACGTGGCCCCACAGGAGACCAAGGAAGCTGCATTTTTCTTCTTCTTTTTGCCTCGGGGCAAAATTCTGACAGGCTTTTTTGGCCACGACGAGAAGATGCCTGCAGCGGATGGAAACCAGGGATTGGTAGAGGAGAGAGCCTTGCGGGTCTCGGCAGCGAGATCGCCTCGCTTGCAAGACGGCCCGCTGCCTCGGATGCGTCCCCGCTGTTCTCACTGCACGAAGATGACTCCGTCGTGCAACTTGTCCCTGCTTGAACAGACTTGACTGGTCGTCTGGCAGCCTGGGTGGCACTGAACCATCATAGACCGTGCATAGGAGAGAGGTAATAGAAATCAGAGTTTGAAGCCCAGAACCGCCTCCCCCTCCTCCTCGGCATGCTACCGCCCGGCGCCTGCGGCAATTTCTTGCAGCGGCACGGTAGACACAGACGCTACCAGGCGCCACCTGGGCACATGTGCGTCACGGTGGCCTCGTCATCCCAAGCGCCAACAGGTGTATCTTCCTTACAACTCATGCGGCGTGAAAGGGGGTACAGATTTCAAGGTTTTCGCCAGTCGAGCAAAGAAGCCAATTGCCATGTCAATGAGACAGTGCCAACCACGGGCCGAGGGGCGTAATTGCCGCCTGCGTGTGAGGGTGTCAGAGAGAATGGGGCCATCATCCTGATGTCCCCAACTTGAACGGTCTGGACCCCGGCGGTTGCAGTAGACCTTGAGATACCTCTGCCCTGTCTGCCTGCCTGCCTGTCTGTGTCAGTCTGTCAGTCTGTCAGTCTGTCTTTGACGCAGTCATGGCAGTACACGTGTAAACTGCTGGTGGGAAACACCACGACGTTGCCTTCATGACGCAAAGATGCAGAAGTGGGATGAGTCCATCAAGGCCGAGGCCTCCGCAAGGTCCCCACGCACACAGGCAAGGGCCAGCAAATTCCCGCAAAAAAACATATCTCACCTTGCTCACGTTGTTCCAACTCTGATTGCAACTTTGTTGATCAAGGAGGGGCGGGCTCGCGGGCTGGCGGGCTGCGCGTGGGTCCAGGATCAAGGACCCGGATCGCCGACGATCCCCCCCTCAACGGGGCTCAGCACACTTGCTAATATACACCACATATGTAATGCACCATGCACCATGTGCAGTGTCTAAACTAGTTTACGAATATTCCGGCTCATGATTCGGAACCGGGCAACGCATAGCCTGCTTGGCTGGCTGGCTGGCTGTTCAGGAACGAGAGCACGAAGCAAAAAAAGCAACCAAGAGGATGGAGGCCAAGGCGGTAATTGCCCCTGGTACGACGAGACTACTGTGCGCACTACCAACTGGCTGAGCCGGGCTGGCTGATGAGCAAGGACTGGACTGTCCGAGCTTGCTGGCTGTTGTGCGTGATTCCCCGGTCTCACAATCCTCACAGACCTGACCAAAGCCCCCTGCAGCCACATCCACGCTTTTGGGAGAGAGTCAGGCTGTAGGACGTAAAGAATACGACGCTTGGGTTACTTGTGCCTGACTATCGGCAGGGATCTGACCCTGTACCTTGCAGCTGGAAGGATGACCCGGGCTGATCACAGCTGCGCCGAGGAGCCAACGACGCGCCGTCAATGGTCAGAATCGACCATGACAGCGTCTGCGTTCCGGCATTGCCCCTTGTCGGGAGTCCGTCAACCTTTTTCCGTCCCTCCCCCAGGCCCCCCCCCAGTGTCCCCTGAGCAAGTGACGATGGTGCGCTGACCGTCCGTTCGTCTGTTTTTTTGTTTCAAGGCCTGGCCTGTCCAATGGCTGCCGCCGCGGGAGGGACGGGGGATATTCAGAAAGAATCTTGCCTGCTAAGAACAAGGTCTCCCGCACGGGTCTAAGCCCTTCTTTGATTACTTGGGCATTTCTGTGGGGCACGCTTGCCATGTGGAATGGCATGCCCTTCCGTAGCACATGCAACGTTCTGTTCCTGTTCCTGTTCTTGGTCATGTTTGTGGGCCCCCTGTTCAGCCTGTTCCCTTTCTGTTCAATGTTTCCTTCTTCCCCCTCCCCTAGCCGACGCCCCCCCCCCCGGCTTGGGACATCTGGGCCCAACGGCAGGTCAGCCAGGTTTGTCGCCCTCAGCCCCGAAGGTGGACATGCCCAGGCTCGCCTAGGTGGTTGGGGTCTAGTGTAGTCATCCATAAATATATACTGGCCCCCTTGCTTCCCATTCCGGGCGCTGTCCCTCTTCCGGCCCCCTTCACTACGCTCAATACGCCTTCTTGCTGTTCACTTGCTCCAGAGGCTTCTGTTCCTCATTCATTCCTTCCTTCCAACGAGCAGTGCTCCACGTTCACTTTTTGACGAGAAAAACAACTCTCATCATCCACGGTTCTACCAACCACAACATTGGCAAACAATCAGAAAGCGGACAGTTCCAACCAGTGGCCTGACCCGAAAACAAACGGCATCCAAGTCCAAGACAAAGACAGACCACTTACACTCGAGACAACATTCCAGTGTAGCCAGCCGACCAGCCAGCCAGCCTGCACCCTTTCACACCTTCATTCATCTTCTCCAGCAAGGGGCGCCCCGATCACATCCAACGCTACTACCAGCTTAGATTAGAATATCGGAGTCCTTCACCATGAAGTCAACGACAGCATCCCTCATCATCACCGCCCTGGCCTCGACGGTCATCGCCCAGCCTCATGGCCACCACCAGCACCAGCACCCGGCCCGGGCTGCCCACCAGCACCACCACAAGCGTGATCTCGTCACTGAGTGGGACACTGTCTGGGTTACCGAGACCGTGACCGAGCTCATCGACGGCACCACCACCGAGTGGATCACGCCAACCGCCAAACCAGAGACCCCGTCCACCACTCTGGCCACCGTCACGTCCTCGTCGGCCGGCGGCCAGTTCTTCGAGGGCTCCCCATCCAGCCCACCCGTGGTCGTCGCCCCGCCGCCGCCCCCGCCGGCCGTTGAGACGCCCAACCCACCCCCGGCGGTTGCTGCTCCTCCTCCTCCCGCCCCCACGACCAGCAGCAGCTCGTCTGTCTATGTCGCTCCTCAGCCCACCCCCGAGCCTGCGCCTGTCGTGGCCCCCGCGCCGCCACCCGCGCCCGCGCCCGCACCACCCAAGGTTGAAACCCCCCCTGCTCCCGCCCCCGCCGCCCCGTCCATCGCGGCAGTCAACCCCCCCGCTGCGCCGTCCCCCGACACGGGCTCCGGCTCCGGCGCCACCGTCAACACGAACAGCAACGCCGCCTCGGTGCTGGGCTCCGGCTTCAAGTCCGGGGACCTGACCTACTACACCGTGGGCCTTGGTGCCTGCGGCGAGGACGACAGCGGCAAGGACATGACCGCCAACATCGTCGCCATGTCGGCTGCGACCATGGGCGCGCAGTCCAACGGGAACCCCATGTGCGGCAAGACCATCAAGATCTTCAACAAGGCCAACGGCAAGACCTCGACCGGTGTCATCCGCGACAAGTGCCCCGGCTGCGTCGACGGCAGCATCGACGTCTCGCAGAAGCTGTTCGAGGAGCTCGCCGACCTCGCCGACGGCCGCATCGACATCTCCTGGAACTGGGCTTCCTAAGCTGCGCTGGTGGTGGTCTCCAGCTTGATGACCTCGGCTTCTCGCAGTACCCGCCAACCATCCCAGGTGCCCGGGTACGGGGGAGGCTTGACGAATTTCCTTTCCAAACTCATCACGAGGCATTTGGCATGATATCCAAGGTTCTCAGGCCCACAACTTGGGGGTTCCAGAGCAACAAATCTACATTCTTGGGGCGTCAATAGGAGGGAGGCGGATCTGGGTATCGACAAAACAGATACTACCTTTTTTTCCCCCGGCCGCGTTTGTTTTGTTTCAATTCTTGAGATACAATATGGGCACTCCTGGCTTCACTCCTTTCAAAAGATATCCCAGGCCGTTGCTCACCTACGAGCCCCACGTCCTTTCTTCTTTCCTTGAGGCGATTGGGGGAAAACCAAAATGGACGGGCAATGCTTGCATAGTCCTTAACTTCTAGTGTATATACCTTAGGGAATTAACTCCTATTCTGTGGACTCGCCGAGGTCCGACTTGATCATAGATCATATCCACAAATCTTTTTGACCCCTCATCGTGTGCGCGCCTTGTGTGGACCGTGCCATTGCGTTGTGGATTCGTGATGGAGGGGGGTCACTAAGATCGTCAACGGTCTTTTTTTTCTGTGGGTTTGATGTGTTGATCGCTTGCACGACTCCATTTTCCTTGGGCCTAGTTCCGTCGGCTATCGATGGCTATCTGATGTGGCACACGATACAGTGGACAGTGCGCTCCTCGCCGACGAGCTCGCATTGACCACGTCCAGGTCCAGCGTCATCAATCGATCCTGACTGAAGCATAATTACATGCTTAATTAGCTAACGAGGTTTATAGTATCGTTGATTTATTTCACCTGGTCAGGGCGCAGCGGATCATTCCTAAGATCGGCTACAGCCTGTTACTGACAGCTCAGCACTGCGGATATAAATCGCTGCCGACTTCAAGTTGTTTTGGGTGAGCTTGTGTGTGATACAATCCTGAAATTGCGACTGCTGGAGTTGCAAGTGACTCCTGTTCCTTAACCAGCGCGGCTGGAGTAGTCCATAAAGAACTCTGCAAGTGGTCGCAAGCAGTGCCTTTCACCCCTCGATGCTCAACTCAGTCGTGGGCCATTACCCAAAGGAAATTATACGGAGTCGTGACAACGTTGAAGAAGTACATAACTAGTCCATGGAATATTTGCATGCCCTGTTGTTGCCTTCCCTTCCTCATTTACTCTGGTCGACCATCCTCATTCATTTCCGCAAAGCGCTGTTCCTCTCTTCATACTTGGTAGTCAAAGCGTCAACCATCCCGTTGTCTACAATCGGGTCACTCTCCCTCGGAGGCTCCTCCCTGTAAGTAACATTCTGCAAGTTTGCCTCTACTACCGCGCCATTGGGGCCCGAAGCGACCCATGCCTCTTTGCCTTCCGCAGCCAGCTTGTCAAACTCACACAGCTCGTCGAACGCCCTTATCATCGTCGACATGGGCGTGATGATCGACTTCGGGAAATTCTCCAGCCCCGGCGGCGCCATCCCTGTCGCCACGAGCGCGGGGCACACGCAGTTGACGCGGATGCCCACCTTCTCCGAGGCAGGCGCTACGGCCCGCGTCAGCCCCAGCACGCCGTACTTTGAGGAGCTGTACTGCGGGTACGGCGCGTAGACCCGGATCCCGGCCATCGACGAGGTCATGACCACCTTACCGCCCTTGGCCGCGGCCTTGCCGCCCGGCAGGCTCATGTAGTGCGCCGCGAGTTTCAGGCCGTAGTACGGGCCGTAGAGGTTGACGCCAAAGGTCAGCATGTTGGGGCTCTTCGGCGGGTTTGCCGGGTCCCCTGAGATGCTTCCGAAGATCTCGTCGCGGTCGACGATGCCTGCGTTGAGCGCGACGAAGTCCACTGCTATATGTTAATTATCTTCCACCAAGTCCGGGGTGGTGAATGGGCACCGCCTTGACCGGTGACGAGAGCAGGGGATCGGAAGACATACGACGGGAGAAGCGCGAGTAGGCGGTCTGGAAGGCGGAGGCCAGCTGGTCCCAGTCTGAGACGTCGGTCTTCAGGAACGTGACGGCCTCGGTTGGGATCTCGGAGACTGGGTCTTGGATGTCCAGGATGTAAACATGCCAGTTCTTGGCGGCCAGGTGGAGGCTCAATGCAAGGCCGATGCCTGAGCAGCCTCCTGTTACTATGGCCACGCCAACGGGATCAGACGACATGCTGTTATGTGTGAAAATAGGCGTGTAGGTTCAGGCAGTATGCTTATTTGTATGAATTCGAGAAGAACGAGAGAGATGAGTTGAGAACTCAGGACTTGGTCGATCAGGGACGAATGCCATGGACTTATGTAGGCGTTTCCAAGTTTACTAGCAGAACGCTAGTAAACTAAGAATTGGCCCCAAGGTATACAATATCCTTTGCTCCCTTTATGTTCTTGAGTAATTGGTCTGGATCCGTTTCTATCTCGCATACGTCCGAAGCCCTAATACGCACCGCATTCACAAAGTGGTAAACGCTCCAAGACCCAGCATTTAAAAACACACAGTGTCGATCTCTGAGCGAATAAAACATATTGTTTGGAAAAAATATGGTCTATAGACGTCCTACACAGTACAAACCAGCATTATGTTACCGGTGAATTCTGTGAGGATTCGGCATGCTCGGAAGTCTGTTCTGAAGTTGGCGATGAAGCAGAGGGACAATTCATTGACGAGCGAGGGAACGCTTGATGCATCCCGAGCTAAAACAGGGATCCATCTCCGGAGCGGCAATGCTATGCCTAGGTAAGATGGCCGAAACTAGACACGGCGCATATCAATACAGGCCGAGCTTCCAAGGTGTGAAATACGATCAAATACGAGTCAAATCGGCCTCCCTTGTAGACAGACACGCCGCGTATTCGTATTGATGCCGCTGGGGCTCCCACAAGGGTCCTCGTCTCCTGAGACAACCTTGGAAAGTATAATCAAGATAGGTTTAGCTTTTGGCATATCCGTCAACGTGGATATAACATTAAAGGCGCAACGCCGAAGTCGAGATAACCTTGGAATGATCCATTGTGTCCTCAAAGTAGGAAAATACCCTGCATCGCCTCTCGAGGGTCCAACATCCAAATTCAAGTCTTAGTTGGATCAATGACTATGAAGCTACCCAAATAGTATTAAATGGCAACGTTTAAAGCTGCTGCAGAGGCTGGTTTTAAGTGCATTTGGACGAGGCTTTTGGCTACTTCGTTTTCGACGTACATGATAGTTTGGAGAATCATGTTGTCTTTCTCTTTCCTTTCCTTTTTTTTTTTTTAAAAAAAAAAAGATACTGTGATGAGATGTTGCACTATAGCTTGTTACATGTAGAGAGCCCTAGGCACCGAACATGACCTGCAGACTGTAAACACCGACAGCGGCCACTATCGATCTCCTACATTCCCCTTCAACCAAGCATTGATACTGCGTAAAGATGTATAAGAAGTACGATTTCCGTGATGAAGCATGGATCGACACATATTGGGCATGGAAACAATGGCAAGCACACCGTGTAGAAGTCCTTGGGGTCACATGCAATGAACCTCACTCCAACATGCCCCCGCAGGCTTAATTAGATACCTAGGTAATTGCATACTGGAGTGAAAAGCACATAGAAGCAGCTGCAGTAGTGAGCCAGGAAGACCTGGGTAGCTAAGCCCGGCTTCTTTTCTATTCCACCCATCACTCAGAAACGGTTACAGTAGCCAATCTGCTGGTCAGTGAGAATAGGAGGGGGCATCAAATTATTAAATCCTAGGGGGGGGGGAACTTAAATTTTTATGAGTATTGCTAAAATGTTCATCATGAAACCTGCCGACAGTGCATGGTTGGGTTTTCTCGTTGTCTTGTACAAAAGCTGAGTGTGTTGGATGACTTGCTTGCCATGAAGAGCAGGAGGGATGTGAGCTTTGAAAGGCACCAGGGACAGTTGTCAGGTCACAGCTTACTGTACTACTCCGTACTGTTCCCAATTAGCAGAGGTAAGCCTTGGCGAGATCCGCAATGCGGGTCATCACTATATTTGTACGGAGTACTGGCCGCTGACCGGGCGGCCGGAGGACCAATACCGACACCCACCTACTTGTCAAACATGCCCAGGTGTCCTATTTTCATTTACGGCTCAGGAAAGGTTCTTGATGGGTGATCGAAGACCAATAAATTTGCAATGCATCTGCCTAGGTGGATTCGTTTGTACGGAGGTCAACCGTCAGACGGACTCATCATAAGCGATCCTTGACCTGCATAGAGTAGCACTTGAGGGCAGAAGGACTATACGGGTGTGAGGCCGGCCCAGAATGGGGCCCGTAACAGCCCATTCAGCCCCGGTCTCATCCCCCGTTTGGCCTGACCGGGCCAGCACGACCGCGCCCGTCCGAACGTGAAATTCTTGGCGCTTATAGTTTAGCTCATCCGTCCAAGGGATTGGCCATGTCGATTGAGGTTTGGCCGGCCCAGTTCGCGATGGACTGCCCCCAAGGACCGTGTGGCCCAAACACCGAGGCGGACAAGGAGCTGCGACCTGAGAAGCGGCATGGCCACGACCTTCGCATCTCGGACTCGTCTCTTTCACAAGTTCGTCAAGAGGTGAATAGACTGCTATCGCGACGAACAGTACTGATGAGATCAATTATAAATAGTTGGAGTTGTCCTCCTCCATAGACAATTGAGAAACATCATCAACCATCACAACAGCATCTTCAAACAACACAACCACAACAACACTCACAAATACCTCTCATCTCTTCCATCCATAACCAGCTCATTTCCAACACTCAAAATGCGTGCCACTACCACCGTCCTCTTCATCGCCGGCCTCGCCGGCACCGCCTTCGGCGCTGCCACCAAGCAGTTCTCGGACGACAAGTGGTAAGTTGCATCCCAGGTGCCCGGGAGCCCTTGATCTCTGCCATCCACCACCCCCTCGCCTGTTCCCCCACAACGACACTAACACACTGTCTCCAGCCAGAACGAGATCTCCAAGAAGGTCTTCAACGGCTTCGCCTCCGGCGACGCCGCCATCAAGCCCGAGACCGTGGCCATCAAGGTCGACGCCATCTCCGACACCTGGTTCGCCTTCCAGGACAACGACGGCGGCGACAACTGCCGTGGAGACCTCATCACCAGGCTGGACGACGACGAGTGTATCCCGGTAGCCACTCTTGGAATCGGCTGCACCCGTCTCTGCAGTGGCGGCCTGGGTGGTGGCGATTGTGCGTCCAACGAGGAGCCCCTGTAAGCAGGGTGCTCTTCCTTGAGAAGGGCGTCGGGTCACGCTCTGGATATCAACGAGAAGGGAGTCGGACTGGGTACGGCAATATGATTAGAGTTTGGTGAATTTTTTATAGATCGAGAATCCATTGACTGGTGAACTTGACTCTGCCTCCACATGTGCATTCGGTGATGCGATAACTGTGCAGCTTCTTGGGTGGCCGCTTTGCCCTGGCTCTCAATGAGCGTCTCAGTTCTGCCCAGGTGAGCACTTATTAGGCCATTGCAAAGGATCTGTGCGTAACTACTAGTACTCACAGGATCATTGGGTATCAAGAACAACTTGAACTGTCGACTCATGCTCCTCCAGACACAGCAGAACTGCACGCATATCGACACGGGTTTAGAGAATGCAGTGGTTGTGTTGAGCTGCTTTAGGAATTTTGGATGCCATGGATAGGGATGTTGGATAGACGAGGTTCCATCGACCCATACCTAGAGGTGTAAAGGGATGACGCTGTTAAGCTGCATGTGCATCGGCTGCAGATGGGTTGGTTCCTGGTGCCTATTTCGGAATCAGAGAAGGCTCATGAGTGAGCCCGATGCTAACTGCTCCTCATATCTATGATAATCTTCGTCATTAGTAGTTCAGCTTCCGTGGACGATATAGCACAGTGATGCAGCTGTGGACCTCGGGACAGACGGTCAGGAGAGAATTGCGAGGGATGTCCGCTGTCTCTAGGCCTGAATATTCAGGAAAACAGTGGGTGACAGAGGACCCAGCCCCAGAGACTTACGATGAATATAGCAAATAAATAAATGACTGAAGATGATGGTGTAGGGTGGACAAGGTCATCAATACCTCCTTAGGTACTTAAAAGTACCCATGTACCTCGTCATGCCTGCCACTGCGTCATTGGAGGTCCGTCTGGTGGTGGCTGCAGGGGCCCGCCCCCTGCCAGCCGAGCAGGACCCTTGCCTGTTAGCTGGCTGTACCGACTGCTGGAACGAACACCTTACAGGAGCGTCTCCAGTTGCTGGCCCCAAGCTCCCACAACCGTATCAACTACCCCGTACTCCCCAACCCGGGCATTGCAGCCTCTCCCTCCCTTTGGACCCAATCTCGAAGCAGTCTATCCCGAACCGCTCCGACCCGAGTCACGACTTTACTGCGGCTGCTATCAAATTGTCCAATTGCAAGCCAATCAACATCGTCGACCGTGACAGAGGAGCAGCCATGGCCGACGCCCAGACCAAGGCAGAGAAGCTCGCGGCGGCGCGAAAGAAGGCCGAGGAGCTCAAGAAGAAGAAGGCTGCCGGCGCAAAGGCCAAGAAGGACAAGGCCCCAGCAGAGAAGAAGGAAGACGAACCAGCAGCCGCAGCCGCAGCCGAGCCCGCAGAAGACAAGCCCAAGGAGGAGGCGCAGGAGGACGAGGCACCTGCAGTCGAGCAGTCCACCCCAGCAGAAGCAGAGCCCACCACAACCGCCAGCCCCTTCGCCCCGACCGACACCGAGTCACCCCCACACACAGCCGTTGGCGCCACGCCCGAGTCCACGGCAGAGCTGGAGGCCAAGCTCCTGGAGCTGGAGAAGGAGCTGGACGCCGTCAAGGAAGCCAGGGATGAGGCCCAGCTGACGGCGGACGCGCTGGAGAAGAAGGTGGTGTCGCTCGAGCTGCTGCACAAGGAGGACGAGTCACAGATCAACCGGCTGCAAAAAGACCTGGCCGAGGCCAAGAACGAGAGTGTGGACCTCAAGAACCAGCTGCAAAAGGCCGAGGCCGAGGCGCTGCGGCTGAGCAAGCAGGAGAACCAGGACCGGGGCGGCACCGACAACGACCACCTGGACGAGCTGGAGGAGGAGGAGCGCAAGAGGCTGGAGGCGCGCATCAGGCAGCTCGAGGCGGAGAACTCGGACCTCCAGCGGGGCATCTGGCAGGAGAGGCGGCGCGAGATGCAGCCGCCCATGGACGACGGCACGACGGGCCAGTTCACGACCGTGCCGCTGTCGCCATCGACGGCGCGCAAGCAGGGCGGGTTCGGGGACTTTTTCACGACGGGGCTCAACGCGCTCACGGGCGGCGGCGGCCACGAGCACGGGCAGGACGAGGACGGGTTCCTGGACGACGACGAGGACTTTGACGAGGACGCATTCCGCAAGGCACAGGAGGAGACTGCCAAGGCGAGGATCGAGAGGATCAAGGAGGTCAAGAGGGGCCTGAAGAACTGGGAGGGCTGGAGGCTGGACCTCGTGGAGGGCCGCAGAGGCGGCGGCGAGGGGCTGGGGGAGATATTTGACATCTGAGGGATATGATGTGAGCTGTCTCTATCTCTCTGTCTGTCTCTCCCTCTCTCGGGGGGCCTATGTTTTGTGGCTGGCGCCGATGATGGTGATGATACATCCCTCAATCGATATACAGTAGGTACATGTACTATCAGATGGCCCAAGGGGGGTGTTTCCACCTACCTGGATACCTAGGTACCTAGGTACGTGTACACAGTCGCACCCGGTATCCGTGTATGTACGGAGTACCACGCAAGTCGACCCCTAACCCCGACCACACGAAAAGAAGTGGGCCCCAAATTCGTGCACTGCCCACGAGGACAAACTCCACCACCCCGCGAATTTTGCAGAAGTGGCCCTCGGCCATGCCGCCAGTTTCGCCTGGTTCGCCTGGTCCCCTCGCCTCTTTCCACTCGCCCTCCCTGTGCGCCGATTTCTAAACATTTCCTTCAAAACCACCGCCTCACCCAGCTCACGTCTTGCTACGCGCACTGGGACTGCAGTCGCCATCTGCACGTCTTCTCCAGGGCTTGCCTGCCTTGCATTAAAACCAAAGAAAGGCCCATCTAGTCTTGTCTTCAGTAAGCATTTTGAGATTGGTTCAACATGGGCATACAAACGTTCACCACCAAAAGTTCACATCATCATCATCCTCTTATCATCATCCCAACATCAACATCACCGCCATCCCCGTCGACAACCCTTTTCAGTCCACTCATCCCCCCACCCCTCCCACCACACCACACTCTTTGTCTCACACGGCCAAGACGAGAGACAGACGTGCTTGTCTTGCCCCCTGAACTGGAAATTGAATTTTAGCCCGCCCAGTCAGCCAACAACATCTAACATGCAATGCCAGACATCTGGACCGAGTCAACCAGGCAGGGTTGAGGCTCCCCACGTCCCAACTGCCCTCCTGCCCTTGGTGAAAACAAGGTTTCAGGACGCGCTGCCGCCATTCGCCCCCGCGTCTCCAATCACGGCTAGCCACATTATTTGACTCCATCGCCGGGTCTTGGTCACATATATCTGCCCCGAAACCAATTACACCCCCATGTCGTCTTTAAACATGGACCCCAACCTCTCCGCTGCCATGCATCCGCAGCAGGTTGCCGTTGCCGCCAACAACCTGCAGCAGGGCGCCGCCCACCCCAGCATCCTCCCACACCCGGCCCCGGCCCCATCCCACCACGGCCCCGGCCGCCCCCCAAACTCGGAGAGGCAGCTTGTTATCGACGGCCGCCGCTTCCAGCGTCTCGAGGACAACGTCAACAAGCTGCTCGAGCTCACCCAGCTCATGATGAACCGCCAGGAGGAGCTCAACGACATCATGGTCCAGCGCCACCAGAACCTGCAGAACCAGGTCGTCTCCTTCACCGAGGAGCGTCTGGGCCAGACCGCCATCGACAACAGTGGCAACCAGGATGGCGAGGCCGAGGATGACGATGAGGACGACGACGACGATGAGGACGACCGCGACCCGCCCGACATGGCCTACCCTCCCCTGGGCATGCAGTTCCGCCCAAACTTTGGCGCCAAGAAGGCCCTCGAGGGCCTCCTCGACAACATCAACCTGTGGGCCAAGGAGCACGGCTACAAGTGTGCCACCCTGCGGAGCACCCAGAAGCCCGGCGAGCGCGTCCGTGTCGCAATCCGATGTGCCCTGGGCGGCGAGGCCCGCTACAAGATGACCGACGAGAACGGAGAGACCCTCATCCGGACAAAGAGCGGCCAGCTTCGCAAGCCCTACCGCAAGAGGACCAGCAAGAAGACCGGCTGCCAGTTTGGCTTCATCCTCGGCGAGACGGGCCAGGGCACAAACGTCTTCGAGGTCCGATACCACCCCAATGGGAGCCCGCCTCATAACCACCCTCCCATGGAGTTTTAGAAGAACAGGTCGCTCAGCCGCCGCCTAATGCGCAGGCCTCATCTTCGAAATTCGAACCGGAAACCGGACGACAGTGGCATGGCTGCCAACCCACCCTTCTCTGATTTTGGAACTGTTGGATCGGCCGTTGAACTCAGTTTTCCAGTGTCACCCCTTGTGTCTTCGCCAGCCTGGAATAGGCAACACGACCTCGTCCCATATACGCCCCCAATTCCGTTATCATCCCAGACACAGGATGGCACGATTGTCACCCAGGCCCCATTTGAGCTCACACTCGGGAACTGGGAATTAATGGCAGTCCTGGTGCGGACGAAGACGGTGCCCAGGTGGTCTTTCCGTATCCATACCCACCCACCTCCCAATCCTAACACGAAGTACTTTAATCTTGGACAGCCAGGGTGGAAGTGATCTTGGCGGGACTTAGGTACGGACATTGACTTCATTGTTTGCTTCCCGCTCGGCCATCGACTCGGGGAGAAATAATCCCATCAGGATGCTTTTCAAAGGAGTATCTAGGTAATTTGCGGCAAAAGCATCAATAGCGTTAGGCGTTATGGAGGAATGCGATCCATACTGTTTGGTAATAGGAAACTCGGGCACAATTCGACTCTATAATCTCGTTAGGAGAAGCTAATTGAAGCCGTGCTGACACACTCTGGGCGTGCTGACCGCTCTCTTCCCTTCGCATACATTCAAAGATCAACTCTCTACCACCAAAGGTATTGCACAACCCAAAATGCGTACTTGATACTCGGACTGTTGATTGCACTTTTGTCGCTCGTTTTAGGCCGTTCCGGCTCTCCGCCCTCGATACACAGCCAAGAGCCGCCCGGTCTACGCGCGTGTGTCAAAAGTGGCAACACGTGTGGGTCAGCCCCAAAGAATGCAACCCGCAAAAGACAGAGGACCATTGCCTGAAGCAGGAGAGAATATGACAGGGCCACGCGAGCGCCTATGTTAGACCATGCAACGTCGTTTCGGGGGTGGGGACATGTCTCCGCAGCACCGCGCCAACAGGGCCCAAATGCGTAGAAAGACTCCGTCGCCATGCACCGAATAGTTCTAGATTCACCGAAGCGTGAAGACAGCTGAGCTTAAAAGAAGTCGGAGCTGCTGTACTGCAACCCTCCCCCTTCCGTCTTTCCCGTACAGTCTTGATGCGCCCCAGTCCCGACTCCAAGGTTGTAAGGCTACTGCTGCGATGGCGCATATTTTCATGTAAGCTTCGACCCCGTCTTAACTCGTGTCCGATACTACGGCGTGACTTGCTGACATGATATGTAATATCATTAGTGTTGGTGGCACCGGCCATACCGGTGGTGCAGTGCTCGACCTTTTGCTTCAGAAGCATCCGCAGGTCCAGGTCAAGGTTCTAGTTCGTGATGAGACCAAGGCAGCGAGGCTTAAGAATAAGTATCCCACCGTGCAGACCACTGTCGGCGACCTGTCAAGTCACCAGACGCTGCAAGACGAGGCCCGCAGTGCGGACGTCGTCATCAACGCGGCCCCGGACATCACCCATGGAGATGGCATCTCGGCCATTCTCGCAGGCCTCAAGGACGGCAGCCGGGCGCGTAAGGGCTTCTACCTCCACGTCTCCGGCGCGGCCACCTTCTACACCAAGGACCCCAACGGCGCCAAGGAGGGCCGCATCTGGGACGACATGGCCGACATGGACGAGATCCTGGCCCTGGACCAGTCCTACACGCACATCCCCACCGACAACCTCGTGCGCGCCGCCAGCGCCGACGTGCACGTTGCCATCCTCGCGCCCGTCGGCATCGGCGGCATCAGCCCGTCCCTCGAGCACACCGCGCCCCTGACCACGGGGCCCCTCCTGACCACGGCCCGCGCCTTCGGCTCGGGCTTCCAGATCGCCCGCGGCGAGAACGAGAGCGGCTGGGTCCACGTGCTGGACCTGGCCCGGGCGATGCTGCTCCTCATCGACAATGCCCTCGACGCCCTCCGCGACGCCTCGGCGGCGCCCGCCGAGCCCGCCGGCTTCCCCCTCTGGGGCGAGCGGGCGTACTACTTTGTCCGCGCCGAGGACATCCCGTTCCGCGACCTCCAGGCCGCGCTGGTCCCCGTGCTGCACCGGCACGGCGTCATCCAGTCGGACGAGATCAGGAGCGTGACGCACACCCAGGCGGCGCGGACGTGTCTTGCCGGGAGCGCCGAGTACGACCCGGACATGCCGCTGCCGCCGCCCGACTCGTGGGTGATTCATCTTGCTACTTGGTTCGGGATCAACATGCGCGTGCGCCCGGCGCGGCTGGAGGCGCTGGGCTGGAGGCCGGCGGAGAAGAGCATTCTTGGGGACTGGGAGGTGGCTGTTTGTGACTTTTTGAGGAGGGAGGGCGGCGCGTGAGCAATGTCTGGGGGGGAGGGGGCAATGAGCATATACAATTAGTCTGTGACACAAGGCCAAATAAGGCTTCGCGACAGATGTGCCCTAAGAAATGATCAAAAACTGCCTATATCATGAGATGGTAGTGTTTCTGATCTGTGTATCTCCTTTTCCAGGCTTGCGCAGGAGGCCTCGAAGGATTCGATGTGCAAAGAACTCCGTACCACTTGCTGCGGTCAGCAAGCTGCATCGAAGTGAATTATATAAGCATGACCAGGTCCTTTGCGGGCGGGTCCAGAGTGTCTGCCTGAGTGGCTCAGGCTCAAGTGCTCCGCTTGGCAATTGCTTTTCCCAGTCTCGTTAGCATGACTGCTATTTCGGGGCTCGATCTACTGTAATGTCCAGACAAACAATCCAGCAGCAGAATGTGGTCAAGGTTGGCCAAGATGACGACATTGACGAGCTTTTAATCCTCGACTTGCCCGACGACTGGCAGGCACAATTTCCCCATGATGAGGAGGATTGGTGTCAGACATGCCGATGGGATGGCTCGTGGGATAGCCTCCTCCTCCGTTGCAAGCAGCGTGCACCGGCTCTAGACAAGCTCAGCCGAGCCAGTCTCCGCGCTTCTGCATCGGCCAGCAACTTGTGCTGTGCCGTTCTCCTGGGTCTTCTGTGTCATGCCAATGGCGGTGGCCATGGACGTATTTCGCTCAGTGATGACGCCGATTCATGGGTCCGTCTCGATGACTGGGAAGGCTGGGGGGCTCAGACAGATTTGGGAATCCTCTTCAAATTATACGCAAGCACGTCCGAAAGACCTCCTCCAGGGGTTCCAAGTTACCCCCCAGGGAACCCGCCGCCTACTTACACTGGGTCGGAGAGGAGCTTCTCTTGGGCGAGGGATCAGATCGAGCACTGTTCGAAACACCATCTTGGATGCCAATTGCCAGAGGAAGGCTCGTCCGGTTTCATACCCTCCAGGCTTGTTCATATCCCCTCAGATCCTAAAGACGGAGTCCTCCTACGGCTCCGATCCGATATCCCAGATGGCACCAAGTACGCAGCCTTGAGCTATTGCTGGGGCAAGCGTCCTACTTGGCCAGAATGCCGGACCACGCGAGAGAACCTTTTCAAGCAGATGCACAGTGTATCCTGGACGTCTCTCCCTGCGACTCTCCAGGACGCAGTCGAGGCCGCACGGCGGCTAGGTCTCGAGTACATATGGATCGACTCCATATGTATCATTCAAGATGACGAGGAGGACTGGCAGGTCGAGTCAATGCAGATGGCAACAGTCTACGCGCACGCTCAGGTCACCCTTTGCGCTGCCGTTGCATTGGACACCCGCACCGGAATTTTCAGTCAACGCGACGAGAAGAGCCTCAGTCACATTCTCACCATCAGATTCCGCGGCAAGGAATATCCTATTTACGCTTTCCATGTCCCACAAGAGAGCGGCAGGATAGAGCCAAGACTGCTGGCAGACATCTGGCGGGGTTCCTTGGAAAGGAGTCTTGAGTACTCGGTGTTCAACCGGGCATGGGCTTTTCAAGAGAGGCTGGCGTCACGACGCGTGCTCCTCTTTGGCAAGGAAGAGCTCGTCATGGAGTGTGCTTCTGGATGCGTGTTTGAGGAGAGCGTGTATCGGCTGCATCCACCCCAATTAAGCGACAGGACGCTGAAGGCAGCCTACGCAGGCGCGATGGACTCTCCTAGGAAGCTGTGGTGGGAGATCGTCTACACGTATAGCCACCTCAAGCTCACCGTCCCCACTGATAGGCTTCCCGCCATTGCTGCCGTGGCTCAGCGTCTTGCCTCGCACAGCCCAACGGACGAGTACATATGTGGGCTGTGGCGGAACTCGTTGCTCAGCGATCTTTTGTGGGAACGAGTATTGAATAACCTCGGAAAAGGCGAATCTCCCCTCATTCTCTCAAGCTGGGGCTCTGGCTCCTATGTCGCACCGTCGTGGTCATGGGCTTCGTTCCGCAGCAAGACCAGGAATATCTCAAACATTGTGCAGCCCTTGAGCAAAGTACTCGACGTGACTCTCGAGTACAGGGACAACAGCAAATTTGGGAGGGTTTCTGGTGGGCTTCTGAAAATGAGTGGCCCCATGATTGACTTGGAATGGCACGTGAGAGCACATTGGGCATACCCTCAATTCATTGATGGTGAGCAGCAGATGTTCGTGCCCGGTGTCCCTGACCAAAAGGTCGTCTTCTCGGTTGACTACGACTTCTACAATGGCTTGGAAGCGCCGAACCCCGGTGACAGGATCTTGGTGCGGTGCTTGATCATTGGATTCGACGAGAACGGATCGCTTGGGGGCCTTGTCTTGTACCGGATTGGGAGGAGTGAATGCTACTGGCGCCTGGGAACTGTACATGGAAGTACAGACCTAACCATGCCAAGTCGCGACAGTATCGATTGGGCAGAAATGCTCAATTCCTACAGCCGTGTTGAATCTTGCATAATACAATGAGGAAGATATCGCAAGGTACACAGCGTCAGGCCATAATCGTCAGCTCTAGGCACCTCGTGCACACGGACAACTTGCCGAACTTGAAGTACAGATGGCATTGCCCCCACCCAAGCCCCCCCGCCCCCCAAAAAGAAGAGCAACACCGCTCTAGGTCCTAATCCTCGTGGTAGCAGGGGGTCCAGCGGGAATGAGCACGGCTCTGCCTGGCGCGTGTCTTTCATGCGGTAGTTGTGTTCCGACTCGGGACTCGGGCGTGTATCGAAACCACCAAGCCGAGCATATGCATGCCTTTCCTACTGGGGAACACTAGAATGCCTCCGAATACTAAACTGCTGAACGAGCTTCTGGCCCGTCACAAGACTGTCACCTCTCAGGATATTGATGTGTCCGAAATCCAATGAGATGGGGCGGGAGCTTTTGACTGAAAGTGCTACAAATTGAAGATTCAACCGAAAAACACCAGTCACTAGTAGTCTGCTGGTCTTCTGTCGCTGCAGCACTACTAGTGCGCCCTTCATTTTGGCGTCAGAGTCAGAGAAATGTCTCTGTTGGCATTTGTTTGACAGTGCATTTAGAGTTGGTGTCTAACCCATTGAAATTGCGGATCTAATATCTACTTAGGTACCAGAGTAGCTTCGACGTTAATACTGTCGTCACTGAGAGCATCCGCGCAGCATATAATTGCTAGCAGGTGGACAAAGCCTGCCGGAACCTCGATTTTCTTAAACGAACAATGGACCAACGATTAGTAATTCGCTACTGAGGACCTGGACAGCTGGCAGCTGGCAGCTGGAGTCAGCGAACTGGAGCCCGATTCGGTCTCTCCGCCTGGTAGAAGGACGCATGTTTCGTCTGGTCGGTCATCCCGCAGCCAATTACATGCTCCGCCTGGGCAATGATAGATTTAGGCAAAGTTCCAGCATGAGCCCTGGTCCTTGGTTAGGATGCGTCCATATGGACAAGCACATCAAGGCTGAAAGAAAATACGAAACCTCCAATTTTGTCGGAGATACAAAGATCGGCAGTCTGATAGGGGACTTATCCAGTCGCCCCGTACCTCAATTTTCAAATACAAGCTGAATTGAGGCGACCCTACAGCAAACGGGGAGAATGTTCATCTCATAAAGTCTGATTTTACACAAGTTGGGAATCAGAAATGGGTCCTCCAAAACAGGTAGTCATCGTGAGTTACTTCATTGTCGCTATTTGTTACGAGTCATTCATCTTCTTACCAGCAGCTAATATTGAGGCAGGTGGGTGGCTCCATCGCCGGCTTGCTACAAGGCCTTCAACTGAAGCGCCAAGGAAGTGAGGTCATTATCTTGGAACAAGATCCTAGCAAGGAGCGGGACAGTCATGAATCCGGAATAAACCTTGGTCCCAGCGTTGTCGCCCTACTGGAAAAGTATGATGCTACTGGCCGGCTAGGAACCATCCCATCCCAGTACATCAGTGTGGCATGGCGAAAGCGCCTCCGCGTGATCAACCGGCCATGGTATCATGAAATGAGCAACTGGGGCTGGCTGTACAACGTACTGCGTGCGAACTTTGACGGCCTGGTATCGACAGCCGTGCCAGTCTCGCCCGAGCCAATCGAAGGTGACGGCAAGGTTGAATATCGTTCCGGCCAGCGGGTTACGGGCCTTTCCGACGACGCAGACAAACGCAGGGTCACGGTGCAGTTCACCGATGTGGTCACGGGAGTGAAAGACCAGTTGACTGCGGACCTGGTCATGGGGGCAGACGGTGTGCACTCCGTCGTTCGAAGCCTGATTGGGGCCGAAGCAAGAAAGGACTACGCTGGGTACATTGCTTGGAGGGGCACTGTGCCGGAACGCCTTGTAACAAAGGAGACAATCGAATATTTCTCGAACCGTCTCAACTTCTGTCTGCTGCGTGGCACATATTTGATAAGGTTGGCTTGGCTCTTTATATCCTTTGCTTGTTTCATCTCTCGATTTTGAACCACTGGACTGACCTCTTCCCAGCTACCTCATACCAACCGAGGCAGGAGATCTTGAACCAGGCAAACGTCTCATCAACTGGGTTTGGTACTTCAAAGTGACCGGAGGTTCACATGAGATGGCGAGGATCTTCACCGACGTGAACGGTAGGGTACGCCAAAACACGGTGTCCCAGGGGCTGGTAAACCCCGAGGTCTGGGCCGACCAGAAAGCAAAATACGTGGACCACTTTCCCACGCCTTTCGCCGAAGTCGTGACCATGACCCCTAAGCCGTTCGTCACCAAGGTAGGCGAGGCGGAGTCCAGTACAGCCAGCGTCTACGACGGTCGCGTCGTGCTGGTTGGAGATGCATTGACTTCGCACCGGCCGCATATGGGCATGGCCTCCGAGCAAGCGGCCAGGCATTGCTGGCAGATGGATAAGGTGTGGCGTGGAGAAACTACTCAGGAGCAGCGCGACTGCGAGGCCAGGCTGTATGCTAGGAGGTTTTTATTGATTAACAGAATGATTGGGCTATCCGGGATGGAGTGGCTCTTAACGCTACTACGAACTGGTATTTCCTATACATGGGTCATGTTTCTGCATCAGATAGGACGCCTTTGATCATTAGCATTGGACATATGTCAGTACCTAGGTAGGTCGATTGGCCTTTCGGTGCTTTAAGGAATGGCCTGACAAAAATTGCATTAAATTTGAACACAGCCTTGCAAATTGCTTGAAAGACCTTATGTCGTTAGACTCTTGGAAAGATGAAGCACTGGTGTCATAGACCCTGGGGCTACTGAATGTGTTAGTTGATGACTGCGTGAGTTGACCCACTTTTATAGTGAGATATTGCGCCGTAGTTACTCCAAAAGTTTGAGAAAAGCGAGTCAAATCTTGAATATTTCTGATTTGACTCGCTTTTTATATATGCTGCCAGAGAACCAAATCTCATACACTACAGTGAGAAGGCCGCATTACAGGCCAAGACAAGATTTATTGGGAATAAGAGCCACACAATGATGATCTAAGGTAGCCACTAAGTTAGAATATCCACTCACGCACCAACCCCCTGGTGCCCACCACGATTTTTGGATATCGTTAAAAGCACCACCTAACTTTAGAATTGAATTTCTTGACAATTATTGAAGCTATTTACTATCTAATTGGAATTCCTTAATGTTTAGCTTTTTAACTTTAATATAGTTTTTTATTAAATTTTTATTTTTATTTTTAATTTTATTATTATTAAGCTTTATTAGAGCTTTTTTTATATTTAATTTTATTATCTCCCTTTATTTTTTAAGTATTATAATATTAATAAATACCTTATTAAAGTTAGGTATAATTTTATATTACTTTTAGATTTTTACTATTTAAGGGTATTAAGAAGAATATTTTACTTTATTTTTATAATAACTATATAAAACTTAATTTATTAAGGTTTTATTAAACTTATAAAAAAGATAGGTTATAAATAAAGTAAAGTTATTATTTAATTTATATAATTTAAACTTAATTAATATAATTTAATAAAATAAATATAATATTTATAAAATTATTATAACTAATTTTTATTAAAATAAAGTTTTTTTAAAAATAATTATTATAATAAATATTTTAATATTAATAATTATTAACTTTAAAAGAGTATTTTTTTAATATTTAAATTAAATATTTATTATAAATTATACTTTTAAATTTTAAAGATTATAAATACTATTTTATAAATAAAATTATAAATATATAAGAAGAATTTTTAAAGAATTCCTTTATATTATAAAAATTATTAAAAGCTTTAATTATTAATAGTATTAATATTTTAAAACTAAAAATACTTATATTTAGGAATTATAAAATATATAATAAATATATTAGAGGAAAATAAGTTATATATAATTATTAAAATAAACTTAAAAAGTTTTTAATTATATAAAAATAATAGCTATTAAAAATGAATATTTATTAACCCTTTAAATTAATTAGCTTAATTTTTAAAATAAAGACTTTTATAATTATAATAACTTAATTTAATTATTAATTTAATTAATTTTTAAATATATAAACTTTTAATTTAAAAATTAATTAAAGTTTTTATTAAGGAACTATTATTATTAAATTAATTTTATTTTAAAAATAATTAAAAGTAGAAAAGTATAGCCCTTAGTATTATAATATTTTATTAATATAATCTAAGTTTAAAAAGCTTATTTTTTATAATAAATATTCTATTAAATACTTTAATAATAAAGTTATTATTTTTATTACCTTTTAAGTATTAATTTTATTATTATATTATTTATTATTATTTAAAATATTTATTATTTTAAAAGGTTTAAGTAATTATAAAATTAATTAAGTTATTAAATATAATATTATTTATATAGTAATAATTAATATATATAATTTTAAGTATTTTAATTAATAGATTTTATTTTATAAAGTTATAATATTAATTTTTTTAATATAGTATAAATAGTTAGATTTAGGTTATTATATTTAAGAATTTATATAATAAAATATTAAAAATAAATTAAGTAGGGGATAAGTTAGATAGCTTTATATAAAGGTTTAATTAGCTAAACTAATTTTTAAGTAAATAATAACTTTTAAAAGTTAAATTATAGTTCTTTTAAATTAATATATTTAAAAATAATAATAAAAGTATATTAATTAAGATAATATTTATTATATACTTTATATTAAAAGTTACTATTAATTTAATTATTTAAAGTAATAAAAACTTTTAAAATAAAAATAATAAATATATTATTATATATAAAAAAGAAAGAGAAATTAATTAATATTATTTTTATATATATATAATTTTTATAAGGCTTATAATATAGGTATTTATATAAGTAATATTAATTATAAGTATATAAAATTATAGTGGGTGCTAGGGGGTTAGTGTGTGAGTGGATATTCTAACTTATTTGGTCCCCAGTTAGGAAAGCCTGTGCTAGTATCTCAGCTTTCGGAATATCCTCGTGCTGGCCCGAATAATCATGGGAATCCTAGTGCTTGTACTGCAGTGATGCCGTGGGCCCGCGTGCGACTGCTCCATGCAAAATGGACCATGGTGAACCATGGCTGGAATGCCTATAGACGAAGAAACATAGGGAAGCAAACTATTGCCCTGCCTTCGAGTTCTCACTGCCACCTATGCTAGGGATATAAACCGGTGCATAAAGGCTACCTCTAATAATAACGTTAAGGTCTAATCTCGAGATTATTACACTAAGAATAACTATATATATTTTAACTTATATTTATATTTATTTTCTTTATAAATTATTATTATTATTTTATTTAAAAGTTTTAATATTTTATAATAAATAGTTTAAAAGTAATATATTATAAATTATTTTTTTATTTTAAAATAAAGAATAAATATTTATAAAGTAAAGAATAAATAATATAAAGTAAAATAAATAATATAAAGTAATTTTATAAAATAAAGCTTTATATTATAACTTTAAAATTTATTATTAAATAAATAAGAATATTTTATAATATAAAAAATAGATTATTTAAAAATATTATTTTAAAAATTTTAACTTTAATATTTATATAATTATATATTATAATAAAATAAATATTATTTTATTAAAATAAAATTTAAAAATATTTTAATAATTTCTAATAATTTTATTTTAATATATAATATTAATTAAATAATAATATATAATAAAAGAGTTTAATAAAATTAATATTTATAATATTATTTATAAAATTAAAAATTAAAAGTTATTTTATATTATTTATTTTTATTTTATAAATATTTATTCTTTTAAAATAATTTAAAATTAATTTTATATTTAAATAAAACTTTTATTAATATATATATATATATATAAATATTTAAATTATTTTATTCTTTTAATTTTATTATTAAATTAAAAATAATAATAATAATTTTAAAAGAATAAAATATAATATATTTTTAAAATTAATTTAATTAAATTTATTATATAAAATCTTTTATAATAACTTTAAAATTTATATTTATAATATTATTTATTATTATAAAATACCTTTTATATTTATATATTAAATTATATTAACTTAAATTATTAATATTAACTTTAATATAAATTAATTTATTAAAAGTTAAAACTATTATAAATTATAAACTATTTAATTTATAATTAATAAATATTATATATAAATATTAAAATTTATTATATAATTTAAATAAATATAAATTAATTAAAGAAAATAAAAATAAAAATATTATTTTTAATTAAAGTTTTAAATTTATTTTATAAATAAATATCCATTTATTAACTTTATTATATTATAAATAAAATTATTTAAAAGTAATTATTTAATTTATTATATTTTAATTTATTAAATTAAAATATAACTTTTAAATAAAGTAATTATCTTTTATTATTATTTTAAGTTTATAATTTTAATAATTTATAAAAGAATTATTTATATTTAAAAATTAATATATTTTAAAAATTAAAAGATTATAAACTTTATAAAAATTTTAATTTTAAATTTAAAGAGTTTAATTTAATATTTATATTTATAAAAATAAAAGTATTTATAAAATTTTAAAAGTTTAAATTAAATTAAAAATTAAATTAAATTATAATATAAAAATAATTAAATATAAATTAATTAAAAATAATAATTATAAATTTTTAACTTTATATTTTAAATATATATATATATATATATATTAATAAATAGTTTCCTTTATTAATTTATATTATATAATTTATTTATAATAATTTATATTATATAATTTATTTATAATAATTTATTTATAAATTATTTTAATTTATTATTAATATTAATATTAAAATAATACTTTTATTTTAATTTTTATATAATAAAATTAATATTATAAATATTTATTATATTATAATTATAAGCTAATATCTACTCACCTAATAATTATATTCATTTATTTAATTCCTACTAACTACTTACTTAATACTAATTTTTTTAAGTAACTCCTTTATATTTATAAGTACCTTCTAAATTAATATTAAGAAACTTTATAATATAATTTCCTTTTTTAATTTTTAATACTTTTAGTATAAACCCCTTTTAATACCCCTTTTAACGCCTCTTTACCTTCACCTATACCTTTACCTTTACCTTCACCTTTACTATTTAGTCTATATATATTTAGGTACTAACTAAGCATTTAAATACTAACTAAATGTTAAAAGGTTAAAAGTTTAAAGGGTTAAAAGGTTAAAAGAAGGGTTAAAAGGTTAGAAAGTATATAGTTTTTACTTTTACCTTCTTAGCTTCTAACCTTTTAGTATTTAGTTAGTATTTAAATACTTAGTTAGTACCTAAATATATATAAGTTAGAAGGTATATTAAAAGGTATATTAAAAGGTATACTAGAAGGTATATTAAAAGGTATGCTAGAAGGTGTATTAAAAGGTATATTAGAAGGTATATAAAAAGGGCTTATATTAAAAGTTTCGAAAATTTAAAGAATTTTAGTTAGGTATATAGTTTTATATAAGCCTTATATATAAATTCTTATACTAAGTAAATAGTTAATAAAAAATTAAATAAATAGATATAATTATTAAATAAATAAACGTTAGCTTTATAATTATTAATATTAATATTATATAATTTAAAATATTAAATTTAAAATATTTATTATTATATTAAAATATTATATATAATTTTAAATATATATAAAATAAAATAAAATATATAATCTTAATTATA